TTTCCTGATTTTGTGTTGTGTTTAGCCAAACACTATTGATTTTTTAATTAGAAACCATATTCTGGTAGTGCAGCTCAATAGTAATGAATGTTGTGTACTACTCGGATGAGACATAGAATCATAGAATTATACAGCACAGAAGGGGACCATTCGGCCCATCGGGACTGTGCTGGCTCTTTGAAAAGAGCTACCCAAATCAATCCCACTCCCCCGCTCTCTCCCTATAGCCCTGCAAACTTGTCCTCCCCAAATAATTATCTACTTCTCTCTTAAAAGCTGTTATCAAAGGCAGAGTCACTTCCAAGTAAGAATTGTGAAGCGAGACTCCTGAAACCTGTTTACGACTTTGTATCCACAGCTTTTGTTTGGATCTATTATTTAGAGTTAAGTTTGATCTTGGTCAGCATTTGTATGCCATCTGGTCTCACAAAAAGTACACAAAGCAGCCAACAGCACTAAAGTTGAATCTGATGTAAGCCTTTTGTCATTCAGTGTAGCAGAAAACTGGTGAGTATTAAGGGATATGGGGATAAGGCAGGGTTAAGTTATTAGCTGGAGTTAGATTAGAAGATCAGCCATGATTGAATGGCGGGGCAGGCTCGAAGGGCCGAATGGCCTACTCCTGCTCCTATATGTTATGTTATGTTAGTATTCACATTGGAAAGAAAGAACTTGTATTTTTATACCAATTTATCCTGTTGAAACATTTATTACTGTTAAGTGTAACCACAGGCTGTTAAGATTATTAAGATTTATTAAGATTTCTAATAAAATATCAATGGAAATGGTAAATACAATACATATTCAGTAATATCCAACAGCCACTCTGCTTAAGGGGCACTATACAAATGCAAGATCATAGACTGTTTCCGTGGTCATTTTGCATGTAGCGAGGATCCACAAACAATGAGGTTCAATTTTCTGAGATTGTCGGTTAGGAGAACGGGAGAATCTCCTTTCCTTTTTGAATAATACCATGGGATCGTTAACTTTTACTCTACCTAAAAAACCTCAGTTTTAACATCTCATCTGTTGGCATCTCCAACAGTGTTGCTATCTATCTCCCAATTCCGTGTTGAGCTCAAGTCCTGATGTGGAGCATAAACCCACAATTTTCTACAAATCTTACAATCTGCTGCATCTGTCTTTCATTCTGACAAAAATAAAAGTTGCACAATAGGCGGTAAAGTAAAAGATACCCAACACACAACAAAACCAAAAAGGAATGATGTGTAAGTGGCCAATTTTGTTACTTAGTGAAAAACTGTTCAATAAGTTCCTAAAACACACATCTCTTGGCTGCAGTGAGTGGTTGGTTTCCTGCTGATGGCTCCTACACACAATCCTGCCCTAATGTAGTACAGAATTGCCTGCCAGCATATTCAGGGGTAGATCTCTATCTAGTTATATTAGGGAGAATGCAGCACATGACAATAATGTGTGTTGTCTTCTCTGACATATTTCATAAAGAGCCTTTGGCCAATCTAATCACCTGAACGTTTGCTTCAAGACTCCCAATCTATGAGGAGCCTGGGTCACTTGTGCCTAGTTGTCGGGGTTCTCAGTTGGGTATGTAGATTGTTAAATCAAGAACGATGGATTGATTACAAACCTACATATACCATCACTACCCACACTGTAAGAAGCTCTCTTTTGAGACATTTTGTCTTGATAAGTAACTAAATCATATGAATATTACCATGACTCTCCAATAACTAGCCATCAATCATTCATTCCTCCAGTGTTATAAAGCTATAGAGCTGTTGATATCACCAGGGTGAAGGAATCCTTCATTTCCTCCAGGGACCAGAACATTGTTATGATTTCTTCTGCCCCCCCGTGGTCAGACCATTGCATGTTGATTGAATGAAACCCTTTGTAGTTTAGCAATGGAATAGGGTGGGGGGGGGGGTTGCTCTGGCTGTTGTGCAGTCTTATGATGCTTTGTATATTTGGATCCCTGTATCTATGTTGCTGCTGTTACTACTGAATTCCTAGTCACTTGGGCACAGTTATTCCAGGAGCTTACAGTATATCCTTTGAAGCGCGTTGAGATGTCCGGACAGCATGATAAAGGTGCTACATCAAAAGCTATTATTATTATTATTGTAACCGGCACGCTGACATGAGCTGGCATGTCCAATGACAATTACAAGCAGCTTTGGGCTCCACCATTGGATAGTCAATTGGATAGTTACACTGACAGTCAAATATTAATAGGTCATAATTTTCAGTGGGCAAGTTTCACCGTAATATGGAAACATGTCTCAGCAATCGTCCGCATAAGGCTAGAATAGATATATATATATACACAGGCTCAAATGTCCTCATGTTGTGATCTTTGTTTTTGGCTTTGCTGTTGATAACATCCTCCCAATGTGAAAGGCAATACTATATATGAAAGTAAATTAATTATAAAAATTTCACATTGATTGGAAGCAAAAAAAAAGCTACACAGATGTTGGGGATATTAATGCAAGGCCTCATACAGGAAAACTGTGTGGCAAGTGTTCCATGCTGCACCTGATCCAGAAATCCACTCACTATTCACAATACAGTTTTTCCAAATTGATCTCAGCATGAAACCCATCCCTGAGGTTGAAGCCAGGATCACAGTAGAGTGAAAAATTCCAGATAGTGTTTCCTTTTGGCACAGATTGTGGGTTTGACTCTGCCAATTCCACTCGTTTTTTTGATTCAGAGCAGTTTGAAAACGTGAGGATAAAATGTGCATTTTTTAACCATGTGCTGCTGAGCCACTGGTCAGTGTAGGACAGAGCTCTCCTTTCCTGGAGCCACTTCGCCTTTTGGTCACAAATCTACCTCAACACTTGGGTCCTTAGTTGCACACAGGGAATAGCTTTGTTGTAGCTGCATCTTGTAAATAATGATTAATTCTGGATGATTATGTTATGTATGATCATGATTATAAGTGTTGATTCATATGATTATGGGTAATGTCCTCGCTGTCGTTTAATAAGGAGATTGGGCAATTGAATGACCTATAAAACACCTGAAGTCTGCAGTAAAATGGAACCTAGCGGGCAGCTGGCTGGTACGAACCAGTTTAATAATAATAATCCTTGCATTTGGTATAGCTATTTATATATTTATAGCTATATATGTGTGTGTGTTAGACATAGTTTAGAGCTATCAAAGAAGTTGGATGAAGTTACATTTTCCATCACAAAGAAACGTATCAGAAAACAGTTTCAAGGCCAGGACAGGAAGACTGGGATGAGGAGATTAGGAGTCAGGAGGAGTCACGAGGGGCAAAGGAATGTGTGAGAACCCATCACCGAGGGGTACCGATACAATGAACACCATGTGCAGAATAAGATGAGCAGATCTGAAGGAAAGTAACGGTCCAAAGTTGTAACTGTAAGAGTCAGTACTTTTAGAAACTGAGTGAAGTTGTCTTGGATCGGGGAGAGAATAGAGGAGGAGGTCTGTGGTCACTGTTGCAAAGGGCTGACCTCGCCGACCAAAACCACAGAAACTCAAGATTGAGAACGACTCCTCGGAGGACGAGCAGGAGAGCTGAAGGAGGAAGAGCCACACGGACTCTGAGTTAAAACTCAGAGACCAGCAAGCAGGCAGTCTGTCCAGCTGATCACTGGATGACTCGGGAGAGGAGAGAGGCTGAGAACGTCCATCAAGACGATTACTCGACCGACCAGAGAAGGGCACCATGCACATTCCAAGAGGAGTAGCTGAGTGAGCCAAGTATCTGAGGGAGAGAGAGAGATCCTGCCTACAAGAGCCGGGGGCCGTCAGAGTGCACACTGCATACCTGTCCAGGACTTGTTGTCAGAGTATCCTATCGTGACCCTGCGGAAGTGGCTGCTAGTTACCAGTAGTATAGTGATACGCACACTCATGCATCCATACATGACACACCTTCCTTCTTGTACCCACTGTGTTAATCTTGATTTTATTATTAGTACACTTTTCTTAGATAGTATTCGCGATCGGGATGCTATGATTTCCTCATAAATTAGTGTTGCGAGCGAGTCGGGCTAATCATGATTATGATAGTCGACTGTGAACGTATTTGTTAACCATATTGACTCTTAAGTGCGTTCTTGTTTTAATCGGGTATTCCTGAACCTGGCATTCCTAACTGAATAACCTTTAACCTAACATTGTACTGATCAGTATATTTTCAAGTATATTCGGAAACTTAATAAACTCTGTTAAACGACCATTGGTCTCCGAGTCTTGAGTGTATCGATTCTAAGCAGCCCTGCGCGATTACCAATCTCGCACATTTCCGTACGACTGTCATTGGGGATGTTTTACTCTGGGACGCTACCCTGGGTGAATGCAGTATGAAGCTATATAAATTCAAGTTGTTCTTGTACTATGTAAAACTGAGGAGAATTAGAACTTTATTTTAAATACAAGAGGGAAAAAAGGCAGTAATTTGAAGCATTTTAATTATTTTGAGTGAAAGTGGAATGAGGGAGAGGATCTGTCAAATTGGCTGGTACATTCACAGGAGCTATTGTAACATAATTCATTCGAATGGGCGACTGAGCTCTTCTGAATGGCCTAGTCAGTAAAAACTGGTGCAGTACTAATTCATAGATCCTATAGCGTAGTGATTGGCATGTTTGCCTCACAAGCGAGAGACCTGGGTTCAATTCCAGGCAGCGAGAAACATTTGCAAGTTTCCTTACTCCACACGCTTGTTACTTAGCAGTAAGTAGGAACCCGGTTGTTTGTGGATTGGCAGATGCTTTTCGGGGGTAATAATCCCTTCAAAAAAAATTTAAAAAATTATTTTGTCACTCAATCCACGACTATTTGTGGGACCCTACTGTGCACAATTGGCCCACAAAACATACAGTTAATTCACTTTACAGTATATTCTGTGAAACGCTTTGAGACACTTCAAAGACGTGATAAAGCACTATATCAAATGCAAGAATTATTGTTATTATTCTTCTTCTTCAACTCCACACCAGTTAAAGTATAATTGCAATTGGTTCAATATAAACCTTTTTAAACTTTAATAAGTTCCCACAGTCAAATTAACAAAATACCAGAAGTATTATTACCACAACCAGAGTCAAATTAACAAAATACCAGAAGTATTATTACCACAACCATTTATTTCAACAGATAGTTACACAAATGGAAACAGCTTTTTTAAGATCACAATGCACACATCTAGATTAATATATTAAAGCTTTTAACATTAAGACAATGTTACATTAACAATTCAATCTAGTACTGAAGTGAAAATGAGATAAAGAGTATATCAAAATATTTTAACCACATTGGTAACAAACTGATAGATAAAATATTTAACTGTGAAGTATACACAACATCGATTTACATTTACGCCTCTCATTGTGAGGATGTCCAAAGGCACAGGACAGTTGATTGTTTGCAACCGACCCGGGGATTGGATTAAGAGGATGGGAGGGGCAAGAGTTTTGGGGCGGGTCAAAAGATGATCAAAGGCATGATCAAAGAGGAGGGTCTTGAAATGGATCTTGAAGGGGCGGGAAGGGCCGAGGCGAAGGGACTTGGGATGGAGTTCCAGAGGGTTGGTGCAGATAGGCTGAAAGTCAAACTGGTCAACAATCCCCCAATAAAATTGGCTTGAACTTTGAAGGCCCAACTACCATTGGTAGGATGGGCAGGGTGGGGTCGTGAAGCAGGCCAGTGCCTCCTGAGCAGAGGGAGGGGTGGGTTGGTAAGGTTTTAGGAGGTCACAGAGGTAGGATGGGCCAAGACTTTGCAGGGCTTTAAAAGTGAGGATGAGGATCTTGAGCCTGGAGGGGAAGAGGACTCGAACTGCAGAGTTCTGAATAATCTGCAGCTTTTGGAGGTAAGAGTTGGAAAGTTCGGCGAGCAGGGAGTTAGTATAGACAAGGGATGTGATGAAAGCTTGGACACAAGGCTTTACGTTTCAAGTCTAAAAGTGCAAGATTCACATAAACAACATTACAGAACAAATCAATCATTTTATCACTGAATAAGTATAGCTATTATTTAATACAAGATTTAACAACATTGAAACCAAAACACTTAGTGCAATAAATACTCAACACAGCAGTCAGTCACCAGTTACATCATCACAAACAACATCAAAATGACACACATTTTCAATCACAAGTATTACTTGTCAGAATCACAACACACAAAAACAAACATAAACAGTGCTATAACTATATTACTAAAACATAGAACATCTCCTTGGTAGAAGTACCTCAATACTTATAGATTTAAGCATGTGTTACTGTGTAAATTGAAGTTTAAAAAGTGTAACCTGGAGAAAACACAGAACGCACAAATCTTACATCAACGACTTCAGTTGACATTACTAAACTGACAAATCTTCCATAATAAGTGTGTTTTCTTTACAGGATGCTCTCCCGCTCTTCTCCATAAGCATCACTGGAACCAACCACATGGGCCTCAGAGGAGACGGTACTCTTCGAGTGCTTGATGAAATTCGATGAGGCGACAGACGACAAGACACGCTTAACACCTATTCCTCTCAGATTGTCATTCTTGAACGAAGCTGCATATGTATCATTCTGTGCTGATGCCTTGCCCACTGCTGAGCTTGCCGTTGGATGGATAATGACTCGAGATCCATTATTTTCTAAGTGCTCAGGGTCATCGGCTATTTCCATAAATTCTTTGCTCTCAGCCTCACCTGCATTCTGAGCCCTACTGGAAGGATTGCTGTTGTTATTCAGGGTCTCAGTGCTTGCTGTGCGGTTGATGTTAAACATCTTCTGAGGAACGGGCCAATTCTCTTCAGGACTGCTGGCTATCAAACTGCATTCAGAGGTAGAACCACTAGGGCTCTTCTTATCTTCAGAGCAGATAGACATACGGGCAATACTTGGGTCTTGAAGGCCACTTAAACTGTTAGGTATACCTCTCTTTTCTCGTGATGGGTTATCCTCTAGTTGTATCAAATTTGTCTTCTCTCGTTGACTCTCTTCTATTTCATCATTGAGAGAGTGGTTGGGGGAGCTCTCATTGGACCTGACTCCAGAATCAGATGAATCTTTCTTGTCGAGCATTCCATCGGAGAGGTATTCTTTTGATTTGATCAAGGATTTGGCAGCCTCGGTTTTGGATTCAGAGGAATTAGCTTGCTTTTCTGATTTCCCTTCTGCGTTCTTGCCTTTCCCATCTTTAAGAAGTGGAATATAATCGGATTCCTCTTGACCCGACTCATCTTCATCACTGGGTAGTTTCTGATAATGTAAGCCTTTTCTCGTCAGGTCTGCTCCTTGAAATATATTCATTCTCTCCGAAGACTTTTTCTTGGAGAGGAGCTTGGACATTGAACTGTCTGATTTTTCATCTTCCTCAGTGATAGGATCCAGTGGAGATACATCTGATGTTGAAGAAATAGTGGATGATGTGTAGTCTCCAAGGTCACCTACAGAAGGCTTGCCTCCACGTTGCACTGTGTCTCTCTTTCCTGAAAACAATTTTTTATCTTCATGTTGCTTCTCATCTGAATCCTGTTCCAAAGTGGGATGGAGGGGAGTGCCTGTTGTGTTCTTTGCTCCAAAGAGTTTACCAGAGCTATGAGATGAAGTCACGTTAGATTTGTCAGTGTTGGAGTTAGTTGGTCCATCGATATTGGACATTTGCGCAATATATTCTTTATAAGCATCTCTATACTCAGCTTGCTGTTTATCAGTGAGCCTCGAGACATCATTGGAAGATTCTTGAGAGTTGATACTTGAAAGACTTGGTGTTCTGGGAGGCTGTGTAAAACAAAAATGGGTGGAATACAAACTTCTATTAAATACAGTAATTAATTTGTAAATCAATGTACTTAAATACCATATTAAAATGTAAAGGTGGTTAACAGCTGTTAAATTCAGGCAGATTTTACCATAGTTACGTTACTTTTTCGGGCCCAAACCACACAAGCTTCCTTTATTGCATCTATACGATTCACTACAATCAGTTTATTTCAACTGGAACGACTTAACAAAACTTTCTGTGGAGATTTCCAAACTTATTTTTTCATGCACTATTGAAACATTTAATTAAGATTTACTTGATGTTTGGACCTTTCTGAAACTCTGCATGTACATCAATAAACCAATATACATGTGAGAAAAAACATAGCTTTGAATTTGGCACTACACTGGAGCAATGTGAATCAACTTTTCATTTCCCACATGTGTAAAGGCATCCATTGTGGAAGAGCCTGAATGAATGCAACACAAACCTGCCAAGTTGGATTGGTATGTTGTATTGGTTCATCAATACCCACAGCCCTCAGCTCCTCAAAACTAAAATTTAAGCAGTAATTTTCTTGTGAGGAGCTTCCAGGAACCTCAGTGTTGCTTGATTGATCGCTGTTTGGTGGAAGATGACGAGAACGATCATTTTGTGTCTGAACATTATTACTGTGATCACAAGTTGTTCTTGATTCTTCTTGAACAGCCTGGGTTTCCAAATGACGCAGTTCAAAAACCTATCAAAACATTGCACAAAAACAGAGTGATTACTCATGTTCCTAATGAGATGCAACATATTGAAGCATTAGGTACAATTTGATACTCTTTGCTTTACTGGAGCAACTGCATTTCATTAGTTATCTCATCAGTCTTATCATATCAAAGATAGTGTCAATTAACTCAAATGCAAATTAGATAGATTAATTTTAGAAAATAGTATTTTGGGATACATTATATGAGTAATTTGAGAATATGCTTGGAAGAACTAAGAAACTTTGGATCGATGGTTCCCAAAGCTTTCCACTGTGTTAGTAAACAAATCCATGCAGAATTAATTGCTATCAACATCTCCACTATTGTAGTACATGACTACCAGAATTGATGACAGACTGGATGGACCTTGGTCTTTTTTCATCCAGTAATTCCTATGTTGTAGGATAAAATCACCATCTTACAGAGTACATAGGCTCATTCGCGACATTAAAAAAGGCAAGTAAAACTTCAGGGATCTTTTCTTCAGCACAGCAAATTCCTCTTCTTTAGGTTTTTTCATTTCTGAAGAACTCCTTGTTGTATGTTCAGCTCCACCTAGCAAAAGGCTCCTTCCAATTGCTGAGCTGCTATAATTCAGGATACTCTACACAGCTACAAAGAGCTACACATAAAATCTTTGTGCTGTATAATTTAAGAATTCTATTAACACTTTAATAACATAATTGTCTCAAGCATTAGCATTTTGTTGCAGTTAAAACAAAATGAAGTCCATTTAGCAAGGACATTTTTATAAGTTTGTTATGAGTTATGAAGGTCTTTCATTGGTGATATAAACCCAATAAGGCATTGGTTCTTTGAAAAATTAATAGAGCCTTCCTGAAATATACCTAGCGAAGTTACTCTATGTTGTACTGAGCGAGGAAAAATTTGCAGGGCTATGGGGTGGATGGGTGGTGGGGGGGAGAGTGGGACTAATTGGATAGCTCTTTCAAAGAGCTGACACAGGCACGATGGGCCGAATGCTCTCCTTCTGTAAGATTCTATGATTCTAATATCAGCGAGGAATGATGGTGATGATGTCACTGTATATAAAATTTTATTCAATTGTACCAATGACTTACATACATAGTAGCTCTTAAAATAACTAACTGCTGTGCAGTTTCCTCTATGGGCCAGTTACCCTTACTTCTCAGTGGTAAGAAAGATACGTGTATGCCTGTCTTCAGTTTAATTTTCCTTTCCTTCAAGCTTTCATTAAGGCAAATTTATAAATTCACTTTATATTCCAGTGCAGTACTGAGGGGTCACTGGACTGTTAAGGAAACAAACAATTGGTCCTACCATGTTTCTAAACAGCTGCCAGTCACCAAAATTCATGTTCAATTCTTTCTTCAGCTCATCCAGATTGCACTGATTTAATACTCTTCCATTAATGTTTGCCTAAAATAAAAAAAAATTTCAAGTAACAAATCTGTATAAAAATAAATGCGTAATGTAAAATATCCTTGAGCAAGTTATATATTGCATATTACTGTGCACACAATTTGGGTAAACATCAACTGTTAGTGAGATTTCTAAATGATTCCCTCAATATACAGTCATGAATTAATAAAGGGTTATGAATTAATAAAGGGTAATAATACCTTAAACAAAAGTCACTCAATCCACGACTGTTTACAGGACACCGCTGTGCGCAATTGGCTGCCGTGTTTCATCCACAAAATATAGTCAAATCACTTTATAGTATATTCTGTGAAGCTCTTTAAGACGTCTCAATGACATGATAAGGCGCTATATCAAATGCAAGAATTGCTGGATATCTCCTTCAATGTTCTGCACAGATCATGTAAAAGTATAAACTAAAACTGACCTTATACGTATTTTTTTAAAAATGATAGCTTTTATAATATAATGCCTGGTTATACCGTATATTTTAAATAAAGCAATATTAGCAATAACTATTTACTTCAAAATTAATATTTTCTAACTTGGTACTCAGTGAGTGTCACACAAATGTAAATGAATATATTGAAAATATCAGCTAACGTTTTACACTGACTGCTGTCCATCTTGAGAAAGAAGGAATTTGTGTTATCTTTGACCAATGGCTTGGAAGAGGCTAAGGAGGCAGCGAGGCGGAGTGATTGGGGGATGGAATTCCAGAGGTTGGGGGCAGAGTGGCTGAAGGCTCTTCCGCCAATGGTGGGGCGGGTGGGTCGTGGACGTGGAGCAGGCCAGAGCCGGCTGAGCGGAGGGTGCGGGCTGGTAGGGGGTTAGGAGGTCGCAGAGGTAGGGTGGGGCGAGGCCATGGAAGGCTTTGTATTATCGATTATTATTAATATTGAATATAATAGCACAATATAATATAATTATATATAATACAATATATAATATATAATAACACAAGGTATTATACTTAAAGAGCAATGGGTTTTGGAGTGGTCTGACGATATAAATCTTTCAAAAGAAAAATTAAACTCTTTGCACATAATTTACAACAGCAGCAATGATATTTTCTAAATAGTTTCCAATGATAAAAATGATATTGTCATCTAATGATGTAATTAAATAATCAAGAAACATTAGACAATCCTGGTGAATCATGTTGCACTAAACAGTACAAAAACTATTCTTGCATCATAAAGTAACCATAAAAATAATAATCCTTGCATTTGATACAACACTTACATTTTGGCAGGATGTCTCAAAAGCTTCAATAATATTTTTTGCATTTGGTATCGTACTTTTCACATAAGGAGGATGTTCCAAAGCACTTCACAGGACATACTACGATGTGGAGTAACTGTATTTGTGAGCGATAGCAGCAGCCAATTTGTGTGCAGCAACATCCCACAGACATGAAATGAATGGTCAATTTTACTGGAGCATTGTTGACCAGTCGAACTTTCAGCCTATCTGCCCCCTCTCTCTGGAACTCCATCCAAGAGTCCCTTTGCCTCGCCCCTTCCCTTCAAGATCCATCTCAAGATCTTCCTCTTTGACCCCATCTTAATAATCTAGCCCCACCGTCCAACCCCACCCACCTTGGTCCCCATCCCTCCTGAATCCAACTCCCAGCTCGGATGCAAATCATCAAATGTCCAGAGCTTGGGATGTCCTCTGGATGTGGAAAGTGCTGTATAAATACAATTGTTTGTTGTTGTTGGAATTGCCTACCTTCTTAATAGTGGCAACGTACTGGAGTAGCATAGCTTGATCAAGTCCTTCCAATTGTTTAACTTTTGCACAGATACCATCCACATTCATTGAACTGAGTAGAGCAGCAGTGGACACTGGTGCAACTGAGGTGGTCACCTATTGGCAAAAAACATTAAAACAATGATTTTACCAGCAGAGACTGTGTTGGGAAAGCCCAGATTATCTGCAGGAAACAAAATTAGAATCTGCAAAAAATTTATACATTGAAGGCACAGTTATTTGGGTAATATCATTAGTGCAATAAGTTTGTTAATTAAAGAAATCATAATAATAATATCAAGCATGCTTAAAGTTTCAATGTTAGAAGCATTCATGCTATAATACTGAAGCAGCACACTTGTTAATTCTACATCGCAGGCACGTTGAAAGAAAACAATTGAATTGTATTAACCATTCTCTATACAATTCAAGTTTCTTAGCTAAACAGCATTAAATAAATATACAATTATAAAGCTAAATCCATTCAATTTATAAAAAAATACAACCACAAAATGACTTCCAGAATGCACTAACAGCACTGAAACTCAAACTGAAAGTAAAGGTTTCATCAGTCATTGTTGGTGGAAGAATTTGAAGTGGAGAACTGCTGGATAGAACAATGAGTACATATCAAGGCCAAACTAATTGGGTAGACATTTTTCCTCTGCTGCCTGTAAGGATCTTAAATGAACTTTGGCCATTTCAACCAATTTCTCATAGAAACTACAGCTGAGAACCAGGCCATATGGCCCTCAATGGGAAACATCCATAATACAAACTGCCCCAGATTGGCACTAACTTGGCAGTCTGAGTTGGAGAGTTTACAAGGATACCAGCTGTTGGAAATCAGAACAAAGTCACATTGCTGTGGTACAGAGCTCCCTTATGAGGACAGAACAAATACATACTGTTGGGTTAAAATGTGGGAAATATGCCTCTGGAGCTGGTATGTATGCCCGATCCAAGACCAGTACCAAGTTAAGCCACGTATCAGGATAATTCAATAATTTCTGATAAATTCTCCCAAACTTGGGTGTTTGAAACTCAACTCTCAGCTTTCACAACTTTCTTACACCAGGTCACTCTGAGATTCTGCACTGAAATGCCATGCATTTGTGTTAGGAGACTTGAAATGTGGAACTATCATCCCACCAATCTGATTGTGAAAATGAATTTGCCAAAATGAGGAGAGAAATCTCGGGGTTCAAGCTCATAGATCATTAAAATCTAATTCACAATTGCAGAAAGCAGTTAATGAGGCAAGCTGGATGTTGTCCTGTATTGCAAAAGATCTGGAATATAAAAGTAAGGTAGTGCTTCTCCAAGTCATATAGAGTGCTATTCAAGCTCTCTTTCATAATACTGTGTTCAATTTTAGACATCAGAAGTTAGGTAGGATATAGTGACGGTTCATTGGATTAATAACATGAAGGGACTTAGCTATGAGGAGAAGCATTTTATACAGCACTGTATCACGTTGTTGAAATACCATAAAGCCTTAACAGGATTTACTGTAAAATATAGTGACTGTGTGTTTGTAGGCAAAGGCAACATCCAATGTGTGCCCGCCTGACCCACAAACAGTCATGACCAATGTTGTCTGGAGGACTGTTGACCAGGGCAGAGAAAGACTCTTTCTCTTTTCAAATAGTGTGATGGAATCTTTAACGTTCACCGGAAATGGCAGACGGGACCTTGGTTTTGTTCGGAATACAGTTTTAATCTTGTTCTGCGGGTTGGCGCCATTATTGAATGTTCCCCCACCAGATTTTGCAGTAACATTAGCACCAAAATTAAAAATGTACTTCACATTTATGACCCATCTGAATTGAGAAAATAACAATTGTTCCATTTCTATGTGATTTAAGATGAAATGGAGGAGTGATTAATTTTTTTTAATGAATAAAAGCAGAAAATGAATTCCAGAATTTATGGACAGCACTGATAACAAAAGTGAAAGCAAAATGGTGTAATAGTTCTTAGTTAGTGAAAGAAGTTGAAGTGGGATACTGTTGGGATAGTCCTGAGTTCATCATATCTAGGCCAAACAAACAGCTGGCTGTAAGGGTCTTAAAAGACCTTTTATCTATCTCAACCAATTTCTACAGATTACATCTTCAACTTATTTCACTAAGAGCAATCAAATTTGCTTTTGGTTTTGTTTTCAGTAATATTGATGCATTCTGGAATTTATTCTGTGCTTTTCTTATATGAAAGAAGTTTAATGGCTCCTCTATGACATTTTAAATTACACAGGAATTGCAGATGCAATCTTTCAACCCCAACCCACCCCCAAACCACTTTTAAGGGTGTAAAAGATTTCAGGAAAATCCTCAGATTCCATCTTAAACTGGGTTTATACGGGGTTTATCTTGGAGTCCTGTAGCTCAGTGGTTAGAGCACTCGCTTTGCAAGTGAGAGACCTGAGTTCAATTCCAGGCAGGGCGAAACCTTGGGCAAGTTTCCTTACTCCACACGCCTAATAATAATCCCTCCAAAACCAAAAACAATAATTAAATTGGTCATTTTCAATCTACGACTGTTTGTGGGACATTGCTGTGCGCAATTGGCTGCCGCGTTCGCCCACAAATATACAGTCAATTCACTTTACAGTGTGTTCTGTGAAGCGCTTTGGGACGTCCTCCTGACGTGAAAAGCGCTATATCAAATGCAAGGATTATTATTATTATTATTATTATTATCTTGCTGAACAGGCATCGGTGGTGAAATTTTTCACGTTGTCTTCTCCTGATAAGGTGATGGAAATCAGAGAGCAAAGTCACATGAAACTTAAGTACATCTTCTGACTTCCTCTACAGTAACTAAAGAGTGGTCAGTTGGGAAACCAGGCCACAATATCAATCCAGCATAAGAATATTTAAACCCTGGATTTTCTGGGGACCTGAGAGGAGACAAGTTTGGGATTTTCTAGCGGGACAAACTATACATTGAAAAAGATGTCTTCTTGCCATCCCTGCTTGGGATTGCTCATCATTGCGATTGGGATCTCGGAATGGCCCAATGTTTCATTTTGCTTTTGTAACATCCTTTGATATGAGCACAAAAAAAAAGTAAAAGTGCATTTAAGTTATGAAATGTCCTACAATCCAATTTAGTTGGGACATGCAGGAAGAATGACAAATAAAAACAACATTTACTGTTTTTCACCAAGACACCAGTGGCTCAAAATTTCTCTTGGTCTTAGCCTTAAGCCCATTGCAAAACACTTTGAGACTTCCTTCAAACATGAAAGGTGCTTTATAAATGTAAGTTCTATTATCTTAAAATTTAAGATTCCGCACAATCTTTCAAAACATTTCAATTGAGTCTAATTTGAAAAAAACAAATTCCAAATTAAGAAAGAATACAAGAATTTTCCAAAATTCTGCAGAATCTTAAAGTTTAACATCATGGGGTTAAGGCTACAACATGAGGAATATTGGGCCTGGAAAGATTAAACATTTATTCAATCTTTGAGCAACACAAGTTANTTTTTGCTTTTATTAGTCCAGTTAATACACTTACCTGCATCATCCATCCAGGTGCCCAGCAATATTTGAAAGAGTAATACTACACATCTCGAATAATCATCTGAGCCACACACATTCAGAAAGATGCATTTTGCATATACATAGAAAGCGCAACACTTTATGGTAATAGTACTCCAATATCACAAGCTACAAACTTCAGAAACTGTACTAGTGAAACACACTTACCTCCACGTTAAATATGAAACACTTCATTTTAACAGGACATGTACAAGCATATACCCTGCTACAAGGCAAGATTTTTATTGAGAAACTATTTTCTAATCTTGTCAAATTTTCCTCTCAGACCAGACAGAAACTGAGGAGCTGCTTACAGTCTTCCACCTTCCTCTTAAATCTGCAAGCCTAAGCCACAATGGCTAGTGTTCCTAACAGAACATGAAGTGGGAAGCTTGATAATCTGAACAGTTTTATCTGATTAAACTTCAATTGTACCCTAATGCAGACTTTGGGTTCCCCAAGTCTTGTCTCTTGACAACTGTGTCTAAACTATCAGGATTATTTAAACATGTTGCATCCCTCTGGGGTGAGAGTGTGCATTCCATGTCAGATAAACAAAAACATACATATGTGGAACTTTCAATAATTTGATACATAGTCTCTGACCCCCCCCCAAATTATGATCAATATTAAGAAGTTAATAGAGTTACCTTTTTGGTATATAGTATTTCGAAACCTCTCAACACATTTTTAATACACGTAGTCTGGCATTTAAGACAATGTCATTTTTTCTTAAAATACCATCTGAAGTGTAACATGTTTGCTCATGTCCATGTTAAGATAAAGGTTCACTAATAATTATGAGCCAATTATTTTTTTCTGCAGAATAAAATGGTACCAGTAAAATGACTGGCATTAGAAAGCACTCTTCACTCAACAGCATATCAACATGCAAAAAAAGGTCTGTTAAGTAGAGTTAATCTGATTATCAAGCAGTCTCTTGGTTAGTAAGGAGCAACAGAAAATAACTGTCTTAACACAAGCTGACAAGGTTCCAGCAGTTAGCACTGATGCCTCATAAAACAGTTTCAGTCCAGCAGCATGGAAGGTTATTGTACCTGCCTCTGTTTTGAGAGCTTTAATTTAAGCTGCATTGGAGAAAAGAGAAATATAGACATCAAAAATATCCAAAAAGGCAAAGTTGACAGAAGATGTTCAGAGGAAGCAAATATCATATAATTGTTAAATAAAACCTCAATGAAAATATCATACTGGGAACCATTTATGCTAAACTGAAAATTCCCCATATGGCTAGTTCCTGGCAGAAACTCCTTTTTAATCTTCTCATTTAAACAGTAAAGGATATCTCAACGAGGAAGTTTCCACTTACCTAACATTAGCCATTTGGGAAAGAAGGATGCCGCCAAGACTGCTGTTTTACAGTTGGGTTTATTGCTGCAATTCTACTTCATATTTAGCAGGAAATCATCATGACTTTGGCAGCAATTCGCCATCAAATGTTCAATGTAAATAGTGTCTCAGACAGAGCAAGTTATACTGAAAGCACCTAGTATAATGGTGGGGTGGGAATCTCACTTGACTGCACCTCAGATGCCTTGGGAACTCTTAATGGAACAATTTTAGTGTTTAAATGAAACAGCCAATAGTCTGGGCACACACCAAAGCAACAGGCTTCACTCCAGAAGTATAAATACAGGATGTGGTAATTTCTGAAGAGTTAATTGTGCTCATTAATGCACAACATACTCTCTGTTTAACCACAATTCAAAAGACACTCAACATTTTTTTTAAAAAACGTTGGTATTTCCCCAAAGATTTGCAAATTATTTTCTCAAAAGAGTTGATGACTATCAGTAATTAAAAAAAATTCACTGCAATACTTGAGTTTTACAAAGTAAATGCTATAATAAAAATATCATACTGGGAACCAGTTATTAAAAGGAGTCCTCTGTGCATCGAAAACAATTTTGGAACCTACCACGTTCCCTTAAAAATCTAAAAATAACATTCAGAGACATTCTAAACATGGATATAATTGTAATTTACCAGGCATTTTGTAGATATGGAATTTGTTCAAAGCAGAACCTTCTCATTAACAATATTATCCCTGTTTACAGTCAAGCACCACATAACCCTTTTGATCACTGAATGCCATTTCCAGGCTTCAAAATCAATACTTTTTCCACATGCTATCCATAAAGAGATTGACCACAATTTTATTGTATTTTAATATAAAGACATTGCCAAGATCGTCAAAAGGTTTCAAGCAGAGCCATAAAAACGAAATGCATTTTAAAAGTGAAATTCACAGCCAATGTGAAAGCAGACGTGTACCTAAATAAATATGGTTTCAGCCAATACTAGTATGAAGTTCATGGTTTAGCATGCGGTTTATGTATACCAAATGGACCTTTGATAATGCAGTCTGACTAAAACAGCCCTATAAAAGCTATTAACTTTCCAGATCACTGTCACATATGTTCCTCTCAATCCAGTCACAATACACAATAGTGAAGGAAGAATGTGGAATGGAGTAGAATGACTGAAAGGCAACTGAGGAGGGAAGCAAAATTCAGAAATATATAAAAATGATATCATGCGAATAGTAATGACTCATAAATGACTGCCATTTTCTACCTGTACAAGACGTAAATTGTAACTTTTGTTCTTTGCTTAAATTTCATTTGCATTTATGAGATCACAAATAAAGTTTTCCTAAACCTATCCCCCAAGGAATATCATTCAAATATGTTTTGAAATCCTCGTCCTGATTTCTGAATAATAAGTCCACTGTTTAACCAACAATAGTTGCTTTACAAGATAACAATTTAGTTAAGTTGTTATCGAGTAAAGCAGCATAGCCAAAACCTTAATACTGCCCGCAAAAACTTCAATAATCTGGCTACCGCCATCCCTGTAGTCCCACATTGCATACCAGAAGTTCTTCGACCACCTTTATATCTGATACTAGTTCCAGTGCCACACTCCCACAAATCCAGCACAAACAGCATCATTATAAGTGACCATCTGTAATACAGGACATTTCCACACACAAATAAATCTCTCTCTTTCTTAATACTATTCCCCAATAACATCAGAGAGCACAGAAAACCTGTGCTAACCCCAAGAGTCTGGTACATATTGCTCACTTGGAGGCTACGACAATAATCACCTGCACTAGAATGAGAGAGATCCAGCTCAGAATCTTATGTCGTACATAGCTTACTCCACACAAACACCAAAATGCCACCTCTTTATAAGCAATGGACTAAATGTTCATTAATTAATAGGTGTTAGATCCCCAAACAGTCACAATTTCCACTTTGCTATTCAGTGAATACTGCTGGAAAATGTGTGAGTGCGTGTATGTACACCATATCAGGAATATGGGTGGCTGTGATTCCCTCCTCCTATAACCTGTTCATACTCACTGTCTGGGCTCAAACATAATTGCCACTTGGATTAGCTAATGGAGCCTATGGACCCAAACCGAATGTGCTTCAGTACAGATAAAAAAAATTGCGAACCAAACTGCATAAGCAAAGTTGAGCATTCCAAATTACACTCGCGACTCTCAAGTCTAACTGTGGGATATTCCTCAACACCCAGGAAAGTTCTGTGCCGGCCAGTATTCTATAAACCAATTGGTGTCCTGTATGATCAGACTGAACACTCAGCCAACCACAGTGAAGACTGCTGAGGGCAAGAGTAAGGAGCATTTACATTGTTGACTCTGAAGGTGTTGAGTAAACCACCCTTTGACATGCTCCACTTATTTTCAGAGATAGCAGTGGTTCATTCTGTAGCACAACATTAAGTTGGTATCAGTGGCAGCATTGTAAGGTAAATGAAGCACAAGACCATGGCTATAAAAAGCATGGGGCTGCTGATAAAGGCAGCTGTGATGCAAACAGATTTTCCTTCAAGGGCAATTTTAGAGCTTCAGCTCAGGCCCCAGATCTCATTGAAGTCAAAAGTATGCAACTGTGTTGCGTGGGGGATTTACTGGAGAAAACAGTTTACATCACTGACTCTTTCATTGAGGGCTACCCAGAGGTCAGGCCATTAGAGTGCCTTTTCAATGCCATTGTCCTTTTAGGAAATTCAAGAACCATGTTAATCATGTAAGATATCCCCACCCTTCCTTACCCCCATTGAATATAGGGCCTCACAACATGAACATATCTCAGTTTTCATTGTGAAAGGATGTGCCAGTTGATAAGATAAATGAAATCCACAAAATATAAATCTCAGAGTGCACCAGGTCAGAATGAGTTTGAGAGGAAGTTTTGTATCTAAGATTGTTATTTAAAAAAAACATTCCTACATAATCAAACCAACTGAATAATGCCAAAGGAGAACAGAAAACGAAAACTGCTGGAGGGCTGCGGCAAAGGCACCTGCGATGTCAATTATATTTAATGAGGCTAGCTTGTAAGTTAGTCCATGCAGCTGCCTTGCAGATAGCATCAAGAAACATCTCTTGCATGACTGCCACGATGTGGCCAAAGCACAAAGAGAACAAGTCTTAACCTTTCCTGGAAGCTCACAGCCAGCGAAGGAACATACTGTATATTAGACCATTCAATTTGTTAATCGTAGCTTGTATTTTATGACCAAGCAAACTGCCTAAATTGGCAAATGTTCATGTTTCTATCCATACTGAATTCCCAGACTCTGTGAATATAAAAAATGACTGTGTAACCAAGGTAGAACATGCAATAGAGGGAAACTTGGACAATTTTGTTGAGACAAGTAACTTAAACCTTACACTCGCTCAGGAATGAATTGAATAGGGTCTGCAGATGTCTTATCCTCCTCTTCCTCCTGCTCCAAGCCAGACTCTAATCCAGTGGTGGTCAACCCATGACCCGCGGGGCCGGGAAGTTGCCCCGGGGTCATCTCTAAGCAGCCCCTGAATATTCAACTAGTCTCGGTAAATCCGTGGTCGATAGTAGCATGTTTCCAGGTTTTTCTTAATTGAATATTTCTTGATTTCTGTCATAAATCGAGAGATTCAATCAAGAAAATTTTGTAGTCCGACCCACTGCTGTAATCTAAGAATTCCAAGCAGACACCATAAGATAAATGACCAATTAATCTATTGGCTAGGTTACCAGGAGAACCTCATCTTTTTGAATCGTGTCATAGAAAATTTAATGTTCACAACAAAAGTGTAATGAGGCTTCAATTTAATGTCTAATCTGAAAGAAGGCATCTCCAATAATGCATTGTTTCACTGTGTTCTGCGCTGGAGTTTCAGCCTCGAATATGATCTCAAGTCCTAATGTCGGCCTTAAACTCACAATCTTCTGACCCTGACACCATTTCCAGAGCTTTGATACATCCTCGTGATGTGAAAGGTGCTATACAAATGTAATTTGTTGTTGTTTTGAAGGATCAACAACCAACTGATATTCATTCACATATCCTCTATTTTGCAGTGGAAAAAAAATCTGATCTTCTAAAAGATTTGTTAATTTTATATCAAGTCCTCTACTGCTATGTTCACAGTCTTAAATTAGATATCCTACTTACATTTATATTGTCAATCTCTCAGACCTGAATCACATTCTTCCCTCAATTATGTTAAGCTTAGCTTTGCACAGCATGGACCCTTACGACCAGAATTGTAGAAACTAGAAGAACATAGGAATAGAGTTGGCTATTCAGCCCATATGGATTCACTATTGCTTTTTTTTAAACCCTCCTTCACAAATTATGTCCCTTTGAAGATCAGTTGGGTAAAATTGCAGTCAGTGTTATGTATAACAACATTCACATGTTGGGCTTTAATGGGAGTTCCCCATTATAATCGCACATCCTCAAAGTTGCTGTACAGAATGCTGACTGGAATTTCTGCACAAGGTTGTCAAACTGGGTCTATTCTACATGTGTAAACACATGTGTACAGCGGCATTTACACGTGTCCTTAATTATGTAATTTGCAACCGATTCCTTCAATTGGTTGTTGATTAGATAATTAAGGATGGACATAAAATCTAAAAACGGTGTTCAAATCAGGAATGACTACAACAGTACTTAACAAGTAAGGAATAAATGAGGATTTAGTGAAGATAAATTGCTTGTATGAGTATGAATATTTTTATCAGAAGATGCCTTTACTTAACCTGCATATTCAAGTCTGTAAACTAACTTGAAATGATAAGCAGACTTTGATTATGACTGGAAAGTGGAGTGATTGAGCATCAATCTCTATTTTAAAATGACTGCATTATGTTTAACATCACAACGTTGTGAATCACACGAGAGACAAATAGCGGGTGAGAAAATGATAATGCTGTTCAAAACAGCCTTTCTATTCAGTTAGTTATAGTGGAAGAAGCAATGAGATGCTACAACTCCACACCAAGTGACTACTCATTACCAGTGAGGCGTCTGTGGGGGAAGGAAGCCCCTCAGCAGCATTCTCCTCGATCACTTCCTGACAGGAACAAAATTACATCTTTGGGTAACACATACAGTAAGTACACTGCCTAGACTCAACATACAGCAAATCATTCACACTGTATTTGTTAACACTGTATATAGACTGAAAAACTTAAGACTTTCGATTACAGCCACCTGTTACTTTTTGTTAAATTACATTTGTGTTATTCGATTAAAAAAATCAACAGTCTAAACTATTCTGCTACAGTTATCATCTTTGAATTCACATCAGCATTGAAGTATTTATTATTGCAGATGTTGAACTTAAACTACCAACCTAACATATTTAATTGCTAAAGGTGAAATGTGGCAGGAACTATAGCCAGTTTGATTTAGTTTCTTTCTTTGTAATATATTTGATATTTTTGTCATTTGTTGGCCTGCAGTAGGTGCAATCCATGTTTCTTATGGGGAATTTCCATTGCAATGTTTTCAGACAGAATAATAGACTTGGCAAATACCAGAAATATAACTGGCCCAAAATGGACCATGTACAAGTGTGCACAAACTAAGAATATGGTATACCTATATCAGCAGAATCCTAAAATACTGTAACAACTCATCCTTGGTCATTACTGTAGATTCACAGCATAAAGATTTCAGATTTTTAAAGCAAGAAAACAAGGTAAAAAGCAGCCAATACTGGGTTAGTGTGAGTTGACTATACAGTTAAACAGGCATTTTGCAATCAAAAATAATGGAGGCAATATCAGATGTTATAACACACATTAAAATATGTGTGTTCCTGCTGAAAAAGTATTTTTTTCTCCAGAAAATATACTGGAAGCACTTACTTAAAACGGTAACCCACAAGTACCTAAAATGCAATTTTGGTATTTTAACATTATTTCACAGAAAGAAAGCATGTCTGTGGCAAGAATGCAGTTGATAAAAGTATGACGAGCATTTTAGAAATTTGTAATAGGCACAGTAAACTGAAACAATTCCAAAACTGAGATATATATTTTACAAAATGTATACTGCAATAATGACCTATTGTACGACTGCATTTTCTTAATAATACTTACTAGGTTACTGCTCTGCTCCCGTGACAAACTGGCTTTAGTTGATGAACGTGAGATGGAATACTGCGTACTGCCAAAGTACTGCCTTGGCAGGAAACAGACATGAGGGGCAAAATATGGCTATAGAAAGGCAACAGGTGAACAAAAATAAATTTATGAATCAAATCAAAGTCAAATGAAAACTCAAACAAAAAAATAGATGTATAAATTATCATGTAAGTTTCAACTGTACTAAATATTTACATGTCCATAATAAATTAACCTTAAAATAAAATAAGCACTACAAAGATTTATCAGATTTCCCAAGTATTTCTTCCAGAAGTTGCAGATTATTCACAATTCTGCAACTTGTGTCCTCTCCCACTCCAAGCTCCAAAATCCAAACAGCCCCATCCTCGCCCAGCTTCACTGACTCTCCGTAATAGTAATCCTTGCATTTGATATAGCGCTTTTCATGTCTTCTAGATGTCTCAAAGTGCTTCACAGAATATACTGTAAAGTGAATTGACTGTATATTTGTGGGCGAAACTCGGCAGCCAATTGTGCACAGCAGTGTCCCACAAACAGTCGTGGATTGAAAATGACCAATTTATTATTGTTTTGTTTTGGAGGGATTATTATTAGGCGTGTGGAGTAAGGAAACTTGCCCAAGGTTTCGCCCTGTCTGGAATTGAACCCAAGTGTCTCACTTGCAAGGCGAAAGCTCTAACCACTGAGCTACATGACTCCATCCCTCAGAGGATCAAGTTTAAGATACTCATCTTCACTTGTAAAGCCCTCACAGTCTTGCCACAATCTCTCTACGCTCTGCGAAGTAATTTCTTCTAAATTCTCTTTTTGGGATATAAGACAGTCATTTGTGTCTTATATGTGTGTCCCCTGGTTACACACTATCTAACCAGTGGAAACAGCCTATTTATGTTCACCTAGTCAAACCCTTTTATAATTTTAAACACTTCTATTAAATGGCCCTCCTCAAACAAAAAAAGGCCTAACCTATCCATTCTATCCTGATAGGAGTAACCTGCCAGGCCTGCTATCATAAACTTATGCTGTACTCTTTCCATCGCTACTATACCCTTCGTATAGTGTGGAGGTCAAAACTGCATACAATATTCCAAATATGGTCTAACCAAGGTTTTGTATAAGTTCAAAATCATCTCATTTCTATATTCTATCCCTCTGGATATAAAGCCCAAGACCCCATTGGCATTTTTGTTATAACTATGCAGCTACTTTTAGAGATTTGTAGATCTGAATCCCCAGATCTCACTAAATGACAATGTTAACATACTAGAACAAATCAGATGTGAGAGGAGGGCAATATGGAGATGGTCCAATGTCAAGCTTAATTAAAATGAGCTGCAGTACAATCATGTAGAAACACTGTACAATAAACATATGTTTACTAACCCTGTTATAAAATGGATGCTGGGGTCCCACCATGCCACTGTAGTAGCTGCTGGAAGGTTGCGGTGACATTACATTACCATTGAAGGCACCATGAAATGAACCAGAGGAAGAGCAAACTGATGGTGCCTGGCTGTAGATGGACGCAGCCCGGGGTGGAGCCTCCTGCAAAGGTAGTGAGGGATAAGGAATTCCTGCTATATTCACTGTGGACATCTGTTCCCTGGCTGCACGGACATCTGAAGAAAAAATGCATGGTAAGCTCATTTTTAACACTAACAAATACACACGCATCTCTCAGTCACAGAATTTTTTTTTAAATCTTCGATGCCAACTTATTGAAACCAGGGATCTTGGAACAGCTTCCTGTGATCAGAAGGCTATAAGACAGAACAGCACGAAGACCCAGTACTTCTGTACAGAAACCAACAATGAATCTGAATAAAATACAATATTATTTCTCACTCTGTGACTTACAAATGTAATTTTGTTGTTGTTGATAAAAACAAAAGGTGAAATGTTTCCCAAAACTCTTAGGCAAAAGGTCAGGGCAGAGGGAAAACTGCTACAACTACAAGAAAGTGCAATGGAGCTTCTATTTATCTGCAAAAAAAATAATTTCCAAATGACAGGTCCTCCAGTTTTATAGAAGTGAATGAAATGGAGTCACTGCACTTTCTTCAATGATTCATCATTGGTTGCTGGATGGAAATAATAGGTCTTTGTACTTTCCTTGTGATACACAATCTGTATAAAATGTTCTTTCTGTTGAGAGTACTAAAGGACTCTTGCTCCTCATTGGGTTCCTTGCCATGGTCATTTGAACTAAATTGTAGATTCCATTATTCTTGTGAAAGAAACTTGATATTTGTCTTCCAGAGTTCAAATCCTTTTTAACAACTCAACTTTATACAAAAAAAATCTAATATTCTCTTGAATAGGGGCACTAACAGCTTTGTCCGCAGATCAAGGCAAAACAGAAATACTATAGTAATAATGCCAAAAGAACAAGAGGCCTTGAGATATAACCCAAACCCTCCTCTGATTAGCACACCATTGCATCGTGCAGTACAATGGGCAAGTTTACTGCCCCCAACAGAGATGTGTGCCACAGATAAGCTTAACCCAATAGACCCGGTATGCAGCTGAACTCATTTTAATGGGTGCTGGTTATATCTCCAATTGTCTAAATGTTTGACTCCCATCTGAGTGGGGGAGGGGAAGGGGACTTATTGCTCTAATAATAAAAATAATAATCCTTGCATTTGATATAGCGCTTTTCACGTCGGGAGGACGTCCCAAAGCGCTTCACAGAACACACTGTAAAGTGAATTGACTGTATATTTGTGGACGAACGCGGCAGCCAATTGCGCACAGCAATGTCCCACAAACAGTCGTAGATTGAAAATGACCAATTTATTCTTGTTTTTGGTTTTGGAGGGATTATTATTAGGCTCTGTGTGGAGTAAGGAAACTTGCTCAAGGTTTCGCCCTCTGTCTGGAATTGAACTCAGGCCTCTCGCTTGCAAAGCGAGTGCTCTAACCACTGAGCTACAGGACTCCCTAGATAAATAAGAAACACTTTTTATAAGGTACTGTACATCAAAGATATATCAGGGATATACATGACAGATGAAGTAAATAGGATCTTCTCAGGGACATTTAAACCCTATAGCAGTTGACCACTGTACTAAATAACAAGTGCAGGATGCCAGTTAGTGGGTGGAACTGAAACACAATTTTTTTTAAACAATATACAGGACTGAGTCATCACCAACAAAAGAGGGTGAGACATGAAAAAGAAGCAATTATCATGCTCATGAGACATCTGTCTGGAGATGGATAAAGAGAGACTAACAAAAACCTCATATTGTCTAGTTTTAAAGATCGATGAAATATTAGCAATATCTAAACGAACAACTGAAACTAAAATGCATTGCCCAAGATAGGTCAAGACACAGAAGAATTGTCCAAAGTAGTTGCTGAAATTGATAACAAATCTACCTGAAAAGCTACAATAGCCTTCACAATTTTAGCTGAAAGGCAGCATTACAAATCTAGTTAGTGATCAACTAAATTGAGCCATTTAAACTTAATCTGGCCATCAAAATAAAAGCCAATTACAGTACCAAGAAATCTGACCAAGAAATACAATTTTAACGAATGCATCACATCAGGAAACAACAACTTGCACTTATATAGCACCTTTCATATAGTTAAACACGTCAAGGGGCTTTACATAGATGGATTAATAGTCCCACATGGGTGAGAAAAGGGTCGGAGGGTTGGGATGCGGTGTAGGTTTCAAGAGGCTTTAAAAACTTAGGATACGGTAAAAGGTAGTCCAAAATAGAGTCCGATGGCAAAACTGAACACGGTATAACATTTTTTAAGATTTTTTGGTCAGCCAGGTGACACGTGCAGAAAACCATTACTGTGCTTCAGTCTATACAAAGCAGACTGCGAGTTCCACATAAGTGTGCCACCCAGGCATTGAAATTTCCCTTCGGCTGGAATGGAGTGTAGACTCTGTACCCAGAAGGACGCTCTCTGCTTACCTAATTTTGGAATGGGTTTGGGGCAGGTTGACAAGAGTCAAGGCTCGGGACACCAGAATCAAATCAATTCTGACATTTTAAAAGATGAACAGAAAACAAGTGAGTCACAAAAAGGAAGTGGAAAAAAAAGGGATAGAAAAACTCCCTAAAAAGTAAGTCAAAACTCTGTGTGAAGCCTCAGCAGGAGGTAATCTATAATAAACACAGCGTAGGAATTTGCACTTCAGATGTGGTCCTTGTAAGGCTAAGGCTTGAACTCTGACATTCTAATGACTAATAATCAGGAAGATTGAACATTTCTCATTGCACAATGGATAAACTGTCTGAATATACATTTCAAAAATCTAATACATTACTACTGAATCACAAAGTAGATAAATATTTACACCATTGCTCGATACTACATAGAAGAACTTGGCATTTTTTTAAAAAAGCGGCATATACATCACAGCACTTTACAGATATTATTGTCTAGTGTTGTGATATTTGTTTGCAGGTAAAGGCATAGTGTTCAAAATCAGAAATCTACATCTTTTCAAAATATGCACTGAAATTAGACAACAAATGTTTGTGTAAATTTACTGTAAAATATCAGTTAAAAACATTTCCACTTTGCAGATGAGACTGTGAATAGTGTAACACACAATACTGAAAATATTGAAAACCCAGTTTTCTTGGTTTAGCCATACATATATTTTTTAAATGTTTATTGTGTTTTGGTTAGTGATTTTTTTCTAATTTTCATCAAAGTTCATATTCATTTGAAGTTTATCAATACGGTGGTGCAGGAGAATCAAACAGTAAGTCGGCATCAAGCATTCCCAGTCAAGCAGGGCACAAACAGAGATGCACAGCACAGGAAAGTTTTATGATGTCAGATACACAAACCTCTCTCTCTACTCTGTCACAAGAATATTCCCTCAACTCAACATCAGAAGAGAACCCCGTTTCTGCACCAATGTGATTTCCCCCCCATTTCAACTCAAAGCCATTCGTACTGTCCGAGATTGCCAATCTAGCACGTTTGGGCCAGTGTTGATAATCTTCTGTTGAAGGCCAGCGTTCTGCAGCAAATGGATTAAGACTGCCCAAACCATTTTCATTTAGCATCTTTATAGCCAGCAGAGAGGAGAAATGTACATTCCATCAATTTGTTGGATTTTAAATTGGTCTCAGTGTTGAAGATGTTAACCTTCTGTATTGCCCAGGTCCCCATCTTCCTTTCACAATACATTTTATAAGTTTACCTGAACCACTATATAAAATAAATTAATTAAACTGTACAAAGCATTACAAAACATTTCATGCATGCAGTTTTTATGGTTGGTAAGCCTTGCTTTGCTGTAACAAAGATGACAAAGATGTCAAGGGCAGGACTTTCACACCTCCTGCCCTTGTCTGCGCCACAATTGCTGGCTGAATGTTTAGATACTATGCCCCTAACCTCCGTAACTCCCTCCCTTTAACCTCCAGTTTAAATCACCTGTCTTTAATTCCCATCTTAAAACGTACCTCTGTGATCCAGCCTACGCTCATCTCCCCATTCCCCTCTCACTAATCAACATCCAACCTCATCACTATAAAAACTCCAAGACATTATCCTACGTGAAGGACACTATAACTCCACGTTGTTGTTGCTGTTTTTGTAATTGAACAATCAAGGTCCAGAACAGGCTACTGCGGAACAGGTTACACAGCCCTAGCACTCATGCATCAAAAGAGAATGTAAATAAGTCTCATGGATATTCGTCATGGATAGGATCCATGGCAATTTCTAGAGATCTTGAATTCAGATGCTAAAATTGACTAAAGCAGGCTTTGTAAACACAAAACCATAGTAAAATATAACAAAAATGTTCTGAAATCAGGACAGAAAATGCTTCAAAGCTAAAGCGCTGATGTCTCAAATTCAGTAACAAAACTGCACTTCATAATCCTGTAAAGATGAAATCATTATTCAGTAGACAGTAAAATCCATGAACTGCTGACTATCTTAAGCATTTTGATGGGAAGGATTAAAGAGCCCCACAAAAGGTGTTGCTCATATAAAAAACATATTTAAAGATATAGTTATTCAGTAATTATCTTACAACAATAACCTTCAATGATCATACATGACACAAAAAATACTCACCTGCAATAATCTCACGTAGTTTAGGATCCAAATTCACTGTACAAGGTAGGAACATTTTTACATCACGTGAGGAAAGAATTGGTGTTCTTGAAGATAGGAAAATTTCGAAGCTACGAATATCATTGTCAATTTCCAAAAGTGGTTCTACATCTTTGGTAGATGGAATGTTTTTGGATATTCTGAAAGTAACCACAGGAAATACTGTTGTTAAGCAACAGCAAACAAATCAACATGCTTCTATGGTATTCTACATGGTCAATTCACTTTACATTATATTCTGTGAAGTGTTTCGAGACGTCTCAATGACGCGATAAAATGCAAGAATTATTATTATTATTATGATAGAATGAAAACCTATAAAAGATATTTTCAAAATTCTTAGCATTTTAACTGATCCAATAATAGTAAATTATTCAGGTAGAGTAATAACTGTGCTCCTACAGTAAAATAATCAAAAGAACAAAATCACAATGACAAATAGAAGCAGAAAAAAAAATTAAAAATCTTTTTCAAAATAATATTAATTTATTGTGTTGATAACACATCAAAGCCCCTCACCAGTAATTATTGTCACATTTATTATTTTTGTGGGCAAATCAAGCAATGTTCTGCACAGAAAGCTTCCACACACAGTAAATAACCAATTTTATCTGAAGCATTGTTAGGGAGAAATTATTTTCTTTTGTCAAATAGGGTCATGGGATCTTTTACATTGACCTGTTAAAGACACAGACATCTTAATCTCTCATCTGAAGGATGGCACCTATGAGGATCCAGAACCATTTTTATACTCCGTGTTACAATGTGGTTGAGCAACCCTGGTTGCCCTTTGAAGGTGATAGTGGACCTTCTCTTTAAACTGCTGCCTTTAAGTGCTCTGAGGTGCTATTAGTGTGTCAAGGCTACTAATAAATGCAAGTTGTTTTTTTTCTTTTCTGTTTTTAACAACCGAATGGCCCGCTAGGCTATTTTAGAGAGCATCTTAAAAATTAACCAGGCAATAATGCAAGGTACTACATATAGGAAGTAAGAATAGGAAACACACGTATTCCATGAATGGGACAAAACTTACCAAGGGGGAAGCCAAAGAGATTAGGTGTCAAAAAACATGTCAAAACAGTGTGAAACAGCAATAAACAAGGTAATCAGGATGCTGGGCTATATTACTAAATCAGTTGAACGTAGATCCCCAGACATCAAACACAAAAGAGTGTTCTGGTCAAGTCACACCTAGAGTACAGCATACAGTTCTGGTCACCAGGACATAAGGGGGCTGTCTAAGTCCTAAGGACAGTACAAAGGACAGTAACAAGAATGATCTTTAGTGTTAGAGGAATGAGCCATGAGCAATGATTACAACAACAAGATTACATTTGTATAGAGCCTTTCACGTCGGGAGGACGTCCCAAGGCGCTTAGATAATAACCTAAGGTTCTTCAATCTTGGGAGATGTCTCAGATGGGATCTTATAGAGGTGCATACAATTTTAAATAGGATTGAAAAAGTATACCCAGAACAATACTTTACGATGGACTTCAATAAAGTACCGCGGTAGAATTATAAAGTGCAATTTCAGGACAGATACCAGGAAATTTTTCTTTATGACTGGATGGTGATTGAGGCCATGACACTGGAACCAGCTAAAAATCAGCTCGATGCTGTGATGGGAGCCTCAGCCCAGACTGTTGCGTTCAAGTCTTGAAGTGATGGCTGAATCCACAGCATTCTAACCCAGAGATGAGAGTGCTACCAACTGAGCCAAGGTGATAACCCAATTCTTTCCTGTTCCACAAGTAGAAAGGTGGTACAATTCACAAAGGAAAATGTTCTCACTATTAAAGACAGTAAACCATACTGTTTCTTCATCATCAATTCCAAGTGAAAAAAAATGAAGAGAGGCCCGAAAAAATGATTTGCTCTGATTCCTGAGTTCACAATGCGAAGTTCAACTGCACTGCAAAATTGCAACAGCAGTAATATGTTCACTATGGTGAAAAAATACTCCTATAGCTAAGAGTCAAAGTTTGGTGTAAATTCCATGCAATTTGAATGAAATCAATGATAAACATGCAGCATAATTCAAGTTTTAGGAACACTTACTTCATTCAGAGCCCAACTCCTGAAATTATTCAACTCCAGGAATCAGTTTTGAATGAAATCAATCAATACGATCAGTTGTAGTATAAGCTCCAGCTACGTAACACTAGGAAGCTCCCATGTGGTGCAGTTATTTTATTGTTGGTGAAGAGCTGACCACAATCCCAGCTATTGATTAACAATAAAAACAAAATGCCAGTTTGTGCAGGGTTTTCACATGACTACTGTTGCCGAGGATTTTACCTGAGGAATATAGAATTAGATTTTTACTGGGTTCCAGATGTGAGAATGCAACGGGAAGGGGCAAAATCTTAGGCACATTTCCTTACTCCATATGCCTCTGTTTACCTAACAGTAAGTAGAAACCTAGTTATTAGTTGATTGGCAGAATGCTTTACGGAGGTAATAATCCTTCAAAAAAAAGAATTTGGACACTCATTCCTTGACAACAAGAGGTGGAGACTGCTTGGTGATCCAGGAGAACAGGTAGGCCAATTTACCGAAGACAAAACACGCCTTTGCTCTCAGAGCAATGATGTAGATTGTATAAAATCGATGTGCACTGACTTGCTCGCTGTCTGTCGGTTGGAGATTTGTTTTCCAATCATATAAAAAACATTCCACCCTTCTGTGAGGGAAACTTCTTCTCTCTGTTTGACGTAGATAATGATATTGAATCTGACATGGGGAATTGCTTGCCTAGAACCAGTGATCTTTTATTCTGGTGGAGCTTCTCTCTTTTGTTTTAAAAGGAAAAAACAACTTGCATTTATATAGCACCCCTGATTTAAACAAATGTTTTGATGTGCTTGACAAATGCAGTGAGCAGGGAAATGCATTTAAAGATTTTGATCAAAGGCACAGTCAGAGACTTCTTGGGAGAGAGGCAGCAACGCAAAATGGTTTTGGTGCAGAGCACCAGAGGATGGGCACATTATCTTTTATTATTATTTTTTAATTTTTATATATTATTATTATTTGTTTGCTTAGCAGTAAGTAGGAACCTGGTCAATTGGCAGGTTGGTTTTCTGGGAATATCAATACCTTTAAAATAAATATATAACAATAATAACAATTCGGTCACTCAGTTCATGACTGTTTATGGGACACTGCTGTGTGCAATTGGCTTCTGCGTTTCGCCCACAGAATACACAGTCATACATTTTACAGTATATACTGTGATGTGCTTTGAGATGTCTCAACGACGTAATAAGGCGCTATGTCAAATCCAAGGATTATTATTATGATAATAGATGTCCTCAACTTAATTGCATAAACATTTCATAATAATAATAATAATAATCCTTGCATTTGATATAGCGCTTTTCACGTCGGGAGGACGTCCCAAAGCGCTTCACAGAACACACTGTAAAGTGAATTGACTGTATATTTGTGGGCGAACGCGGCAGCCAATTGCGCACAGCAATGTCCCACAAACAGTCGTAGATTGAAAATGACCAATTTAATTATTGTTTTTGGTTTTGGAGGGATTATTATTAGGCTCTGTGTGAAGTAAGGAAACTTGCCCAAGGTTTCGCCCTGACCTGCCTGGAATTGAACTCAGGTCAAGTGCTCTAACCACTGAGCTACAGGACTCCACTTCATGACATGTTTCTTCATATTTGTGATGTTTGGATTTCTTCAACAACTAGATTATTGCCATTGGTTACATGCAAAGCAGTTTCATAGCACTGTGAAATTAACTAATCGATGTAATTCTTTAGAAAAATGGATTTAGTTCTAACAATAATTAGAGATCAAACGGCCAACTAAGCTCTTTTAAAGGGTTTCATTCTCAGCTGACATGTCACAAGACGCAGACTAACTGAATTTTATTAATGTCAACTAAACCCCCAAGCTGAATCTCAACCCTGAACATGCTGAGGTTATGATAAAGCCAGCAAATGTTTTTGATGCATAATAGGGGTGTTACAGTTTCATTCCAATATTTTGCAACTAATCACAAGATCGGTTGGTGCCCACTTCTTCGGGGGGGGGGGGGGGGGGGACTCCTAATCTCCTCCAAAAGCTCATTGTCTGAGATGGAATGGAGGAAGGGTTGATGAACAAGCAGAAGTGCTTGAAGCAGGAGTTAAGAAGAGGGAACAGGCAGAATATTGCAGCTGGAGGAGGGTGGGGCAAGATCAGTATCAGTAATCATTTTTCTACAAATTAAATTCTGCTTCAGATAGACCACAGAGCAAAATCTAAAAATGTGCCACATATTCAAATGAAATAATTCTGCCAACAACATTAGAAATGCCAGGCTATATTATTATAGTAGTACTTTTATCCAAATAAAAACTATACTGAATAAAAATGTTTTTTTTAAAAAGAGTTACTTTTTATGAAGCAATCATGAAAAAACAAATTTGCTACATTCCACTTTAAGTAGTGGGAAATAAATAAACCTTTCATTTGATACAGCATCTCCATAATGTCAAATCATCTCAAATAGCTTTGCAGATAATTGCTGTTGGGCACAGTACTGTAATTGTGTATTAGCAGGCAGCTTTTGCTCATGGCAATGCCCCACAAGCTCTGAAAGTGAATGACCTATTCATCTTAAGGATTGTTGACCAGGATGCTGAGAAATATCCTTCTCTTTTCAGCATCAATGGAATCTTTGACATTCACCTAAACAACCAGATGGGACCTCATTCTCATCTGAAACACAGTACCTCTGCAGCATTCCCCCAGTACCACACAACAGTGTAAGCCTGGACATCAAGTACTGATGTGGGACTTAACTATAAAAAGAAGGGAGTTTCTCCTGGTGTCCTGGCCAACAATCCCCAACATTAAAAACATTTATAATTAACTTCATGGCTGTTTATCTGATGTTGCTGTGCACAAATTGTTTGCTGCATTTTCCTACAAATTTTCAGTTAATACAGTTCACAAAAAAATAAGATGTTTTGATGGTATAACAAGGATTATTTAACATTATAAATTGTCATAAATAGTTCAGGTTGGAATATTTAATGTATAATATTACATAAAATGCAATACAATCTGAAAACTGCTGCCAAGAAATACACTGAAAGATTGAATCAAAGCTCAATGTTCAGTTCACTGGCACAAATAGATGGCTCCTGCTGGGTGTAGTGCAACCTCCTAGAAGTTACTTAGGGATTTTACTGGCTGATAAAGAAGAATACCAAAACTTCTACATCTCTGGCTCTGAAAACAGCATTCGCAAAGCATTTGCACTTCATTATTTCTTTGTATGCCTGCAATCTGGCTTCTTTTGGACTCAACCTATTTTCTCCAATGTTTTTGCGTATGTGTCAGCCATGAAGAGTTTACTGTAATCTGAAGTAGCAACAGGTGACACAAAAAAAATTCAAAATGATTGGGAATCTGTTATAATAATAATACTTGCATTTGATATAGCGCTTTTCACGTCTTCTAGACGTCCCAAAGCGCTTCACAGAATATACTGTAAAGTGAATTGACTGTATATTTGTGGGTGAACGCGGCAGCCAATGCGCACAGCAATGTCCCACAAACAGTCGTGGATTGAAAATGACCAAATTATTATTGTTTTGTTTTTTTGGAGGGATTATTATGAGGAGTGTGGAGTAAGAAAACTTGCCCAAGGTTTTGCCCTGCCTGGAATTGAACTAAGGTCTCTTACTTGCAAAGCGAGTGCTCTAACCACTGAGCTACAGGACTCCACATTATGGATGGCGAGTTCAAGAAACAGTTGGTATGGAGCAACATAAAGAGGATAAAAAATGTCCACTGTAGCATGTAACTACCAGGATGGTAGAAGGCGAACTAGATGCACCTTGGTCTTTTTTTGTCTAGCAATTCCTATGTTCTACTGTGTTACTGAATTCAATTTCAAAGGAAAAAAAGAGAAAACCCTGTTTTTTTAATGTAAATAGCCTTCGAAAACAGTCATCCAATGTGTCAGAAGAGTAACATGAAACCATGTCCTTGCTGGTCATTAGCTAAAGCTGTTGATCAGCTACAAACTACACTGAACAGAAGTACAAGGTCCAAAATGGCCCATAGAAGAGGAAAAAAAAGGGAGATTCAACTTTTAGAAACAAGAAAGAAACCAAATACAACCGTATTATAATGGGAATTATAATTATACATCCAGTTGTTTCACCTCCCCAGCACGCACCATTGCTTTGTCAAGAAAGATGTGGATGAATGGTGTTCTGCTTTTAAACTTGTATCACTTTCTTTCACAGGAAGGAAATGTCCTCTTCCTCTAATTTCCTTCCTCCCCTAGCTCTGTGGTTGTGCCAAACCTCCACCTGGCATCAACCCTTCATCAGATGAAGAATTATTGGGTATGAATCTTTGAGAGTTCAATAATTAATATATACATTATGCGTATATATATATATACACACACACACACAAACAGCTTCACTGGAACAAAAACAATCTACGATCAAATGCAACCACACATCCTTGTAATACAAAAATCACCCACATTACAAAATAAAATATTTCTGGAGGATAATCTCACAGATATCTTTGTAAAAAAAGGCCTTCTGCAGAAAGTCTGCACCATATTCATAATACTGACTGCAAATACACTGTTGGAGCTACAAACCGTGTTATTCAAAACCAGAGAAACCATCTGCACACAGAGGTCCTGGAGATCAAATGTTAAATGGCATATTCCTTATGTATTAAATTATGTAACGTATTAAACACGCCTCCAGCAGGCTACATCTTTTGTATAGACGCTGCATTTCTTTGTGCACAAAAGCCATCAATTAACATCAGAGCTGATTTCTCAGACAATAAGAGACTATTACATATAAAATAGAGTTCAAATGACAGCTTTGGATGATTATATCCGCAAAACCATATTTCTCTGTAGTGAAAGCACGATGCACAGATTAGAAATGAGAATCATTTTTTTTTAGGTATTTAATAAAAGCATAAACTAATACCAGAAAAACAGCATCACACTGTTTAACAGCAACTGATGGAGAGTAAACTCTGACTAAAGATCCAGCACAATCCCCCATTTCTCTATATTGGTTCCTTTGTTTGTAGGATTCCACAGTGTATTACCAACATTGTCCAACAGGACTCCAATAGCGCAGTTGCAGTTATGAATAGTTACCGTGCCTGTTAACTAACCTTTTATGAAGAGTGAAAAATCTGTCTTTTTGGTTACAGCCTTTGGATCATGGCCTTGAAGTTTAAATGTAGATTCTTTAGAAATTGCTTAAAATTGGTCTTAATTTAGAATCGGGGTTTTTGCTGTTTTAAAAAGATTCTGATTGTTGAACACTGACAAGTGATGAAAGTGATGAGTGTAGGCTCCCGTTGGCCCACTCTCCGATCGCTCGAGTCCCCTCACCATACCTGCTGACCTACGTGGACAGGGATATTAACTTTGACTCAGTTTGAATCCCGCGAGCAGGTTAGCTTATTTGGTACCTTCTGCTTGCAGGATTCAAACAATTACAATGTCGATGCTGGCATTGTAATAACACTTAGCTGGAGATTCTGGGTTAGCCAGACCAGATTCCCACCTTGCCCCCCCCAATCATTGGTCCAGCCATCCGATGTTTTAATTGTATTAATGGTTCATTTAGTACATAGTGGTGGATAATTGGCACCACTTGACATGAATATTCTGTTGTACTGCATATCTTTCTAATGAAATACTGGCCTCTGCTGGCAGGGATAATATTTGCACAAAAGTGGCTGGAGTTCTATAAAAGCTCATTAAAATAATAATCCCAGGATCCATTGAATACATGACAGTTTAAAGAATACAACCCAACTTGAATAACCTTGCGGCAAATCATGTTTGTACAACAATGTACTCTGTGTCAGAATGGAAGGATACCTTTTTAAAAAAAATCTTCAACACTGAAAGATCAATTTCTGCAACAAAACTGACATAAAATTCCTGCCCAATGAGTTTCTAATCTCTGGAGAGATATCTGGGAAAGACTAAACCCCTTTTGCTCCCAAGTGGAGGCAAACCACTCTCCCTCAATCCCTCCGCCTTGACCCTTCTCTACTTTTTCAAGTCCCGCCTGAAGATCTTCACCTTCAACCATGCTTACGGCAACCTCCCCATACCCACCCCCTCACCTCAGTCAAGCTCCGCCACTGTTAAGCGCTCTGAGACGCTATCCTGTGTGGAGGGCGCTGCATATGTGCAAGTAGTTGTTGTTTGTTGGGCGGGGGGCATCCCCATAGTTGGGTAGGGAATAAATAGCTGAGGTGACTCCAAGATGATGTATTTGTCAGCATCAAATCAACCCTCTGTGGCAGTCTCAAGAGTGTTTCAAGGGCAAACTATACAGTTAAATTACGATGGTTAAAACTCCAGCAATAGCTCACTGCACACTCTGGAGGCTCCAGCCTTGACTCTTGCCAACCTGTGCCTAATACTCTCCAGGATAAAGGTAAGCAAGGTGTGTCCCTCCAGGGAGAGTGCAAACTCCATTCCAGACCCAAGGAATTTTCCATGTGTAGATGACATATTTATGTGGAACTCCAGTCTGGTTTGGATACTCTTAAGCGTGGTGATGGGTTTTGGGTGAGTCAGACACGGGACGCCGCTAATGTAACGTTTTATAGTCACCACTATTAGCTTTGGTGTTGAATTAAGGGGAAAAGGAGATTTAGGGAAAATATAGAATTGAATCTTAAAATATTTAAAATTCTAATAGCAGTGATTTAAAACATGGCTAAAGTAACATACATATTATTATCTGTAAAGTACATGAACTACATACCTTTCATAGATGCTTTTCAGGGTGAGATGATCTGGTACACTATCAGTCTCTTCCAGGTACAGTATAAGCCAAGAGGTTCTGTAAGGCCATTGTTCTGTGAGGTTTATCCAAGAGGCAAGCCGATCCCAGTTAAAGCTAATCTGGTTAGCTCTTAGCAAACGGCCTGGAATGAAATTGAATTAAACCATCTTTGAAAGGCTTTATTAAAATCTCAACATCACCATGTGAGATTAAAACAAATTATAAAACTTACATTAAATGAAAATTAAATGCAACTTGCACGAAGACCCTGGAAAATGGTCAGTCAGTGGGGTTTATATGCCATTAAAATGTCCAAATTAAATGCATTTATATAATCCCATTCTGAATGTCAAAGGTAAAGTAAGGGAATTAACTTTACTAAAGTATGATTACTGATTTTATGGTGTGTTGTGCAAGTGTTACTGATACAAAGATAATATTTCCCTTTCATCAACCCACTCCTCTCCTGGACTACGTGCATGTGTACATGCAATGGGGAGAATATCAACTCTGCTCTCTGGGTTAGCGTGTCAGCCTGGCTCAGTTGGTGGCACTATCGCCTGAGTCAGAAGATTGTGGGTTCAAGCTCCACGTCGGAAGTGGAACTCACTTAGTCGAGATTGGCACTTCAATACAGGGGTGCTGAATTGTTGGGCCGTCCTTCTGATGAGACATTAAACCAAGGTCACATCTGTCTATTCGGGTGGACATTAAAGATCACATGGCACTAAGCGAAAGAAGAAGGGATTTTCTCCCCGTTTCGTGGCCAACAATCCCCTAAATAAAATTGGTCATTCGACTAATAGCTGTCTGTGGAATACTGCTATGTGCATTTAGGCTGCTCTGTTTGCCCATTAATACAAATCACTCCTCTTCACAGTAAAGCTTGTGGAGGGAAGTTGGGAAGTTCAGCTCAGGTGCAGACCCTCAACCGTCCAGCGCTTTGAGACACCCTCTCAGTATGAAATGTGCTATGTAAATGCAGTTTGTTGCGTTGTTTATTTTGCCTGCAGCTTCTTAAAGTATAACTGAATATAATATGCAAGGAGATGATAGGTTGTGAGTTCAGTGTATATAATAATAATAATCCTTGCATTTGATATTGCGCTTTTCACATCGGGAGGACGTCCCAAAGCGCTTCACAGAACACACTGTAAAGTGAATTGACTGTATATTTGTGGGCAAACGCGGCAGCCAATTGCGCACAGCAATGTCCCACAAACAGTCGTAGATTGAAAATGACCAATTTTTTTTATTATTGTTTTTGGTTTTGGAGGGATTATATCTTTGAGAAAGAAACCCTAGCAGGTGTTTTAATTTTTATTCTCCACTCTCTAGTAGACACTACACCTATACTGATCAGAAGGTTGAGGGACAATAATACCAATCCAGATTTGCCAAGGGCTATTGTCACTATTGCCAGCTCAAAATTGTTGCATTAATGTGCAAGGATTATTCAATCCAGTGGTGTTCTCCATGGAGACAACTTCTTATGATGCCTAAGACTGACAGAGATTTCCTGATAAAGAGGCAGGAGCATTAAAGAATGCACTCCATCAGTCAATTGTGAAGGTAGGTACAAGGAAATTCCACGTGAAAAGTATAAAATCAAGTTGATACTCACCTGTTACTGAAACAATGTTGAGCAATCGTCTCATGGTTTGAGGACTGATGTCACTGAACCAGTCTTCAGTAACCAGGAGCTTAGTCAGATCAAAAGACATCTGCCTTGTGACTTGTCGTTGCATCTGCCTCCGACGATATGTATCCTATCGATGTAACAATCGATTATGAGTACAAAGAGTTTGCAAGCTTTTCTTTAATTTAATCCATTTTCTCCATTCTCCCCTCTTCTAAATTTCCCTCATGCGACAGCATTCTGCACCAAAAGCTCATCACCATACTCCAGTCTCAACCAACATGACTGAAGGTTACTTCCTCACAATTTTCTTCCCTACAAGAAGAGCCTGCTCTCCACTCAGGACTTTCCCAATGAGATCGGGAAGTTAACATGCATAGAACAGATCCATGACATAATTTGTTACATCTCTCATATGCTGTGCCATTATCACAGAATGTCAGTTAGCCATACAGCTGGTTACACAGCCACATCGGTTACAATACTCTTGAGCTATCTATCCCACTTATAATCAAGGTATATTCTACGCTCAATTACACTTTAGACCTTAATTCAAACACTTATAAGCACACATTTCTTATTAGCTCTTAATTTTAGAAACTAGTGAAGACTGAGGGAGCGAGGACAACACTAGAATTGAAATGTTTTAAAGCTTCATAGTGGTTTAACCAGAGGAAAAATCCACTAGAATAGAATGCCATGTAACTACATGCCAACGATCTACATGTCCACTTATCCACATCAGGTTACAGCATGGAAGTGGACTCATCGCTGCGCTAGAGAGAAAATATGTCTAGCTGGTTGTGCTTTTGCCGCACAGAGTGTCTGTGAATCAGAAGGACAAAGATAAGACTTTATTTAACAATCTGAAGTGTAGTATGAGAGATGGGGGAATCAAATCAAGAGAAAGCTAGAGTCAGAGTGAGAGGAGGCAGAGAGAGAAAGATAAAGTGAAGTGTTGGCGCAGTGTGATACGACAGTGACAGTATAATTGTTTGGTTTGTACCATAGCCAATTTGTATTTCACATGATGACCAATTATCCACACTGAAAATGTGAGCAATACAAAACAAGCCCTACAGAAGATAGTGTTATAGAATTAAAATACTGGAATTAGGCCACAAATTTCGAAGATTGTTAATAGCACTATATTAAAATTAATTTCTTATCCACAACTCTCAGAACCCGATTAATGCAGATACAGACTCTCTTCCATAATTTTCTACATTTAAAGAATTATGGACCCAATATCATTCAATGGTTTATTTTAACTACTGTCAATTCAGATATTCTAATATTTTTACTTATAACAATCCAAATGAAAGCTTTATTAGATACAAATCCTGGATTTCCTGATAAATGGTAGCCTATTGACCTGTTCAGAATTCAATCTAGATGCAGAGTAGGCTAAGATTGAAAATATAAACAATACAAAACGTGACCTGCACAGTATAGTGTTATAGAATTAAAATGCTGGAGTAATGCCACAATTTTGAAAGATTAGTATTAGCACTATACTAAAATTCATATCTTATGTTGAACTGTAAAGTTCTCATCATGCAATTTTTAAAAATTAACATTCAAAATTAATATCATTGCTTACCCGTCTATTAAGTGCTGTCTTGCTACCCAATTTGGTCAATTCCCCTAGACTGTGCTGTGAAAGCTTCCTATCATTGTCTTCATGCCAACCTACAATTCAGAAATAGAGTATTAAAAAGATACCTAATGTCACAAATGATTTAAAAGGCAGAAAATGTATACTGTACATTTTGAATCATTGCTGAGATTCTTACCGATAGTTTCTGAATTTCCAACATCTCCATTAGAGGGTGCTGCTGCAAAAACCTTCTTTGCACTACTCAGTCCTCGGCTGTTTAGGTATACAGGTAGGTGGACTATATTACGCATATAGTCATGTCCATTTATATTAGAATCTCTTAAAACACTATTCAGATTTTGATTGATTGCCTTGATGATGATATGTGGGTCACTGGCAAATATGGCTATGAAGGGACCGACTGAAAACAAAACCCGAACCTGGAAGAAAAAGTGTTCAAAATAAAAAACAAAATCCTTAGGATATCCTGTAAAAATATAAACTGTTGATAAGATAAACTCCAGCACCATTTCAAGTTCTTTTGATTTACTGAACGTCTTTACTTGAAAAAGTGCTGATGATATCTTTGGGAATTAGCAATTTGAAAAGTTGTCTGCCAATTTAAGGGAACTAAATGAACATGAGAATGTCTAAAGCACCGATAGATGACAATACAGTTCCAGTATGAAATTGTTAAGAGGGAATTAACCTAAACAATTTATTGAGGTCTGCAATGAGATGGAACTAAATTGATACAAAGTAATGTGTGGCCCCCATGTGTGGGATCCATAAAATCCGTCAAACTATAGTGAGCCATTTTTTGAAGGATTTTTACTGTGCATGGGCACAACCATCTGGCACACAGGGAGCTAAAACAAAAAATGGTTGACTTCTGGGTAATTCGTCCACTTCAATGTAATTTCCTGTTTCCGCACAGGTGCAGAGTGAGAAGTGACATCATTGTGATCTGAAGAACTCGGCCATTTTAGTGTGAAAGGTGGCCAGCACCTGGCAAGCGAGTGAGCTGGCAACGCTCACAGAACAAAGAGCACAATGCTATAAGGGTTATAAACAAACTTGCACTATAGTGAAACATAGAACAGGAGCACCATACCATTACTTGTATCAGTCCAGTTCCTTCTCATGGCAGACTGCAATAACTTGTTCAAGCTTATACACTTGCAGTTAAAAAAAATAACCAAACTTCAACAAGTGAAACAAAGCAAAAAGGTTAAGAATTGTAATCCTACTCAATTATTGTCTAAATCTCTGATTGTGAGACTTTAAATGAATCAGGGATATGTATTTTAGGGCTACAATTAGTGCTACAGTGAAGCTCCCCACAAAGCTACTGTAGGCATAAACTAGTGGTGAATGAAAGAAGCAGGGTACCTACCGTGTCCAGCATTTGCAATACTTTGTCTTGTTCACATGCATCTAGTCCATCAATAACAATCACAAGTCTGGTCTGGTTCTGAGTGAAGCCATCAATAGATTTAGCCATCCGGGCCATTAATTCCACTTCACACTTTAGAACCTTTCAAAGCAAATAGAACACATTTTACCAACAAAAAATGGCAATCTTACAAGTATGATTTCTAATTCACAAAAAGCAGATTCCTTTTGTTTGTTTTTTTGGTCAGCCAAGTGTCTGGCACATGACGAAACCCATCCCAATGCTTACGAGTATCCCAACCAGATTGAGAGTTCCACATATGTAACCCATCTACAGTACAAAATGTCCCTGTGTATGGAATGTGCTCTCTCTCCCTCAAGGGATGCACCTACTGACCTAATTGCTGAAAGTTACCTGCAGTTTGGCAAGAGTCAAGGCTTGGAGGTCATAGAGTATACCCTGGGATCAAACCACATAGCAAACCACTGAAAGCAATGAGGGGCAAGTCTCCCACTAATTGTCCAGCTAGGACCACCCTAGCTAAAAAAATTTTGAGTTGTGGGTTTTTTGAGGTGTGAATGGTCAACTCCAGGAAATGGTGCAGCCCTGCAGGAAGCACTCAAGGTAGTAATACATAAAATCATTATGTTTTTGCCAAAGAGAAAGCAGAGAAACATGCTGCAAGTGTAGGATGAAATAAATCCATTAGTTCCAAAAGTAGCTAAATAATTTACATTGAATTGTATTACATTTATTTATACTAATCTTATAATAAGAAAAATAATCATTGCAATTGTTACACATCCTTTCCTGTCAGGACATCTCAAATTGCTTCACAGGATTTCTTTGAGGGGTTATAACAATTTTTTTGTAAGCGAACGTGGCAGTCCATTTGCACACAGCAATGTCCCATGAACAGGCATGAATTGAATGACCAATTTAATTTGGAGACTGTTAGGAAACTCCCTTTCTCTTTTTGAACAGTGTCATAGGATCTTTAATGTCCACTTGAACAGGCAGACAGGATCTCAAGTTTAATATCTCATCCGAAGAATGATACTTCAGACAACTCAGCATTCCCCCAGCACTGCATTGGAATATCAGTGCAGACTGTGAACTCATAAGTCCTAAATTAGGGCTTGAGCTCACAACCTTCTGACTCAAGAGTCAAGACTGCCATAAAATTAGCCAGGCTGAGCAAAGCTTTTTCAAACAGGGAATGAAAAAAGTACAGTGTATAACCATACTCTGTATGATGATCAACTATGAAGCTGCATGTTATTTGTTGCAACATTAACAATATGAACCAATCTACCCTGCAAAGAAAAGTTGATCAAAATTAGAAAGCGGATTAAACTCATTGATCTAGTAATACAAATCAACCATGCAAATATTTTAATGTTCTTCCTCATTCACTTTTTTTCTCACTCACTACATCACAGAAAATAATTAACTTATAGGATTTTGAGTGTGCAAAATACTTACTTTCATAAATCCTTCTGGCTTTAGTTTGTGAAGTTTTGAAGCTGCTTGCAAGACTCGTTTTCTCTGAGAGTGAAGGACAGAATCTAGCACCTGCCACCATGTCTGGCAGTTAAGGATCACAGCCAGGCCAACAATACAGGCAATAGATATCAGAACAGCGTTTATTGTCAAGTGTTCTTTGTCCACCTTGAAAATGGCCAACAATATGATCCCAGCAATGAAACAGCCCAGAATAAAAATGAAGATGACAAATGATGGGACGCAGCAGGTCTTTTTCCATTTCTTGACTCCTTTTTTACCTTGTGAAAGATAGAACTATTGTTAGTGTGTTTTTCATTCATCCTATTTTTTGAAGTCAGTGTCCATGATGTCCGTTCTATGTATGAAATCTATATGTGAACATTATATTCCTCCTGTTTATTTTGTCTAACTATTTATCTTTAAAGAAATTAAAGGGAATATTTTATTTGAAAATTTGCATAACTAGCAATTATTCGTTCCAATCTGTACTCAGTATATAGGTAACATAACAAATTCACATGAATGTACTAGTTATAAAAGAACCAGTTATGCATTAAACTTTCTGTGCTGTCTATACCCATGGTGATGATCACAGTCATGGTGATGATCACAGTCGAGAAATACCTGACGTTTTGCAACTTGTGAAAATAAAGCTAGGAGGAAGTAGTTTGCACTAACATTTTCAGAATATTTTCAACTGAAGTTGGAGCAAATTTGGTGGCTACATATGTTTAAAAATAAAACAGGGTGAATTGAAATGCAATGCTTGAATAGAATAAGATAAACATTGACAAAATGTGACCTTTAATCACATATGTTATGACGTCTACACCAGTAAACAAAACAAGTTATTCTCATACAAGAATCATACCTTGGGTATCTTCAGTCTTGAAGACTCTGAAGAGTCTTGATGCAAGAAAACCAAACTCTCTTTCACAGGCATCAGAGAGAGTTGCAATCATCTCAGCCGTAGATGTTTCTCCACCAACACTAGAAAGCCTGTTGTAGTCTGTGAAAAGAAACCTTTCAAACGACAAAGATAAATTAAAATACTGAAACTCACTGAATGCAATCACTGAAGACAATAATTATTGATGACAATGGTTCAATACTCTGTAAGGCAACACTAATGTACACATTAATTCTACCCAAATAATCTTACACTTCAGCTTCAGAATAAAAATGACAGAAAACTTATAGTTTTAACAAAAAGCTACCATTTGGGTTTAAACTAGATAAAGTGCCATAATGCAGAACAACAAAATGATCACAAGAGAGGTTCAGATGAAGAAGGCTCTTCAATCAATTTGGTCCTTTCAGAATACTCTCCTTACAAGGCGCTATACAAATGTAATTTTGTTTTTGTTACCATCCTCCTATCACAGCATCCAGTTTCTTAAATGAGTCCCATGCATCCCATTTAAAATTTTGGACAATTCTTTTAAGCCACTCTGTGAAATATTGTATCATAATACATAAAATTAGGACCTTTACCTAACAGGTAATGCTCTGGATGTCTGTTCTGGCAGTTGTGGCGGGTTCACAAACATCAGTTTAAGTAGGAGCTCCAGGTAGCTGATTTGCCGAGCAAGCCTAGTACTCAGCACCCAGGCCCAATTCCAATTCTCTCCTTCTTGCCGACCACCAAAATAAATAATTGCTTTGAAACACAAAATTAAATTAATTATAATTGGAACACTGTTTCATCCATAGGCATAACAGTAATAACTTAAATGGTGCCCAAAACACTAGTTGCAACATTATCCACAAAGGTTCACTGTAAATAGAATAAAATCTAGCATTAGGAATTTGCTACGAGATGTGGATTTCAAGTGTTCTCTAGACACATTAATACTAATGTTCACCACAGAACCAAACCAATGAAAGATCAAATGGAGGTTCACAAAACAACAATGAAGTAGTCAGTATAGCAGGCTAACAGTAGCAAAATTTATTGTGCTCTCAAATGCTTATGTAAATTTACAAGTCACTTTTAGGAACATTGGAACAGGAATAGACCATTCAGCCCCTCGAGCCTGTTCCACCATTCTATAAGATCTTGGCTGATCTGTACCTCAACTCCAATTACCCACTCTTGCCCTATATCCCTTGATACCCTTACCTAACAAATATCTATCCAACTCCATTTACAACTATTAAGTGTGGTGCAAATAAGGTGTACCACTGCAGTAATAATAATAATAATCCTTACATTTGATATAGCGCTTTTCACGTCGGGAGGACGTAAACATGGATACAGTGCAGCTGTTTTGGGGCTCATTTTCTGGACTCATTTGCAATCTTCCCCCTTATACTTGTGACTTCCTTTTCACTTGGGTGTTATTTTACTGGCATCTGTAATTTTATTTATTTTTTGAAGCCAAATTGCTTCCCATTTTTAATTTTTCTCCCCTTCATTAGAAGCCAATGATTCCCATTGAAGAACACACGTATAGATACTGGTAGCTGATACTCCAATACCTCACCCTTAGTGTCCATATTTCACATGTGAGTGTTGCTGGGCTAGTTGTTCATAGGTACATAACAGTAAAATGCAATTCTGTCCTCATCCAATATCTATCTATGCATACTTTGAGGATTTGAATGTGTCTAAACATAATATCTGCAACAGATTTGTTGCATTAATTCCAACTTGTGCTTTGCAAATATGATTGCCAAATTTGCAGCCAAGTTCCACGTGCGTTTTGCTCGTCAGTCTTTTTATGGACTTTGCTGTTTTGAGGTTTATGATACACCGGTTGCAAATTTCATAATCTGATCTTCATAAATATGCTGCTCATAATTAATGCAACAAGTTCACCTTGCAGCTGTTGCATTTCACGGTTCAATGTGATGTCAAAAAAAACAAAAAATAGTTCACAGTGAAATGAATTGCTTGGCTTGACAGAGGTTATACAATGGCACCAGACAATTCATAAGAGGATATAGAGGCAGACAGAATGTTGGGAGCTGAAAAGCAGGATTATAAGGGAATTAAAAACCTGGAATGCAATAAAAGCCACTTCAGCCTGCAGCAAGCAGATTACCATTCTTTTCCCTCTCAGGAGTTACAACTCTCTTAAGGTTGCTCAAATACCTTTGCTTATAACTAGGACAAACAGGAATTTAACTGTGCAGAACAGGGCTAGGCACCAAAATGCACTGCAACCGAAATTTTCAGCACCATTTTTAACTCAGAAAATAGTGGCCAGGCATAATTTTTAAAAAAAGCATATATTTCTTTCAAGTTCCCTCCAAAATAAATCACAGAAAAAAATGTTGTGTTCGTATACAATTAACCCCTCAATTCAAAGCTTCTCTTGCAATTTGTGAGGTTAGCAATTATGGATATTTATTCAATTTAATTTGCAGTAAAATGTATGTTTCCTCCATTTATTTTGGCTGCTATTGAACATTTTAATAAATTTAGTAAAAATGCTCAATATGAATAGTCCGTTTACTTAAAAATGAAAAATCAGCATCTCAGAGAGATATTTTTATTACAAGTGCATTTATGAATTGATCTGAGGTATTAGGGGATTATTCAGTTCAGAACCCACATGCAATTTGTTAAATGGAACATCTAGACACAGAAGAATTAATTCGGCTCTCTCTGCCAATTGTAGCAATCTAGTCAATTATCACCCATAAAGGAAAATCCCAAACACACATCGAAGATTAACTGCATTTAGTCTCCAGAGTGATTAAATGATTAAAACAGACATTTGTGAATTCACAACCAACCAAATTGGTTGGTCACTGAAAAAAAAATACCTGCCTGTATATACTTTTCCTTCTTCATGGTACTAATGGCTCTCTTCAGTTTATAAACGCACTAAGGGAGCACCTGTATATCAGCATTCCTAACACAATGAGAGTGGCCTATTATCCTCTATTGATACTTATATGATAGAGAAAAGCTCTGTAGCAAATGAAAAGGCTATGGGCAAATGATGCTGATAGAAAGCAGCAACCATAAGTAAAGGGGTCTGAGGCCAGTGGAAAACGAGGAAGGGATCAAAAAATAAGGTGAAGAAGTGAAAAAATGAAAACACATTGGGCTTATCTGATGACTAGTTAAAGCAAAACTTTCACGTTGCTTCACTTAGCAAATGGTGCCTGCTAACTCCCATTGTTCCTGCATTGTATAATGAGAGCCAGAGAGCTGCGAGTGGGAGCCAACAGTTCTTCTGAGAACATGATCAGATTGCATTTGTACAACAAATTATACATACCAAAAAAGATGTAAAGAAGAGCAAGTAAACTCAGCCCAACTGCAATGCCAAGCTTGTGACAAACTGTGAAGCCAAGAAGTATTCCTGTTCCCACACAGGTCAAGAGGGTAATAAACACCACCGCCCAGGAGAACTGGAAGAGAGGATCCACTTGCTGCCCTGCAAATGTCTTCATTTCATCTACAAGTAGAAGTGAAACATTAGCCTGATACACAGAAATTATGCAGTTAAATTATTTACTGTCAATTTCTTCTTGATCACATTTTCCTTTCAAACTTCAGACTCCAAATTTATTTTAATCCAGTTATAAACTCAAGTGCCTTTGGATGTAAATAACCTCTCCCTCTCTATAATTTTTTTTAAACCAATAATTATTTCTAAAATAATGAACTATAAAATGCAAACGAATTGGGAAACAATCCTTTTTCCAGACTGCTTGAACAACATTAGGAATACTGCTGGTACTGTTAGACATACCCGAGGATTCTAAATACATGAGGAAGAGCAACCTAACCAATATGGTCCCTGGGTATATTAACATTTTAGACCAGTGGTGGCCAACTTGTGGCTCACGGGCCAGACGTGGCACATGAGGCTGTCAAGAAGCTCCACCCCCTTCATCCCCCAAAACATTTGAGCTAGTCTAGCTTAAGGTAAGCTTGTTCAATCAATCAATGAGTTTCCACATTTTTTTCTTGATTGAATTTCCTTGATTTAATATATGATATTTAATATATAAATCAAGAAATATTCAACCAAAATTTATTTTGATGGACAACCAAAAAGGTTGGCCACAACTGTTTTGGATCAAATTAGACATGACTGTATCTAGTTCCCCTCAGTTTCCCTTATAGTGAAATGACTAGAATCTTTTTTTGCACGTAAAAGCTGGACAAATAAGGTTGGGATATCATTGAATACCATAATACCTATAGATATATGTGAAATCGCAGAGGTATTTTACCTTCAAGTTTTTTCAAAAGAAATGATTTTCCACTTCCCCACTGTGCATACAGCCCCACACAAATTGGTGGCTGCATAGTTGGCTCACTGAGAATATCTGCCAGTGCACTGCTGTACAGATCATAGCCAAGCATATCCCCATCCGTCTCCATTGGAGAGAGGTGTCCTGTGATTAAAAAAATATATATGTATACACACACACACAGCTCAGTTAACATATCAAATTAAATTAATTAAATTAATTTTTTTTATCAGCTTGAAAATCGTTTCTCACCATTTCTCTTGGATGTAAAAAAATATTTAAATGTTAAGAAACAATTGAAAAGAAACATTTGTTTGATATTCAGTAACAGAATTTCAAATCACAGGGAAATGGGAAAAAAGAACAAAGAACTAGAAAATTAGAAAAGGAGGAAAAAAAGAACTAAAGAAATTGAGTTTAAAATAAGATATTGCTTTAGTTCATGCTAACTATATATACTGAGCTCCTCTGGAACTCCAAACAGTCCAAAATACCTCTATATTGCTTACTGAGGCCGAATGCAATTAGCCCTGAGATTTGGCTATAGTAATTCCATGTTTCACAGAAGAAATATGCTTGCTGAATTATGAAAGCCAGCCGCCTCACAGAAACTGACTTGAGTGATAATTGTTAAACATCAAAATCTATCATTAAGTCCATAGCAACTCACATAACGAGGTCAATTTAATCCCACTGTACCAAGTGCAAGTGTTATCACTATATCCCTTCAGCCCCTTTCATCTGCTTGTCTACTTCCCTCTTGAAAGCTACAAGACTATCTCTACCAGCCTACTCGCAGGGCATTTCACATCCCAACTGTGAATGGAAAATTTTCTTCTAAATCCTCCTTTCCTCCTATAATATAATTCTTGCACTTGGTATAGTGCCTTTTACATTGGGAGGATGTCCCAAAGCGCTTCACATGACTTACTGTATCTGTAGGTAAACGCTGCTGCCCACAGCAATAAAGGCTGTGAACTATTGAAAGTGCATGAGAAAACATTATGAAGGGAGAAGACAAAATTCTACTCTCCCTTTCTTTTTCATATTTGAGTTGATTAGATGTTAATCTAAATAGGATATAAATCTTTGCAACTGAGGTTTGTTTAATAGCTGACATGCAGGATTACGGGATGCCTGCTTCTGCGTACACTGGCAAAGTACAGGGACATGTACACGCAATTCCTTTGGCCATGTGTAAGGGAAAATGTGCCTGTTTTTCGCTGAAGATAGTTCAGCATTTTGAAATTTGAAAATTAGTAAGGATATACTGCTCTGTGGGGGGGGGACATTTCTGTTTAATGTTTGTTATATATTTTTATAGTATTAAGCAAAGTGTCTATGTTTTAGGTTTAGAAAATGTTCTTGTAGATTCTGGTTGGACTAATTGGGAATCTGGTTCCTTCTTCACATAAACAGTGACCGTGAGGTTATGGTATTTGTGTCGAAAGGTGTATTCTCAAGGAACATACATGATGTAGTGGAAATCCCCCTCCCCTGGTAGATCTAGTTTGGTGGCAATATTATCAAAGTTTTTCTGACTCTTTCCTATATTCCACTCTTTGATGATGCTTTTGGTCATTTCCCCCCCATATTTGGCTCCTACCCGCAGCTAAGGTGCCAAGCCAGCACTGTTCCTCAGGATGTCCTCTCAACATGCTACGTAAATGAAAACTTCTATAAGTGATGAAAGTATAAAGGTCCCACAAAAAATATATAGCATTCAGATTATATTGGACTATGGAGAGCAATAATTGCACATCAGCACATAGATGATGTTCTATGGTTTCCCTTGCTATGATGGCAAGTATTAATGACCCATCATTCATTGAAGTTATATAGCACCAGGACCTCAAAAGGCACAGTTTGAGATCTGGGTTTAGCAAGGAGGCTTGTGTTCTCAATGCACTTCAGGCTATTGGACTTAAATGTGAATGTAATCTCTCGGGAATGAGATCAACTGTGCTTTTTCTACTACCTCCAGTTTTGTGAATTTATTAGGACTGAGATCACTGAATCCTATGAACATTGGCTGAGGTCTCAACTTGGTTTCCATGACAGATAACTCGTTTATTCTCACTACCCCTTAGGTAAAAAAGAAAATAATAATCCTTGAATCTGATATAGCACCTTATCACATCATGGAGAGGTCTCAAAGCGCTTCACAAGATATACTGTAAAGTGGATATTTTGTGAGCGAAACACTGCAGCCAGTTGCTCTCAGCACTCTCCTACAATAGCCATTGAGTGAGTGACCAATTTTATTGTGGCGATTTGCTGACCTGGAGAAACTCCCTTTTCAAATTGTGCCATGGGATCTTTAATATCCACCTGGACAGGCAGATGGGAACTTGGTTTAACGTCTCATCTGAAGGACGACACATCTGACAATGCCACCCCCCTCCCAGCACTGCATTAGACTGATTTCAAGTTCCGGACATGGGGCTTGAACCCACAGTCTTCTGACTTAGAGGTGAAAGTGTTACCACTACCCAGGCTGACACACACAAAAATAAACAAATCCTTACATGTAGCCTGTCTATGGAAATGTAGACATATATCCTTTGGATAAATAATGTACATTTGGTTATTTCCACTGTTTAAGAAAGGCTTATCCAAAAAATGCCTTTTTAGCTTGAAAGGGCCCAATACACTTTTAAAAAAATTAAAGCAGGCTTCAACCATCAACCAATTTCAGTCTGTTGGCTGCAAGTACTGGGATCACTGCGAAGTGATTAATTGAGCCTCCAGCAATTATTTAAATTGTCAATAGCCATCTCATTCTCTATATAAAACAGGAATACTATAATGGTAGTCCAGTTTTTCTGAATGAACTACGTTTTTGCAAAAAGCTGCTTTCCAGAAGGCTATGTTTTCTTATTTTTTGTGCTGTGTTAACTTGTGCTCAGTACGTTCTGCCTAGTGTTTTAACAGTTTATTCCTTTAGATTCCTGTTGGCAAGTTCAACAGTCAGTGATTTCATCATGGATAATGCATATGGGTTCAGTGATATGGACTATGGTTCCAAAGGTCAAAATGATGAGTGAAGTCTTTGAAGATATTCACCATATTTTAGAGCTCTTGCTAGAGACTCTTTTAGCCTTGTGCTTAAAACAAATAATACTGTATGTAGAATTATTCCATTCATGGCGTTAATTTTGGACGCTTCCGTTCCCTAATCATATTGTGGAAGATCCCCTATACTCTCCAATTATAGCAAAAGAGTTCACCAGATGCAATTTTCTCTCCCCTCACCCACTGAGTATTGTTCCAGATGTCCAAGATCACAGGTGACACTCAGCTCTCCAGAATATCTTCTGGGATAATAATAATTCTTGCATTTGATATAGCCCCTTATCACATCTCCGAGATGTCTCAAAGCACTTCATAGAATATACTGTAAAGTGAATTGACAGTAAATTTTGTGGGCAAAACATGGCAGTCAATGGCATAGCATTGTCCGACAAATAGTCGTGGATTGAAGTTACCTATTTATTTTAAAAAGCAATTATTATCCCCGGAAAAGCGATCTGTCACTCGACTAACAACCGGGTTCCTACTTACTGCTAGGTAAACTGAGGCGCGTGGAGTAAGGAAACTTGCTCAACATTTCACCCTGCTCGGGAATCAAACCCTGGTCTCTCATTTGCGAGGCGAGTGCTCTAACCACTGAGCTACAGGGATGTAATTCTGGGAAATGCAACTTTTTTTAATGTAGCTTTGTTAATTGTTGAAAAAATGACCACTCTGCTTAAATGGAATGAACGAACCCTCTTTATTAACAGTCATGACTACACACTTTTTTGTTGATTATCCTCATCATACACCTTAGGTTTAACTATTTTGTCTTATCATCCAGTTCTGACCTTGCTATTGCTCTTGTTGTACTCTTTACTTGCTGAAAATTATAAATGAAAAGTTTAGAAGGAAAACAATAATAAATACAGTAAGAATTCAAGAAAATAAACAAAATTAATGTCAAATCAGGAAGGGATAGGATCAGGAGCAAAACGTCAGTGACAATTGTCTATAAAGACACCCAGTGAATGAACTCTGCATGCAGGCTGAATAAAAAAGGCTGAATACTGGAAATATACATTGTGATCCCGGATAGAGAGCTAAATTATTACCCTATAATGTAGAAGTCATCACCCTGTAAATGCAGGTGAGAGTAAACAACGAGTAAAGCAAAATCAATATCTGAAATAAGGAGAGAGAACCAGTTTCTGAGGTTCATATTGTGACATGTTCCTCTTACGAATCTACTAAGAAACACATAGATCCTCTTGGAAGATAGTTTGATTAGATCACAACTGTTTACACAGTTAGACAAGCTCTCGGACATCATGTCTCTCCTGTCTAGCAGTTTTCTTGTCTTCATAAGAACTTAATAGATCCAAAGAGGTGGAGGCACTTCTGTAGAATGTCAGCACAAGCTCATCTGTGTACTTCAGTCCAGAAGCATCTGGTATAATTACACATCATCACTTCAGCTAAATCAGACAACATTTCTTGGAAAGAAGCCATGAGGAGTTATCACTACACTCCCTCTATCCAATCCCTAAGGTTACCCTTCCACCATTTAGATATTTTTCAATTTCAATGACCCCTCTCTTCAAGACATGATTCAGGCTGGGATATACACCCCCCCCACACACACACACACGCGCGCGCGAGCGCACATGGAACTCGGTCGTTCAGTTTGGATTTTCTTAAGCATCTGTTCAACAGACAGCTGACCAAAATATGATACACCTCAAACATAACCGTGAACTATACATCAAAAATAAGTTTTTTTTAAAAGTTGATTATGGAACATTTTCCACAAATGTCTGTTGAAACAAGAGTCCTTAAGAGCATTTAAAAGAGATTTCGAGAAAAACTATTAAAAGGAAAACCGCATCGGTTAGGCTAAATAATTTTAGTGGGTGAATGTAGCACCAGCACATAATGGGGAATGGCATCTATGCTGCAAACTTTCTACCAATCTGTGAACTGCATCCTTGTATCCTATTTGCACACATCGTGCCTATGGATAGCGCAAGCTCACCTACTGGTTTGACTGATTACAGAAGATGTCAAACATTGAGAACTGAACAGTCAAAGACATTTTTGCCCACAAAATAGTCAATTTACTTTACAGTATATTCTGTGAAGCTCTTTGAGATGTCTTGAAGACACGATAAGGCACTATATCAAATGCAAGGATTATTATATTATACAGCTCTTGTCCAAAATCTCATTAAAAATAACATCTTTTCATAATGGTTTAGGCTATTGAGCATGAGGAATGAATACTGAAGATTGATTTAAGCGTGGTCATGTCTATAATTGGAAACATGATTTATTATTTAGCTGGTACACCCATTTTGTATGAAAAAAACTACAGCACCACTCCCCCTTCTCCAGTTGAGCTTTTGTGTCTACTATGGACCCCGAAAAGACCAGACACAAAGTACCTTTTCAAAATGGCTGAACAAATATGTACGCCGACTGAGGAACACAACTCCACATCATCCAGTTTTGTAATTGCTCTTAACCACTACTCTTTGTGTTCTCCCCTGAAGCAACTTCTCTATCCATTCGGCTGCCTTCTCCTAGATCCCATACGCCCTGACCTTAGACAAAGGTCTTTTATATGGCACCTGTCAAAAGACTTGACAAAATTGGCCCAATATTTTTCTCCTCTTTTAAAGGGAATGACTTATTGAAAGTTTGAGGCAAGGATCACTGTTCCATGATGCTCACTCCCACACTGGAGATACCTTGTTTAATTCATTCCCAGCTATCCTTTAATAGTTTTCCTCAAGTGTTTATCCAATTTATTTTAAATCTATTTAGGACATTTCTTCAAGCAGCCATCTGTGGTAAAGCATTCCATACTCCTAACAGTCCTCTGAATAACATCCTCAGTTTGGGGTGCGCAACACGTGAATTGTAAGATATTTTCTACAAAATGTAAATGATTAATGAAGCTCTTACTTGCTCCAAATATCTGGGTCAAAATGCTTTTCTGATGGCTACAGTCAATGTTGTATGGAGTTTCGCTTGCTTTATTAGGTCGGTAAAGTAGACGTCCATCTTTGGGATTTCTCAGCAACAATTCAGCTAATTTCCTGCTTCTCCCACGGATGGCTATGTGGAGTGGAGTGTCTCCCTTCTGAAATAGAACAATGAAAATTCAACGAGATTTCAATTTACGTACTATAATTTGCTTGTCAGACATCATTTTTTCATACACACATTACAATATCACTCCCACAAAGTGTATTAAAATCCTTCCATTTGAATTTGTATTGTACTCCAAGTGTACAAATCAGTGAAGTTTTTTTGGTTAGCCCCTAACCATTATCTTCCAACTAATCATTGAACATCTAGAGGCTCAATTAGTCAGATATCAAACAAGACTAACTTCCGAAAGTTAAATACGTACACTAAAATGAACTAAAATACATGGCACAGAGGAGGATTAGGAGTATGCACCTGAATAGGGCATCTCTATTCACTTCAAAGATCAGTTATTCTCTGCTGCCAAAGTAACTGATTACTCAGCCAAACTGCTCAAATAATCAACATGAATAAACTTCTATTATAACCACACTGCACATGTGTAACTTTTTATTAAAGTTAATTTGATATTTATACTTCACATCAGATCCAAACTACTTATCTACATTCTGAATATCTTTTCTATGAAAACTGAGACAAAGTATTTAATTGGAAATGTTACCTTATCTGCAGCAGACACCTTGGCACCTTTATCCAGTAAAAGTTCAACAATTTCAATGTTCCGCATTTTGGTTGCTTTAATGAGAGGAGTTTCACCATCCTAAAAGTACAAGAGATTTTAAATTTACTTTTAAAATGTGTAACACACTTTAGGCATTTTACTTAACACTGTTTTCACACAAATCAAAAACTTGCTGAAGAAGAGTGTCTACAGCAACAATCCAGTAATTAGGTTTAATATTGTCAGTAATATATTGGGGAATTCCTAACAGATTCAACCGAGCTTCTCCGCAGACAAATGTATCAAAATCATTTTGTAATAAGCAGAAAACACAGTTGAGGCTGAATGTTTCTCCAACAACACTTAAAAAAATAAATTAAATTATCAAAATATCTGCAAATTAAACTCGGGGGGGGGAGGGCTTGGAGAAATAGAGGTAAAAACAGTGTCTTGGGGAATACACAAAAATTAGGTTACAAGTGCAGAAAACAATCATAGTATGAATTTGCATAATGCTCTTTGCTATTACAATAATAATAATAATAATAATCCTTCCATTTGATATAGCGCTTTTCACGTCGGGAGGACGTCCCAAAGCGCTTACACAATAATTGTTACCTTAATGCAGATTTCTGTATCAGGATTGCACTGGAGAATATCCCTTACTACGGTTGCATTTCCTTTTTCCACAGCCCAATACAGAGCAGTTTTACTATCCTGAAAGCAAATTAAGAAGTATGAATCAAAACACAACAAAATCAATGTTTCATTCTTCCTCAGAATATTGTTTTCCTCTTAAAGTGCTCGAAAATGTGTTTAATAGTACAGATCACCCCAATCTAAGTGGAGCTATTAGAATTTAGTAATAAAAGCAGATGTATTCAAATTTAAACTGAATGCTTAATCTTGAAGAGATAATAAACATATGTACTGATAAACACTTTTTTTTAAAATCAAGACTTTCCCGGGACACATTTGGTAATAATTAATTGTACTTACTGTTCCCTTTATATCTATATCAGCATATTTCTGAAGTAAAGCCCTCACGATTTCCACATGACCTCCTTTAACAGCTCCAATTAGGACAGTGTCACCACTCTGAAAAAACGCACAAGGGGGTTATGTTGAAAATATCTGACACAAACATTTACAATCCAGAAACTATTGCTAGTAAGTAGTTTGTTCATCTAAAAATAGCCTGAAAAAAAATTCACTGCATTACAACTATTCAAGCTAAATTTAGGATGAAACAGCTTTAATGTATTCATTCAATTTGTTAAAATAAAAATCATTGAATTTAATATAGTGCCCACACAAAAAAGTCACAGTACTTCACATAGAATTGCTGTCAATAGTAGCAACTGTATATTTATAGAAAGATGTGACAGCCAATTTGTGTTCAACACTGTCCTACAAACTGCCATGAAGGTCCATTTTATTCGAAGGATTGTTGTCCAGAACAACTGGAGACACGCTTGCTTATGAAACTTATAGTATCAAATAGTATCATAGGATTTTAATGACCACCTGAAAAAAAAGTTAACTACTCATCTAAATGAGTGTCACAAACAACGGAGTGATCCTCCGGTCCTGCACAAGAATGTCAGCCTAGACTGAGTTCAAAGTTATGACGTGTGGCTTTCAACATGCAACTTTTTGACTCAAAGACTGAAGTTGTACTAACTGAGCTAAGCTGACACCACTTTTTAAGTTAAACGCGCAATTCAAAGTAAATAGACGAAACATTTAACTTTAACTGCCCAACCATGTAGAGATCCTGAAACTGCCATTGGATGTAGAGGATCTGTATTTTGTTGTGTGCAAGTGTTCTGGAAGAGTGGGGAGGTTGGAGAAAAAGTGGAAGGAGGAGAGAAAATGTTGAATGGTCTATTGGAGAACAGTGAAGCTTAGGGCAGATTTCCAAACCTAGGAGCAGCTTGGTCCAAAGCTATGCAGTACAGGAAGAATATTTGTGGAAAAAAAAGTGATTAGGAATCAAACCAAACTAAAAGTTTACTTCTGTCAAAAACATTTAAAAACTGTCATGGCATAATCAAATATCAAAAGGATGAGATTTCCAATTACAGCCAAAAGCAATAAAACCTCAAAGCCAAAAGCCTTCAAACCAGACAAACTAATAAATCCCACGCTTTTTCCCCAAAAATTTGGGTTCCCAAACTAAAAATTTAAACATTGCAATTGACATTCTAAACCTTAGCTATATGTAACTTGAAATGTAACCAAATCAGAAAGAACAGCAAATACAAACCCTATCAGGGATGTTGACATAAGTTCCTGCATCTAACAGGTCCTGTACAATTTCAATGTAACCTTCTTTGGCTGCAATCATCAGAGCTGTATTCCCATCTTTATCAGTCAGATTGACATTTGGATTGCGATTCAGTAATTCCTTCACCACCTCTGTATAGCCACCTTTGACTGCCACAATCAAGGCAGTCATGGAGTTCTAAAAGAAAAGATGCGAAAATTAGAAACACAAAACTTTGGTAAACTAATAAAGCATGACACTAGAAAAGCCTACTTATATTAATCCATTCTTTTCACATCCACATAAAACCCCACATTACTGACTTCACCCACTCCACCATCTGGAGAAAACAGGGGATGCGAAAGATGACAACCCCAGGCCCCAATAGCACAGTAACAAATATGGCTTTAACTTCATTCTGTAGCTCTTGCTACATCTTCCAATATTGTGCACAATCAAATACATTTTCCACTTTTTGAAGGAGTAAAATGAGCATAGCATCATTTTTAGCAATAATTTAACAATAATTCTAACCAGTTCGGAGGCTTTTGAAACCTCTCCTAAAACTGGTTTTGGTTTGATGCAAAAAATAAACCTATAAGAAGCTGTACTGAAGAAATAATGGGAAAGTCCTACAGTGCTCCAGCAAACCTGGTTGAGGAAGCGATGGTCAATTTAGCCTCATTTGTTGAATATTACATTCCTTGCATAGTAGTCTACAGACATACAAATAATTAATATTAAACTGATTTTTTAAAAAAAACTAAAATGAAAGCCAAACCTACGAATTTGTTATTTACAAAGAAATAGGAGCAGGATTAGGCCATTCGGCCCCTCAAGCCTGCCTCGCCATTTAATAAGACCACGGCTGATCTTCTAACCTAATTCCATTTACCCACCCTATCCCCATATCCCTTAATCCATTTAGTTTTTAAAAATTTATCAATCTCAGTCTTGAATATGTTCAATGACTGAGCATCCACAGCCTTCTGGGGTAGAGAATTCCATAAATTCACTGCCCTCTGAGTGAAGAAATGTTTTCTCAACTCAGTTCTAAAACGCTGACCTTTAATCCTGAGACTATGACCCCAAGTTTTAGATTCTCCAACCAGGGGAAACCGTCTCACAATATCTACCCTGTCAAGACCCTGAAGAATCTTACAGGTTTCGGTAACATCACCTCTAATTCTTCCATATTCTAGAGAATATAGGCCTAGTCTACTCAACCTCTCCTCATAGGTCAACCCCCTCATCCCAGGAACCAACCAAGTGAACCTATGTTGCATTTCCTTCTAAGGTGAGTATATCCTTTCTTAGATAAGAAGACCAAAACAATATTCCAGGTGCGGTTTCCCCCTCTAGAAAATAATCTGTTTTTCTATTTTTCCTACCTAGGTGAATAACTTCACACTTCCCCACATTATATACCATCTGCCACTTTCTTGCCCACTCACTTAACCTGTCTATATCCCTTTGCATCCTCCTTGTGTCCTCCTCACAGCTTACTTTCCCTCCTAGTTTTGTATCGTCCATGAATTTAGATACATTAAGCTCTATTTCCTCATCTAAGTCATTGATGTAGAATTTCTAGCATGTACAAACTTGTACCACAGATATTCAAGACTGCACAGAAAATCTATGGTACAATTTGACATGAATGCAGCAGCAGCACCAGCAACTTAACCCCTCGAAAAACCTTTATGAAAATCCTAAATTTGGGATTTTCCTATTTTTAAAAAAATTCTGTGGCCAAAATCATGATTTTTTTTCACAAGCCCCTTATCAAGAGCCTACCCTTCATATGCAAGTTGGGAGATGGGAAGAAGTGGAGTGAGGGAAGCTCAATCCTTTTACTCACATGTCCAAGAAGGCTTTTTGCACACCTGTGAGCAAGTTCAGGTCAATTACAATCTCAACTACTACTCTGGTTGAAATCAGATTTATTTTAAAAGCTATTGATCAGTTTTCAACATAAACCCATTTAAAGACTAAACAAAATATACCTGCAAGATTACATTTCGCAATTCAATGTGGTTCTCATGTAATCAACTAGGTTTTTCCCAACATGCACTTAAAACAAAAGGTTTAAATAAAAAAGAGATACATACAGCTCCTTCTTGATCAACGTCGGCTCCCATTTCCAACAGATGTTTCACACACTCAATATGACCTTTCCTGGCGGCCCATATTAATGGTGTTGTTCCATACTAAAAACAAAGCATCACAAAAAAGTTATTGACTGCATTTCACTTTCATTTCTCAATACATTGCTTTAAATGTAATCATTTGTAACCACAGGTTCCAACATTCACATTCTTGGAGATACTGTGCAAATATATCTATTCTATTTTAATACTGAGAATTTACATTTTTATTGCTATTTGAGTCATTTAAGTTCCAGCAAAAATTGCGTCCCAGACCATTAGCATAATTGTAGCCCATTTCTGTTCCAATGCTGCCACAGTACCTCTGAACTCAGAGGTAACAATCAACCTAGAATTATAGAAGGCATTCAGCCCATCGAGCCTATTCTGGTGCTGGGCTCATCACTACAGTCAACTACTCTAATCCCAATTCTCTGCTCTCTCCAGGTATCTTTTTATACTCTACCTCATCAAATCTATCTAATAAATGTTATGCTCGCAAGTCAGATTAGCTATTTGTACAGCACTAAAAATGATCAACCTCCAGGTCACTTGGTCATCACCAACATCCCTTCAAGCAAACTGTGTATCTCACAGGAAGTGACATTAGCGGCAACATGACGACTCAAAAGGCAGTTTTTTTTTAAGCACCGGATCCAGTGGGGCGGCCAGTCATTTGCAGGCATTCAACATGAAACCAACAATTTTGTGGCCTCATAATAAGACAGTTTGGGATCTCGTGGACCCCAACTACTTCCTTAAAACAGGGTTCAATTATAGATGCTTTTGACCCATGCCTCTGGCAGCAGTGAATCAAAATCATTAACAGCCAAAACAAAACTCAATCGTGCTGGAAAACTACCACCTGCCTATAAAGAACCAGCAAGTATGTTTTTGTTATTGCCTTTCAGTGGAGAAAGGACCTACCCCGGTGACAGTCACTATCAGAAAGCAGTGCTCTGATGCAGTTTAGAAATAATAATGCAACAGCGAAGTGCATTCTTGAGGTAAATTACAGCTTCACAATCAACTGAGCCGACTGCCTCATTTGTGCAAGACTGTAGAGCCAATAGGCATTTAGAGAAATTAAAGAATATGGTTCATATTAAAACCCAATGGGATCTTTCTGCTGGTTATGAAATAGGATTCAAACTTCAAATTTGCAATTCAATACACAATTCCCTAATATATCCTCTTAGTAATTATCTAGAGCAGTAAGTGCAAGTTCAGGATACCAAGAACCTCTCCCCCATTTCCCATATGGACTGATGTTCCAAAAATTTGCCCACTACTTGTACAAAGGCAAAAATCCATCTCTCAGAATTATATCAACAATTAAACTGATTGGCAGAGGGTAGTTGTGATTCCTACTCCACAATTTCTGTTCAACTGAAACTAATTTGAACACAGCTAAGAAATACCAAAACCAAAATGTTCTCCATTAATCATACCATGACTGTTTATTAAATATTTAAATACAATTTAAATATTTTTTCATATATATTAAAAAAATCTTACTTTGTCAGAACAGTTGACTTTGGCTCCACTCTGAAGTAAGAGTTCAACAATTTCATGATGACCTCGTCCAGCTGCCCAAATGATAGGGTAAACGCTGTACTGCTAAAGAGTGATTAAAACACCCTTCATTAACCCAATACTGTTGCTACTAAGACATAAAATAGGTATAATTGCACGTTTGTAAAAGTAAATGTAAAAGGTTTTGTTTGTGTAAAATTCTTGATTTACACAAACTAACATTTCAAATCAATACCATCCTACAATTTACTCTTGAATACACAACCACCCTTTAATGCTTCCCTAAAGTAGCAGGTCACAGCAACTCAGTTAGATTTTACATTGCATAATTCAAGGATGTGTTTGTTGTTGTTCTCAGCTTTAAACAGACATAAAAAGCTGCTTCTGCAATTCAGGTAGAATGCCTTGCCCTCTTCACATTCAAAACCTTTCCCTTCAACTGTATTTTCAGCCACCTTCACCCCTCAGCTCTTTCCCTCTTCCCCTTCCAGGTTTCCTTGGTGGTGTGTGAAGTGCTTTGATACGTCCACTGACGTGAAACATAACTTGGTTGCTTAAATAATTCCCATAAAATTTGGTAAAGTGCCAAATGAAAACTTCTCCGCCCTCCCTCTCAGAGATTTCACACAATATCTGTTTGAAGTTAACTCAATCAAAATATATTTGTGTTTACACAGAACACAAATATACGCAAGCATCTATAACAATTAAGAAAGCTCACAGTACACAGAAGTGCAAAAGACTGGAAGAGCCCTTTACAAAGCAGCTCAAAGAATAATATTACTCTTAATTGCCCATAATCCAAAAAGCTTTCCAATTTCCTCTTGAATATTCTGACAAATTCTCCCTCAGTTTCCTAGATGTAATGATCTTAGAGAAAGATTACTCACCTGTCCAGTAATGTTTGGGTTTGTACCTCTCTCAAGAAGTAATCTTGCAATCTCTGTATGACCTTTATAAGCTGCCCACATAACAGCAGTCCAGCCACCCTGAAACATCCAATGTTAAAAAATAATAATTTCAGAAGCATTAAAATAGACAAGTAAACACACATTTGCCTACTATAAGCATGTTAAGGTGGATTAAATCTTAAGAATTTATGTTCAGAATATCAAAAGCCAAGTTCTTCCCTCCCTTCGTGTTGATCCTGAAAGTATTGCAATTGTTTTGTAGTACTGAATTGCTTGATTCACATTAATTTGTACTTCCTGAAAAATACTTGCTCTTCAGACAGCCCTCCCTTCAAAAAGTTATGTTCCTCATAACTTCCTCTAACAAAAGTTATGCTGCTTAGAACATAGGACAGTACATGAAGAATATTAATACCATCTCAGCTTGAGTGCCCAGCCATTTCTGTTAAGCACTTTGGGACATCCTCCTGACGTGAAAGGTGCTGTATAAATGTAAATTTGAATTGCAATACTACTTTGCAGCTGATAAACTTACATCTTTACAGAATGACAAAATAACCAATGTCCTATTGCTTTCAACTCACCATATCTCTGTGTTCTAGGTTAGCACTAGAATTAATGAGCTCCTTCACAATTTCTAAATGTCCTTCCTTTGCAGCAGAAATGAGAGCTGTCCAGTTATCCTGTCAAGAGTCAAATATATTAAGCACACTGTTTTATGTATGGGTAAAAGAGGAAATGCAAATACAGAATTGAAATTTTTCTTTAGTTTCTAAGATTACAGAAAAAGTACTAACGGCATCTTCCAGGTTGCAGTTAGCTCCTTTATTGAGCAATTCTTGAACAATCTCCAAATTTCCTTGCTCTGCTGCAAGCATTAGGGGAGTCTGGCCACTCTGCAAAATAAGACTTTCGTCAATATTACAAGACTTCAACTTATTCTCTGGATCAATAACCAACTGATACTGAAAATAATACCTCCTGTCGTTTAGGCTTCACACATTTTGAAGATAATAGCAATACAATAAGTAGAACTAAGTAAGACAGGTACCACACTACAAGTAGTTAGGGAAACAAATCAAAGTTTGTTGTCTCGGACTTCCAACAAGTTAAGACATCAAGGAGAGGTTGATTGTCAGAGCTCAGATAATTATTTTTAAGCAGGTTTAAACTTACACTTATGATTAAGATAACATTTGGAAATGGAAAGTGTTGACAGCTTAAAACTGTAACTCAAACAGTAAACCTTTAAGGCATCATCAAAATGTTTATGTTGGGGTGTCAACTTTTTCTGAGGATTGCTGATGTTGTATATTTATGTTCACCTACCCAACTTCCAGTTTAAAAATCACATTCGAGATGAGACTGTCAATGCTTTTTAGGCTGCACAATTGGGCCTATTAATTTGGCCTATCATGCCCAATTAATTCAAATCAATGGTTTTAAAATGAACGGTGTGAGTTAAAAGAGTAAAGTCTTGAAAAAGGTTAGTTCTTATAACTAAGAATGAACAGAAAAGAGCAAATCAAATCGGAAGAAAAATAATAGAATTTCAACACAACTGCTACGACGCTAGCTAATTTTCCCTTTTCTAATCAAAATCACTGAGGCCAAATATATCAATTCTTCATGCCACCTGGCTAGTTCAGCACAGAAAAGGGAGCAAACAGGAGAATTTTCTTGCTAGTATGGATCAACTGATCATTAGATGTACTCACTGAATACACTTTAGTTGATTCAGATTAATAATGCAAATTATTCCTGATGTTTAAGCAGTTTTGTTGCAGCAATTACTAGTGTTCACTGAGCTGAAAAGGCACAGAATCTACCAGCAGAGTTTCCATGTATTGGTACTTTTTGGGTTAAATCAGACCTCATTTCTACTGAACTACTGATATAGGACAATAGTTTTTTTTAAGCAACGTTAGTTCAACTTTAGTCAATATGGGTGTAACTGACCACAGGCTCCAGTCTGACAGCAACTTGCAATCTTCATCATCACTCATATGAGTAGATAAACAAATTAAGTATTGCATCACTAAGAGATCTGGCGGAAGACTCCAGTTTCCAAATACAAGCACTTAACCACAATTGAAACACAGCTTTTAACTGGGAGCGGTCTATTTAAATCTACCCCAGTGGATTTTAAATAAGCAATTTCACAATGTGGCTTTGAAATTGAAAAAGTGGCATTCATCCTTTTCAGCTCTCACAAAGCACGTTCCCAATTCAGATTTAGAGGAGGTCAAATGATCTCATTCAACTTATTCTAGCTTCATCTGGAACTACTTAAATGTGTTCACATTGAACTTGTGGTATCAGAACCTTTTAAGTCGTTTTTTTTACATATATATATATTGTTTAAGACACTTTTCCTAGGTATTTCCCAGTGTATGCTCTGGCCTGTTCACTCCACTTCTTTTTGTATTTCAGAAATCATCTGTGGTCTGTCATTTAGGGTCATAAAGGTTAAGGTATGGTGAATGGGTTGAGATACTTCATGGTTAAACCTGAAAACAAACCGATGCACAACAACTTGAATTTACATAGTGCCCTTCACATTGTAATATCTCGGAGCACTTAACAATGGTGGAGTTGGACCTCCATGCTGGGGAGAGAGAGAAGGTGGTGTCAGGCGGGAAAAAGGAAGGTCTTCCTCTTACATAAAAGGACCTCAAAGTAGCCCATTTTGAGTACACACTGGAATACATATTGAATAGAATTTTCCTTTACTAAAAATTGAATAAATTATTACAGACAATACTCAACGTAAATTAAAATATTACCGGCATATTTTGATGGAACGTGCAAAAACATTGTGTTTTACTAATGAAAGTTAGTACAAAGAGTTCCCTACCTCATTTCTTTCATCCACATCCTTGTACTTTTCCAACAGTGCTTTGAAAGCAGTAATGTTCTCCTCTTCGACATAGGTTAATAATGTCTGGGACATGATGGCAGCCATTTATGTTTCAGTCACACCATGACAAGCAGTCTTCCACTGTACCTACACCAATAAGAATTACAATCATTCTCAACTAATAGGCCACGTTTCACAAGGCTCTACCAACACCTAGTTATATATAAACACTTGGTTATAAATAAGAACCACTAAAGTCAATTTTTAAGTCACAAAATAAAGTCATTGGTTTTATTGGGGGTATGTTTTTTCTTCAAATAATAATCATCAATCTTGCATTTGATACAGCACCTTTCATGTAGGGAATATGTCTAATGGGATAAAATGGGAGAAGATAATGGGAAGGGTTGGTAAAATTAACAAAAAAGATAAATTCTGCGAATGTTGGGATTTATTTGGGAACATTTGTGTTCATTCAGAAACTTGCCTCTCTGCAAGGCCTGTTTTTAATAATACATGTGAAAAGCTAGTTCCCACCACGCTCACAAAAAGCCAGTTCCAGCAATGAGCGCCATCAAGGTTTTGAAAAAAAAAGTTATTTTTTGACGTTAAATAGATTTAGGTGATAATTTATTTTCATGAATATTTATTGCTATAAACTAAATTTCAAAACTACTGTACTTCAATGGTCCTTCGCCATAAAAGCAAGTAGCTAATGAGCATACATTGCTCAGTATTATATTAACCCATGGCATACAAGAACTGGTAATCTGAAGTAAAATAGGGCTCAAAATAGAAACTTCTCAAATGATTAAAATTAACGTGCTTCAAACTTTGAAAAAAAGCCAGAATTAAGGAATTTCCATCCTGTAATCGATTTTGAAAAGTGGCAACACGGAGAACTGTAAAATGATAAAACTGAATACATATTTTAAACAGATTGGCACATGTGCATTTGAATCCCTAGGGTTTGGTTATCTGATTTCAACTCAATCTGCGCCAACCATTTATTAAAAATGAATGGGGTTGCAAGTCAAAGAAACATTTCAAATAAAACATATTCTGCGCTGAAACCGCACAAATCTGTTACAGTGTATACAACAACAAAATTATATTTGTATAGCGCCTTTCACGTCAGGAGGACGCCCCAAGCCGCTGGACAATCAGTGTTTCGCACCCAAGCTGGGGGTCGGGATCAGGGAGGGTGGAGGGATTTCCAAATATGTTTTAGAATAACAAAATTATCATCATTATCATCATCAGTGTCTCAGATCAAAATATTGAAAACTTTTGGCTGGTCACATATGCAAATACTAACTTCAATTTAAATATACAACACAAAGGAAAATCAGAAACGGATTACATTATTTTCAAAACTTGCAAATTCAATTTCTTAAATTATTTTAAATTAAGTTTTTTTTTCAGAAAACATGCCAATGCTTTAATCAAAATCCTTTTTAGTTAAATCTCAAGTAATCTTACCTACTACAGACTCGCTATGACAAATATTTAGTTTAAACATCACATGAAAGCGACTCCCTCGAACCGTGAATATGTTCTTACTCTCACTAGAGAAGCAGTAAATATCGACTCCACCATCTTATTTAAGACAGTCAATTCTATGTACACCATTTAATCAGTATTTTCAGATGTCAGCATGGTGCGGTTGCCTCAGAGTCAGAAACTGCATAGTTGCACAGAAAGCTAATTAATCCAGTCTTGTTTTGAAATACTGTGCAACAATAAAGAGATTTACAAAAGGTCTCAGAGAAATTGAACCATCAAAGCCATCCCCAAACAAAACTGTTCATGTAACTTCCATGAAGCACTTTGAGCCTTCTCAACAACATAAGGCACTATATCAAATGCAAGAATTATTTGTGTTCATTTTTAGAAACTTGTAAACAAATCAGCAATTTCTCCTCTCATAATTCTTGAAATTTAACAAGAACTTTACAAATGTCATAAACAGGAAACAAAGGGATAGCTATTGATACAATTCACAATAAAATTTGACAAGTTTGAATGTAATCATTGAAAACATTTTAAACTCAGATAACAAACTCAAGAATGATTGCACAATTATGACAATGTTTCAATGGCAACGTCTTGAAGCAATTTATAAACCAGGCTCAGACAAAAGCCATATCTAATTAAACCAGTCTTGTTTTGGAATACTGGGCAACAATAAAGAGATTTACAAAAGCTCTGAGAGAAAAAGAACCATCGAGCCATCCCCAATGGGTCCCAGGATATTTGTCCTCCCATCTTTATGATGCTAGTACAGCATTACACTTTTTTGGGGGCAGTCTGGTGTCTGACATATGTGGAAATCCATCACCGTGCTTATCCGAGTATCCAAACCAAACAGAGTTCCATGCATCCTGCCTATACATGGAAATTCCCGAGATATTTATTGGAATGCGCGCTCTCTCCCTGGAGGGTTGCATCCTGCTTAGCTAATTACGGAGTATTAGGTGCAGTTTGGCAAGATCCAAGCCCGGGGGACCCCAGAGTGCGTGTTGGGATACTGCTGCAGTCTAATCACCTAAAACCGCACAGATTACCATTGAGAGCATTGTGTGGCAAGCATTCCTGCTGCTTTCCCAGCTATAACCACATTACAAGTTAGGACTTTGGCTTGCAGGGTTGGGAGCCAGGGAGGTCTAAGGTGATGGGCATGCAAGATTTGTTGCAGGTGTATACTTTTGGATTAGCTGGAGCTTTTGTATGGTAAAACTGGGAATCTAGCATGGAGTTTATTTGAAAAGTCTATAAGTAGAAGGTAACAAAGGCTTGAAATATTAATAACTGAACAGAACATTAGTTACAGCTTTAATGTAAAAAATTAAATCGTACAGCGTATATACCAACAACATAACAAAATGACATGTGTATAGCGCCTTTCACGTCGGGAGGACGTCCCAAGTAAGTATATACAGGTAAGTGTGTGTCTAAATGAAAAGTACCCATCTGTATTCATATAACATCCAATCTCCATTGCAAATTAAGCTGTCAACAAATTGTTTATGACAGCAGCATTGGAAAATTTATGAAAGCCTGAAGTGTTTTTTGAATAAATAATGGAAATTTCTGGACAAACAGAAACCAAAACATGGGGCAGTCAGATTTTTATTTAAAATTTTGAATGTGTGCACTGCTGTCACTGCCGATGGCACAATTGAAGATCTGTATTAGTTCAAACAATGAAAATTCTAATATAAAGGCTCCACAAATAGGGCAAACCATCACTCCTTAAATCAGTGAAGCAATCAACCATCAGCATTTGTGCAGTCATGTTTATTGCACATCGGGGCAGCTTAAAACTCATCTCATAAAAAGCATTTTAATGCACTGTAAAAAGAATGCAAGTAGATCATAAACAGAATCAAGATGATTTGCCCAAAAGCTAACTAAATACATTTTTAAAAATACAAACTTTCAACCTTCAATTACTTTCAGCTTTGTAAACAAACCAAAGACTTTTTTAAAAAAAATATACAGCCAATAGCATGAGGTCGCATATCGTCTTGCTTATTCAAACTGCATTGCAACACAACTCACACACAACAAATTGATCAACCTTGCAGAGCAGCTGCAGTGTAAAATCCAAAACTGGAATCAATAATGTATGATTTGGGCTGAATGCTATACCCAGCCCAATTATCTCATACAGCTCATATTGCTTTCTCAGTGACAGAAAACAAAAACACAAACCACATTCAAAGATTTCCTTTTGTGTCCCTGCCACTAGCACCCTGTGCACATACAAAACAAAAGCACTGAGATTTATATACTGGAAATCTGAATTGACTAATCCAATGACATTTATAATTTGTAGCCGCGTCTTGTCATTTGAATTTTTGAAGCCTCGCCACGACCAAGGTTTTACATTTACATGGCACTTTTCACGTCAGGAGACTCTGTAAGCCGAAAGATAAAGGAAGATTTCAAGATATCAAGAACATGGTAAAAAGATAAAGTAACATTTTAAAAGGTCAAGACAGTGCTGTTTTTCCCCCAAATCAAATGCCAAACAATCGGATATTCGTTTTGTTCAAATTGCTGCATAATTTCTGGTACCAAAAACAAGATCAATGCCTTTACTTAACCCACATTAACAAAACTCGATTTTGTATTCAATTGAGAAGAATACAATATCGCAATATAAAAACACTTAAACTAACCATGATTCAAAGTTAAGTCTGGTTTTCCATCATTTAAGTGTACACTAGCCAAGAAAAATAGCTATAATATTGCAAAACCCACTGCAATAAACAATGCTTTGTCCACAACAGTAGTGTTTCAACACATCAGAATTTGTCTGATTTGCAGTCTGGATTTTCTCAAATTTCAAACAGTCTTCTTGGATGCAAGAGGCTATAACGCATCATGTTTTCTATCGGCACGGCTGTATTTTATCATGAATTGCATCAAAAGGCAAATCTTACCTACCATAGAGATTTGCACTTGTTTTTCTTTAGTGTTATTATTCTCATTAGCAGCTTCCTCTTTCCTATACAGCTTCCAATATCACAGATGGTCAAAAGGGATTAATACTACTAATTTTTACATTGACAGAATTAAGCCTTTACCTTTAACCTCCTCCATGATCTTGCCCCATCTTACTTCTGCAAACTTCTCAAACTCTACCAATCCAGTCTGTTTCACATCCCCTGCTTCACCATCGCCAGTCAGGCTTTCAGCATATCTGCCCCCACCCTATGGAACTCCATCCCAGAGGATCTTCAACTTCCCTGTCCAAGGTCCACCTCAAGATCTTCTCTCTGACCATGCTTTTCGGTCATCTTTCTCCTCTTCTTAATCCCACCCCCTCGGCTCCCACCCTCAGCTTGGGTACACACCTTAGATAGTTCAATGCCTTGGGAAATCCTCCTGATGTGAAAGGTGCTATATAACTGTTGATTTGTATTGTATTCTAAGCCTTTGTTTTGTTAAGAATTCAGATTCAGGTTTATGTTCAAATGTAATATTCCAAACAGTTAATCATATGTAAATTTTATTTCAAAGTGAATTTTCAAACAAAATAATGGTATCAAAAATGAAACTGAAATTTTATTGGAAGTAAATATGGTGCCTAACTGATATTAATCTAATCTAATACACAAACGATCCATCTCATTTACTGGTATATAAGTAGATTTGTAGTCACTGTAAGTTATGTTTTAAGGTTCGCCCCCAAAATACAGTCAATCGACTTTACAATAAACTTTACGAAGCTCTTCGAGACACCTTGACAATGCGATCAGGCGCTATATCAAATGCCAATGGCTCCCTCCCTGCAACATCACGACATGCGGCATTCCTCGGGGATCTATCCTCAGTCCTCTCCTCTTTAATTTCTACATGTTCCTGCTCGGCGATGTCATCTACAGTATTGGGGTTAACTTCCACATGTATGTGGATGACACCCAATTCTATCTCCCTACCTCCACCCTAGATTCCAGGAGCACTGGTGTTCTGACTGATCACCTGTCAGACCTCAAGTCCTGGATGAGCGTTAGGTTTCTCCTGTTGAATGTCCTTCTTGACTTCTGTTCGTGCCTTGTCACCTCAAGTGCTGACAGCATCAATCTACACGGATGTACACTCCACCTCACTGAGCTAGTCAGGAACCTTGGTATCTTGCTCGACTCAACTCTCCTTTAAATCCTTGTGCCTTGACCTGTTCAGCTTTTCCCCACCTCCACAACATTGGCACTCCACCATTATTCTCCCCTCTACCTTTCTCCGTGCTTTTGTCACATCTAGGCCTGACAATGCCAACTCTCCACTCACCAGACTTCCCAACTCTTCCCTCACAAGCTGCAAACCATTCAGAACTCTGCAGCTTGAGTTCTCTCCTGCACGAGGCTACACAAGCCAACCACCCCCATCCTTGCCCAATTCCCCTGGCTTCCTCTCCCCCAGAGGCTCAAGTTCAATTTCCTCATCCTCACGAGCAAATCCCTCCACGGTGTTGCCCCACCCCATCGGAAGACCTTCTAAACCCCTACAGACTCACTCATTCCTTCCATTCCGTAGGCACTGGTTTGCTTCACAAACCCCAACCTGCGTGCCCCACCATCAGCAGTCGAGCCTTAAGCCTCTCTGCCCTCAGTCTCTTGGAACTCCATCCTGGAGTCCCTTCACCTCGTCCTCTTTCCTCATCTCCTTCAAACACCATCTCAAGACCTTCCTCTTTGACTGCGTCTTTGATCATCGTCCCACCCCTCCTGAATCCAACCTCCAGTTCGGGTGCAAATCCTCAACTGTCCAACACTTTGGTACAGCCTCCTGAAGTGAAAGGCACTATATAAATACAAATAGTTGTTGTTATTGCTCACTAAGTAAAATAAACTCACTAAGCAAATCGGCGGAGCCTAGGTTTAGTATGCAATTATTGTGGGTAAATTAATGGTTTCACAAAATTCTGCTCAAGGATTTTTAAAACCTTCCACGTATGTTAGTTACACCATGCTCTGCTTCTGCGACTTTAGAAAAGATTTCATTTCAACAAATAGTTATGAAATGTGAAGTAAACTATTTCATAAATTACTCATCCAACATAACTGTACAGTAACAAACCAGGACTGTGGATGGCGATCATAGAATTATACAGAACAGAAGGAGGCCATTCGACCCATTGTGTCTGTGCTGACACTTTGAAAAGAGCTCCCCAAATCAATCCCAATCCCCCGCTCTCTCCCCGTAGCCCTGCAAACTTGTCCTCCCCAAATAATTATCTACTTCTCTCTTAAAAGTTGTTATTGAATCGGCTTCCACCACCCTTTCAGGCAATGCATTCCAGATCCGAACAACTTGTTGTGTAAAATAATTTCTCCTCACCTCTGTTTCTTTTAACAACTATTTTAAATCGGTATCCTTGGATTACTCCTCTTAACCTTTATAAACGTTCATCACAACTTCCTGACTTTTGTATTCTATGCTCCTATTTATAAAGTCTAGTATCCCGTATGCTTTTTAACAGCTTTACCTACCTGTCCTGCCACCTTCAAAGATTTACTTATATAAACCCCTTTAAGATTGTACCATCTAGCTTATATACACAGTGACTATTCAATATCCTAAGCCAACACATTTGACTGACAACATCAAAAATCACGTGGTTATGGTTTATAGATGTACCATTACCTACAATACTAACAAAGCAATTTTTGAAAGTGAATACATTGCAAGGCACTCTCCTGAAACATCAGTTAAACACATGTGCTTTATCATTACTGGTCTGATCAGCAACTCAAAATCACTAGGTAAACCAATAAGATACTTTGCAAAGCAATTAACATGACATAGAACACTCACATTCATCTCATCTCCAAAAGTTCTGTCAGCCATGTGGAGTTAATTGAAATATTGCAAATAGAACAGAACTAAATTTGAATATTTAGACCGCCTGTCAATCCATATAGTGGAAAAAGCAGTTGATTTTCCCGTTATGAGAAATATAAGTGCCTCTGGGCTTTGAGATGGCATGCAATTTATTTACCCACTTAGGAGACATTAAATTCAAATGTTGAAAAAAAAATCAGTCCAAATTCTTTGTGATAAAATATTTCCTGCAAATCCAATAACTGTTTAATGTACTTCTTGAATTGCTTTAGCACTGATGACCATGAATTCATTCAAAATCCAGTTTTGTCCAATAAATAGCCCGAAATAGAACTGAGCATTATTCAGAAATCTTCCACTGTAACTAAAGTGGCTTTAATTTCAAAATCAGTCACAGTTGAGAGCTTTTCAACTAAATGGCTAACTGAACTCCTTACTATTATCATTTTCCACAGACAGTATTCACTGTTCTGGTAACTTAATAAAAACTGTTGCAAAAAAATCCGATTATGCAGATACTAACTGAATCCACCGACTAAATTCTGAGATGCCCAAGTCCTGCAAAATTCTATTGGGGGCCCAGATGCACAACAGATGAGATCAAACATCATTTTGGTATTATGTCACATACTGTATTTCCTTCAATTTTCAACAAAGACCACACAAAGGATTGCTCATGTACCTTCAGAGGCTTGAAAAGAAACTCAGCGAGAGGCAGAAAGTTAAAGACGATGAAAAACACAAAGAAAGGCAAATAGAATGAAAGACTGGAAGAATGTGCTACAATAGTGAAGGTATAACACTAGATTGGCTACAGTACTATGTAAAATCTATGTTAGATCTTCCGAAGAGCAATGCTTTCAGTCCCATGAACTGCCTTTCCCCATACCCTTGTGGTTTACTCCCTGGGTATCTATCTTGTTCCCTTTTGAAGGTAATATGGATTCTGCTTCAACCTCCACTCCCAGGCCATTCCAAATCCTAACAGCTCTGCGTACAAAATGTTTCCCAATCTCTCCTGTTTACTTGTTTAATTCATCTAATGAAATTGTTCAGCATAAGATAACACAATTAGTTCACACCTCGCACAAGTATCCTCGAAGTTTTAGACCAACTGGTTTTGCTCAGTTAACATTCCCCCAAATATCTTTCCTGTAAAGATCCGGTACATGTCACAGAATTACAAGCCTAAAATTGCTGTATTCAGTTCCATGTCTTCCCTTCCAGCTGCGTACTCATATACAAGGAACAATATTTTTTCGCTGATCTCTGCTTCCAGCTACTCACATACCCCCAAACTCAAGCACTACGTAAGAACCACCGTCAAAGTTCAATACTAAAAGAGATGGATGAAATTATAAAACATAAAGTGCGATGTTTTCGAACAGTATTTCTGTACCGTGTATAACTTGCAGATTCTATTACTTTAGTCCAATATGTTCCGAGAAAGTACATCAAATGCTGTTGAGAGAACTTCACAAAGGAAATAGTATATTAGTTATTCCAAAAGCTGAATTGTCCACTGGATTCAACATCGAATCACAGAATAAAATTGCGATTTCAGTCTTCCTCCGTGGTACCACCTCGTGTCAAAAAAATACTGTTACATACACATTAATTGAGTTCATTTTTTTTTAAACTGCAGGGAAAGCAGAAGGGTTTGGAATCCACCAATTAATTCAACAAAAAAACGAATGAGATTTGTTGAAATTGTCGCCCACAAAATACACAGTCAATCCACGTTACAATATAGTCTGCGAAGTGCGTTGAGACGTCTCGACAACGCGATAAGGCGCTATATCAATATTATTATTATTATTTCGAGGAAAGACAACGCCTTCAAAAATGCAAAAAAAAAAACACCCAATCAATATTGTTTCAAGAGGCGATCGCGGCCGAGAATCAAACCTCTGGTGCAATACAATGACGATAAGTGGTTAAAAACAATAGCGGGTGTGAGGGCTGAAGGCACCGCTGTCAGCTCACAGTCAGGAGAACACCGCATCCGCGGCCAACAACACCCGCCCGTCAGCGGCCAACACCCGGCAGATATATAACCCCGGGGGGCCGGGGCTGGGGGCGGGGCCGGGGCTGGAGCGGGGCCCGGGGCTGGGGGGCCGGGGCTGGGGGGGGGCGGGGCCCGGGGCTGGGAGCGGGGCCCGGGGCTGGGGGGGGGGGAGCGGGGCCCGGGGCTGGGGGGGGGAGCGGGGCCCGGGGCTGGGGGGGGGAGCGGGGCCCGGGGCTGGGGGGGGGGGGGGAGCGGGGCCCGGGGCTGGGGGAGGGGAGCGGGGCCCGGGGCTGGGGGGGGGAGCGGGGCCCGGGGCTGGGGGGGGGAGCGGGCCCGGGGCTGGCTGGCCCGGGGCGGGGGGGGAGCGGGGCCCGGGGCTGGGAGCGGGGCCCGGGGTGGGGGGGGGGAGCGGGCCCGGGGCTGGGGGGGGGGGGGAGCGGGGCCCGGGGCTGGGGGGGGGGGGAGCGGGGCCCGGGGCTGGGGGGGGAGCGGGGCCCGGGGCTGGGGGAGGGGGGGAGCGGGGCCCGGGGCTGGGGGGGGGGAGCGGGGCCCGGGCTGGGGGGGGCGCGGGGCCCGGGGCTGGGGGGGCGGCGGGGAGGGGGGGTTGGCGGGGCCGGGGGGGGGGGGGGGGGTGGCGGGCCGGGGAGGGGGGGTGGCGGGCCGGGGGGGGGGGGGGTGGCGGGCCTGGGAGGGGGGGTGGCGGGCCGGGGAAGGGGGGGTGGCAGGGCCGGGGAGGGGGGGTGGCGGGCCGGGGGAGGGGGGGGTGGCGGGCCGGGGAGGGGGGGGGCTGGCGGGCCTGGGGTGGGGGGGGGGGAGGGGGCGATGGCCCCTCCGAGAACCAACGGCAAACGCGCGAGCCGGGGCCCAGAATCCGCGAAGTGGGCGCTCGCGCTCCTCCTGATGAACAAAGGAGCGCTCGAGGCCGTCACTCACCTGCCGGAGCCGCCGCTGCTGCTGCTCTCCTCTCCACTGCCTCCGCCTGAACTCCTCCCGTCGCCATCGTATCACGACGTAAACACGGTCACGTGATACTGCCGCTCAACGTCAGCTCGTCACAGAATCTCGCCCCGCCTCCGACCATGTCAATCAAATGACGTCGGCGCATTCCGGGTCTCCGCCTGGTCATTGCCCTGTGTGTGGGTGTCTCGTCCCCTCCTCTCAGCCGACACTGGGTTAATAATAACAATCCCTCCAAAACCCCAAAACAATAATAAATTGGTCATTTTCAATCCGCGACTGTTTGTGGGACATTGCTGTGCGCAATTGGCTGCCGCGTTCGCCCACAAATATACACTCAATTCACTTTACAGTGTGTTCTGTGAAGCGTTTTGGGACGTCCTCCCGACGTGAAAAGCGCTGTATCAAATGCAAGGATTATTATTATTATTATTGGTTTGCGCAGGTCACTATCCTCCTTTGCAAGGAAATGCTTTCCAGCTCCTGCAACCCCAATTGCTTATCCTGGGTTAACTTCCTTTCCACCAACCGCTCGCCGAGGATCCGTGAAAGCCGCCTCCGAGAGGCCACTTTTCTGAAAACTCCATCTGCAAAGTTGGGCGGCAGCAGCACCCGTGTGGTTCGGACCCCGGCGAGCAGTTCAGTCAGTTTCTGCACATGTATCGGCCACGTGTGGAACTCACAATGAGGTGCTATTTGAAATTGTGGACAGCACCAGTGAGTTTCAAATATTGTGGTTCCAATAAAGTTAACTAATAACTGGGCACTAAATTACTTAGCAACAACACTGCCAACAAAATTACATTTGTAGAGTTGGGAAGGCGTTGGACAATCAATGTTTCAGACCCGAGTTGGGGATCGGGATTGGGGAGAGTGGCGGGAGGAGGGATCGAAGGCAGTCGAAGAGGGAGGGTCTTGAAAGAGGCAAGTGAGGGGACGAGGTGGAGGGACTGCGGGATGGAGGTCCAGAGGGTGGGGCCAGAGTGGCTGAAGGCCCACCCGCCGGTGGTGGGGCGAGCAAAGTGGGGGACGTGAAGCAGGCTGGAGCTCGCTGAGCGGAGGGAGCGAGCAGGTTGGGAGGGGGTTAGGCGGTCACAGTTAGGTGGGAACGAGACCATGGAGAGCTTTGAAGCTGAGGACCAAGATCTTGAACTGTATCTTTTGTGTGATGGGAAGCCAGTAGAGTCAGGCAAGGATGGGGCTGATAGGAGTCATGGAGCCTGGTGTGGGAGACAACAGAGGCTGCAGAGTTCTGGATGATCTGCAGCCTGTGGACGGAGAAGTTGGCAAGGCCAACAAGCAGAGAGTTTGCATAGACAAGCCTGGATGTTATGAATGCGAGTATGAGATTTTCAGTGGTGTGAGACAGTGGCTGAGCTGAACAATATTGCAGACCGGGGGGAAGGCAGAGCGGGTCACGGCACGGATGTGGGGCAGAAAGAATAGTTGAGGGTCAAACAAGATGCCAAGTTTCCTTCCAGACTGGTTCAGTGAGGTGGAGTGTGCATCCTTGATTTCACCACTAGGGAGATGTTAATACAATATTACATTTGTTTAGCGCCTTTCACGTCTACAGGACGTCCCGAGGCGCCAGACAGTCAGGGATTTGGATCAGAGCTGGGAGTTGGGATCAGAAGGGATGGAGGGTAGGGGCAGGAGGGTGACTAAAGGCATGGTCGAAGAGCAGTTTCTTGAGATGTCCTTGAAGGAGGCAAGGAAGGAGCAAGGTGAAGGGATTGTAAGATGGAGTTCCAAAGGGTGGGGGCAGAGAGGCTGAAAGACCGACCACTGATGACGTGGTGGACCAGGCAGAGGACATTTAAGCACTCTGAGATGCCTTCCGGCATGGAGGGCGCTATATAAATCCAAGTTGTAGTTGTTGACATGGAGCAGCCCAGAGCCTGCTGAGCAGAAGGAGCAGACAGGTTGATATGGAGTTAGTAGGTGACAGAGGTAGGAAGGAGGGCTTTGAAGTCGAGGACGAGGATTTTGAACTCTATCCAATTTTGAATTCTATTCGCCCACAAATATAGAGTGAATTCATTTTACAGTATATTCTGTGAAGTGCTTTGAGACATCTAGAAGACATGAACAGCACAATATCAAATGCAAGAGTTATTATATTATCCTCTGGGGGATGGAGAGCCAATTGAGTCGGGCGAAGGTGGGGGTGATAGGGTCACGGAGCCTGATGCAGGAGAGGACACAAGCTTCAGAGTTTTGGATGATCTGCAATCTGTAGAAGGAAGAGTTGGTGAGGCCGACAAGCAGGGATTTGGCATAGTCAAGCCTTGAAGTGATGAATGCATGGATGAGAGTTTCGGCAGCCTAAGAGGCAGTGGTGGAACCGGGCGATGTTGCGGAGGTGGGGGAAAAGCAGACTGGATCATGGCACGGATGTTAAGAGGGACGTCTGTCATCCACAAGAGTATTACAATCACATGGCAGGTATGGATGAAAATTCATCCCTCTAACATTGTGGAATAGCATGGTTGCTATAATCAATCGTCTTCCTCCCCTTCATGTTAGAATTTAAGTAATCCAGGTGCAGGCTAACCTGCTCCTGCAGAGTACCTCACATCAATCTGGGAGAATTAGGTATGTCACACTAACTTGGGAGAACTTAGGTCATACCCAGGGTCCAACTCATGGAGGGAAGAAATCGCTTAAATTATTTTGAATAAGCAAGCATTTAAATTAGAGCTATTCCATGATCTGAATACGTGTAATTTTTGTTTATCTGAAAGGGCTTTTTCAGGAAGAGCCTACCGTGTGCGTTTTTGTTTTAAACTACACTCAGCTTCTTGACATGCACCATAGTCCCATCAAGTACTCATTGAACACGATCTTTAATTCTAAAATCTCAAATTAAATCTATAGCTAATCTTGCTTAACCAGTTCATTATTCCACCTAAAATCACACTTAAAGTCATCCATGTCTAGAAGGGAAGACAATGCATTACTGCCCATAATAACTGTCCCCTACTGGGACTTAATCACTAAGCAGAATAAACACCTTAGATCCATCCAATTGTTCAAGGAGGGGTGTGAAGAAAGAGGAAAAGTCTTGTTTTTCTGTTTGTTTTAATCACAAAATCACACAAATAAATGAGATACCACTTGTTACAAACACTTATAAACAGTTGGCAGAATGTATCAAAAATCAAAAATAATTGCCACACTGTACAAAATAGTGAAGTTGTTTTAAAACTAGTCTCAAGAATAATATTTCTAGTGAAGAATTATTTTAAGCCTTGAAAGAATATCACAGAATCTTTGACACAGTTTCACAAACAGAAAAAAATGATCATCAGTCTTCTAAAAATATTAGACTATAATTTTCCAATACTAAAACAGATAACACACATAGTGAAAATTGGGAAGGCATATTTTGGTGATCATATTTAGTTTAAGCGTGCAATAAAACACTGAAAAACACAAAGCCACAGAGGGAACATTTATTCCTTCAATTATGAGGACAATGAAAAATCCTGTTTTGTGTGGTATTTATAGAAAAATAAACTGCATTTTATTTTGGTCACTAAATACATATTTGTCATAAAATGTTAGCATTTGAAATGTTCTCACATTTTTATTCAAGTCTTTTATAAAAATGGTCTAACACAAATAGTAACATCTGGTGTAAAACAAATTTGCATAAGTGAGCCAGAGATTTTAAAATAAGTCATGCAATTATTGCAGTTCATCTTTTTTCCTCATTTGGTTTAATTTCTTTCCAGTTTATATCCAAACAATGCAATGTTCAAATATATATTTTTTGAAATTGTAAACTTGATGCACCAAATCAAATGTTAATTGTGCTTAACTATAAGACTGTCATATGTGGAATGAAAATCCTATCATCTTACCTCACTCACCACAATGCTACAAAGAAAATATGGCAATATTTGAATCAAGGGAATGAAGCGAGGATTCATTTTAGTTAGGTCTCTGGAGGACTAGTACTAAACTCTCTGAATTCTCTCTCCTGAGGGTATTTTTTTTTGCTTCTTCTGAGAATATGAATGCATGGGTGTGCACCAGAAACTTCACCCTTAATGACCTTAATCATATATGAACGTTCAATCCAATCAGTTGATCCCAATCCTCCTCACCCAACATAGTCTTTTGTCGCTGGCTGATATTCAAGAGCTGGGTGATACCCACCCTAGGATAATAAAGCTAATTACAGCACCCATTTTACTTCCCCAGCTGAGAACAGTTGCCTCAACTTAAGCGGGGGCGCAGATGGGAGAGGGAGATAAGGAGAAAAAAAAGTGCAAAAGTGATGGTGCACGATACACCATATTTCTAGCAAGGTACCACTACTTAGTTGTAATTTGCCTCTGCTTTCTCACATCAAATGCAGAACTAAGCATATACATCGTGCCATGCAAACCCCACTTTGGGAATAGCTTGAATTAACATTTTTAAAAAAATTGTTTTCTTGGTTAATTTCCACTGAGGATATACAATGTCACAAAAATACTGCACTCAAAAGAAATGTAATATAGAACGTGTGAGTGAATCAGGATTGTTAACCAATTAATAGTTGTCTTTTGATCATTTTTGATAAATTATAAACAATTAGAATTACTCCCAATTTCTAATGGCTAAAACGCATGTTCATAGGAATTTGAAGTCTACAAATTTTCCTAAAGTGATTCGTAAAATGATTCACAACATTGAAATAAACTTTATACTACACTAATACTGGAAACCATAGCCAATAGGTCATTCAAAGGAGGAAGGTGGGATTAAGACACCAAAGACTCTTCAGATCTGAAAAACAGAATTATCTGTTTTTATCATTCATTAGCTACCAGTGGTTGTTAAAAATCCCAAACTAGGAATAATTTTGCGTGCATGTATTACTTGTAGGGAGAATTTTATGATGCAGTTCGAAAACTAGTCTCCATTAATATAAGTCAGTTATTTCAGTTCATTCACTCCTGATGTGAAAGGCGCTATACAAATGTAATTTGTTGTTGTTTGTCCATTTATTTTACTTATTGTCAACAATTTGGGGTATTTTATTGTTATTTATTAGTATAAAAGTAACAATGTAGTTACAATTTGAAACCAGAAATGGTGCAAATCCAAATGACCAATGCAGGATAAATTGGGCCTGTAGCTCACAATCCCACAGCACCCAGAGAAAATTCTGATGTAGAGGTACTACTGTACATCAGCTAAATATTCTTGGTAGGATTCACAATATCAAAAAAAGTTTTGTACATTTAAAATGTAACTCAAGATGCTACAAAAAATCAAATTGTGACTGGGGGGTAAAACCGAGATTCCACTGTAAAACACTATACTCACATCTCTTAATACTACTTTGTGTTTTACTATTTGCTTATGGTTTAAATTGCACATTTATGTTAAATAGTGGCTTGCATTTATTCATAGCTTTGGAGACATTTTAAACCATTTTTCTTTTTGTTCTAACAGCTTCACCAATATCTGAGGAGTGGTAATGAAACAAGCAGTGCTTAAGGGAGCAGGAGAGCACAACTGCTCAGCCTGACAGCAGCCATGTTGGTTTATCATGTCTGCCATCAGTGGCACAGCTGTTTACTTTAATACTCGCATGAACAAAGGAAGGACTCCGATATTCAGAGACCAGCCCTTCTGGTGGTCCCTAAATTGTCAGAGGCAATAACATCTGCACATTTATTAGATGTGGGCTGCCAGTTCCAGCAGTTAAGTCGGTAGCTGAGTGGCAATAATAGCTATACCAATACCATTGGTAATAAAAGCTATAAAAAAAATGCCATTTCAACTGCATGTGAGGAAGCAACAGAATGCTCAGCTGATGGCATTAAAGCTTTTTTTATTAGTTTGCAAGTGTAGATTCAGACAAGTCTGGATCCGAAACCTGCATCTTGCCCTGATTATCACATAATAATTTACGATATCACAACAATTTACAGGAAAGATGAGTCTCAAATCACATTTACAGAATGATTAATTAGAAATGAAACAAATGTCATCTTTCATGGATTCCTAGCTAAACATTAAACATCCACTCAAAGATGGAGCAGTTTTTATATAAATCTCAATGATTTGTTGTTTGAGTGAGGTTAATTCAATTCTGTATTTTATTTATAGAAAATGTTTTAAATAATTGTTTAAATGTAAGATTAATTATCCTCAAATAATGTATTATCTTAAAACTTTAAAAAATTCTAACAACCAGCATTAAATGCAATCAGACTAAGAGGTTAACTACAAGTAGTAGAATAGTAATTTATCATACCAGTATAACAAATTTATTGACCATAATATTGATATTTTTGAAATAAATGCATAAATGATAGGGAAGGTGAAGAGTGAGTTTAGATTGAATGCAGATGGTGGTGACTATAGAACAATTTTTTCAAGGTGATAATTAGGGTATAGTTTGGGAAATATTTCAAATTGAGGGCTAGCCAAATGGACTGCAAAGATCGTTTATGGTCCTGTAGATTCCTGGGCACAAGATATCTGAAAATACAAAGCACAGCACAAATATGCTGGCATGCTTTGTGATGCAGCATGGATTGTTTTGGTAAAAGAAAATGACCCACTTAAAATTCAGGAAAAAAGTAAGGCAATATAAAATCAACAGAGTAAGTCAGCAAAATCTCCTTTACGAGTTCTTTCACTTAACCAAAGACTTTCACAAATAATTTGCCAATTGTTCAAAACCCAAACTACAAGAAGCATCTATTAATCTTTTTCTCCGGCAGGAACTTGTCTTTTTTTAAAAAAAACAAGTGCACATATGGCTTTGTGGTTATAAAATTCCCCCCCCCCCCCCCCCCCCCCCCCCCCCCCCCCCCATCTATTGTGATTGTAAAAACAATTCTAATTTATGCAAACACAAAGACAACATACGGGTACCCTGTAGAAACAATCTGAATTTCAAAGACCTGTCCCTCTGCTCCCTGCTGGTGATTTTGTATTAAACTTCTCATGGAATACCTCAAAGAATTAAGCAAAGTTACACAAAAATAGAATCGTCAATTTACCAATACCAGTTTATACCAATGACAGAAATTGTATTCTTTCTAAACAATCAGGTGATACTACTCACAAATACCTTGGTAGTTTATTATATATGTGTGTACCATCTTTTTCACAATTACATAAAAGGTTACAATTCATAAAAGTGCTTCAGAGTGCTGGCCAGGCACCTGAGGTAGGGGCGGGAGCTGAAGAGGGCGAGGAACAGATTTTCTGGAACAGTTATTAATACTCTAAGTGAAAAGACTCAGGCTTTTGCACCACCCATTTCAGTGAACAGTGATAAATTCAATTACTTTGAATCATCCCATTTACCATCACACCACATATTCTGGGGACATTTAATAGGCACCATTGAAGCATAACAAAATCATTGTTTGTCACCTTTCCCCACAAACACAGCTCTTATTATGAAGGACAGCAGTCCAGATCCCCACAGTTTTTATCATTTAGGGAAAAACTAGCAACATCTAGAAATAAAATAAGTGAAAATCCAAAATAAAATGAATCTTGGAAATGACCACAGGTCCATCAGCATCTGAAACAGTTTAAGTCTCTCAAGTAATTGCCAAGTGTAGCAACACCTTACATTGATAATAGTGCTTTTCACGCAAAAGAAATGTCTCAAAGCACTTTACAGAATGAAATTAATTAGAAATAGTGAATGATATGGAGGCAAATACAGGAGCTAACCTATGCAGTAAGCTATGTCAACTAAAATGTCACAGGTTCTATAAAAGTCACAATCCAGGTCTCAGTTGAGTTAACTGATCTCAGCTGGGACAGCACTTTGGGCATTACAATTGGCCTCAGTGCCTGGGAGTTAAGGGGCAGGTGAGAAAAAGTCAGCCACTGTTCCCCCTTCTGACTGCTCGCTGAGGATAGAATAGGGATCAGCTGTGATGTCCATAGAGTATGAGGCAGGCATCCGCAAGAGTCAAGGTTTGGGAACACTAGAGTGTGCATTAAAATATTATTGAAAGCATTGTAGTTTTAGCTGATTAAACTGCGTGTAGTTTAATCAACAATCTAGACAAAAAGTATGAAACATGTTTTTCAGAAATTAACTACATAAAAACAAAGATACTGCAGCAACCCAATAACAATCTTCTAATAACCTTCGCTAAAAGAAGCACAATTCACAAAGGGGCAAAATGGACTGTGTAGCTTGTCCCATTTCCCCAAATTGTGCTCTCCAAAGGGCTCTCGCAAATTCAATGCACCAGTAACGGATCTGAATTGGTGTAACTTTAAAAAATGCCACCTGACCAGGAAAGCAGCACTTTTAATCAATCCTTAAAATGCAATACTTAGTAGCAATATAGTGTGACCTAGGCGACCATTAATTTCATAACCCTTTCACCTACAGCACGTCAATCCCATCATGTTTTGCACATCACATACAATTTTTAAAAAAACCCTGAAAATCAACTCACTATGACATAGTAAAATAGCTGCAAGACTCATCTGATCACCTGTGACTTACTCTGCACTTTCAAAATTTTGAAACAAGTGGTGTTAATGTACTGGGTACAAAAAATTAAAAATACTCAGAAATAAGAATTTGTCGAGAGAAAAGCTCAGGTTATTTAGTGTGACTACCCATACTTTATTTAGTGGCATTAATACCAGTGCAAAGCCAGGGAATAGTGCAATAGAATATTGCTATAGTCTCAAAACCTTTAAAACATCTTTCTCTAATTTCTTCTTCCCCATATTCAGCTTTCATTATAAACAAAATCTTAAGGTATTGAGTATAGCTGTTGATTTCTTATTCAAGGTGGCTTCAATTCAACTAGGCTTGGAATTGTGTGTGTGTGGGGGGCGGGGGGAGAAGAGGGGAGGTCATTCATAAAGTCAACCAATACAAATACCAAATATAACGTATTCAAGATTTAGTATGCACAAAATTGGACACAATTTAAGAAATTAGCTAATTTATAAAAGTTTCTATGAACAATTAATAGATCTCATATTCACCGGTGAACCCAAGTATTAAAGAACCCACACATATTCTCAATACTTACCATTTCCGCCAATCAACTTTAGGAGGTGTATTACAGATCTGGAATTTTGTATGGTAACTAGCCCAGTTTTAATTAGTGTTGCATTTGTTGTGAACAATAAAAATGATTTTAGCTGTCCGTAAATAACTTGAAAATAAAATACAACTACGTTTAGTCTTGCTTATTGAGAAGTCCAGTTTTGATGTCTGGTGTAAAAAGACAATTTGGTATTTTTTTAAAAAAGTGTTGTAATGTATATATTAAAGATGAATTCAAATCAACTGACATTAATATGCTTTCTGTGATATAGCGGATTATTAAACGTTTTACCATCAAACTCTTTCCCCCTTTTGTTAAATATAACAAAGCTTTGCTTCTGTATGGCATTTTAAGGATGATTTTGAAGTGTTTTATCACTTCACCATATGTTTTCCACATGAGTCCAAAATGCTGTATCCTCTTTAATATACCCTCAGAAGTTGAAGGTAAAGATTTGATGGTATCTTAATCTCCATTCAAATACACTTTATGTTCACAATTCTCTTGGTGCCTGGTTCAAGTTGTTATTCATAGTTGAAGCATGGTTCATAACCAGCAGGTTTTCTACTTCTATCTGTTTTTGCTTTGAATACTCTTGCTCATCTTCCTTGTGTCTTGGTTTTATTGGCAATACAGCTATAACCAGAACAGCGATAATGTGGACAGAGTAATACCAAGAACTAGAAGAGAAAATAATCAGTTAATAAAAAATTCAAGAACAAATTTACGCACAAAAGTGTTGCATTAATTGTTTAAACACACATTTGTCAACATTATTTGGTTTCCAGAAAGGTCACCCATTAAAACAATATAGGGCTAAATTTACAACCAAGGCAATATTTGTCACATTGTCTAAGGAGGCTTCTCACCTGTAGAATTTTAGAGATGATTCAACTGACAGCAACACAAATGGAGCAACTGTATAGCTTATTGCTATCATTGTTGCACACCAGGTTATGATATCATAAAATAATTTGACACCGGGTGACTTGAGAAAATAGAATCTGAAGTTGTTTCTAATCTGAAAAGACAAAACAAATATAATAATCTTTGTAATTGATCTAGCACCTTACATCATCAAGACATCTCAAAGAGTTTTAGAAACATATTGCAAAGTGGTGTTAATGTTTAGTTTGTGGGCAAACATGGCAGTCAGTTTGCACACAGCAATGTCCCGCAAACAACCATGGAGTTAAAGATCAATTACATTTGGGGGATTGTTGGCCAGATGAATGGAACCGTGCCTAAATTCAGAATCCATATATTTCCCTCATACATGCCTTCATTACATCCAGGCTCGACTATGCCAACGCCCTGCTTGTCAGCCTTCCCAACTCTTCCCTCCACAATCTGCAGATCATCCAGAACTCTGCAGTTCGTGTCCTCTCCTGTACCAGCTGCAAGACCCCATCACACTCACCCTCATCCAGCTCCACTGGCTCCCCATCCCTTAGAGGATCAAGTTCAAAATCCTCCTCCTCACTTTCAAGGCCCTCCATGGCCTTTCCCCCTCCTACCTCTCCAACCCTTATCAACGCTCCAAGACCCTCTTCCTTGACCATGCCTTTGGCCACCATCCTACCTGCTATGCCCTCCACCCTCAAGTATTAAATTGTTGATGTACATTGATTCCAGTTATACAGTTTAGTTGTCTTGGAAAAACTGGAAAATAGGTGAAAAACTAAATATTATTCATTACTTACTGCCCGTGCTGCTAATGTCATGAGTATTCCTGTAAAAAATGTCATGTAATAGCCTGGGTACACTCCATGCCACATTGCTGAGAGTATGAAGGTTGCTATAGTTGGATGGTAAGGGCAGCGGTCATAGCAAACTCTAAAACAAAGGGGGAAGAAAAAAAATACACTGCAGGTAATTATAATAATTCTTGCATTTAATAATTGATTTAAATGTTCAAACACCTTATAAATTAAGGTCAGAACAGAAGGAAAAATTAGTTGTTCCCACGATTAATCTAATGTCAAGTAGATTTTTGTACAGTATTAAAATGTAGGTCTGTTTTAAAAGTACAAAACACTTTCATCTTGATTATTCCATACTCTGAAAATGGGATAACTGGCTTTATTGAAGGAGCACAATTTCACACAACACCAACAGCCAATAACCAAACTGGAGTCGTTGGCTTCTTCAGTGCACTAAACAGGGTGAAACATGCGATGGAATAATCATCACCAAAAATTCCACCAGTCAATGTCTGGCCACTGAAGTGAAAAAAATGGATTTGCCGTAGTCCGATTTGCTTTAAAACTTCCTTTTAAGACAAGATTGAACCGATATCCTGCGGGACAGCACTCGAACGCCATGTCCATTCCTGGCTAGTCCACAGACAACATTTAAGCTGTTTCAGGTGCAATTATTTTTATAAAGTCAGTGGGTAGTAGTCTCTCTCCAGGCCAGACATTATCTTGGTGGCATTTCTGCGATGCGATTATTATCGCCAGTTCTAGATTCTTTCCATCACTGATCACTATTTTCATTTCATTACAACTAATGAAGAACCAGCTACAATAATAATTACCCAAGGTATAAAATTAAAAATATTAATTACCCAAGATATAAAATAAAAATAAAGATTAAGAAAATCAGATTCTTCGTGTAAACAGGTAAAAAATGTAATAGAATTGTTTTCAGCAGACTGTTTAACCTAGGCTAAATTGGTTTAATTTTCTGCAACACAAATTGTATTTAATACTGGGATCAACATGATAAAATTAAGCAGGTGGCATTGTATACATTATAAAAACAGCTTTATTGAAGCACAATTTCACACAAACAAAAGCAATCCCCATAATGTTCATTTGTATCAGATTAAAAATCTACACATCATGCAAACATTATTCTTTATCTGCAACAATCTATTTATCTGTACAATTATTTTAACTCATTGTGATGTGGATTTGGGTTTAGGAGGCCTAATCTGTACAAAAGGTACACAACTCTTTAGGGCCTAAAAACTTGAAAGTCTGTCATATTTTCACATTTTCTCGTACTGCACAAATTTCTATAACATGTTAGTTCATGGGGAAGAAACTATATAATTTGTATTAAGATTATGACTTAGTTTCTACATTATGGGAAAAATTCTCCAACTCTCCTGACCTGAAGGTATGGAATCGTACTGGAGTATGTGCATTTCCTACCATCTATATAGCTATTCTCAGATAGAAATTGTACATTTTTTTACAGTTAGCTTCAAAATACACACATTTAAATCGAAGCATTAGTCAAACCACAAGAAGATGGTTTGGGCATACGTAACAACTGACAGCAGTTTACAAGTTTGATCTGGAAATACCCAGCTGAACCTACAATATGCTTCAAACTAGTAGAATAAACCTACCCATGCAACGCTCTACAGTTACTCCATCTACTCTGCTGAGCATAGACCATATACGTCAGTCATGCTCTGTGAAAAATCCCTCTAAAGTCCAACATTTTAAACTATTAAAATATAAAATGTAATCTAATCCAACATAAGCAGATAATGCAGTGATCATTACAAATAAATTACACCGCCTCATGAGCATCAACTACTGAACATCCCTTCAATTATCATTAGTATTATTAAATTACAGACACAAACTCAAGCTGAGACAAGGGAAGGTGAACAGACAGTTCAGATTTGATTGCTTTACACTGAGAGTAGTGAATATGTGGAATATACAATAGAGATAAATAATGTCAGCAAAATTGCAAAAAGGGAATTTTATTGCTATTTGACAAAGAAATTTAATGAGGGGAACACAACATCAACAAGTGCAAGATTCATTTTTTTTAAAAAAAACTTTGGGACCAGCCAGGTGGAATTACCCACAATCTCTCTCACCCCGCAGATTCTTATAAATTACCATGTGGGCAATTTAAAATCACCACCTCACTATTTGTAGTTACCAATTTTTAAATTCTTTCCAAATGTGCATTTTGGACCGAATATGCAACACACACAAAATATTGCAGATGAAACTTTTGGTTGCACAAGTCTTACATCAGACTCTTAATTACATTTCAAACGCACAGAATATTGCTAAATTTAGCGTCTAGGTTTAGACTAGCAATGGAGTAAACATCCTGAGTCAGAGAAGTATCCACATAGAGACATTTAGGTCATCCTTTTAGGGAACAGTATGATGATGATTCAGTTTTGACTGTGCTTTCTATGGCCAGCTTTGTGGTTTAAGTTGGATAAACTGCACTATATTTCATTCTTTTGGCAATCTATATGCAGTATTATATTCTGAAAATGTCCAAATCCCTTTCTGCTTAAAATCGATTACTTCCACAAAAAAAATACCTTGAATCATAGATAGAATGCTCAAAGGCAGTTAAGAAAGCAAACAGAATGTTGTAACGCTAAGCTTTTCTGCCAAAACAAATTCATCAACAAGGAATTAAACAGCAGTTCACAATTAGGGCAACAAAAGAGGAAGTGCAAATGAATAAAAGAGTGATGGATAGCAGAATGAGTTATAACAGAACTAGATTAGTTCTCGAAAATTTAAAGGATTTAGGGTTATTAGATAATGAGCTAAATATGCCAAAAGAATCTTTTGGGAAACGGGATGGGAAGGCTAAACAGACTAGTCGTCTACTCCTGACAGAAATAGTTACCATGTAAAATAGAAACCCAAAGTATGCTGTGCCACAGTGTGGTGTGATATGGAATTGCATCCACGTTTCATTAAGCTTGTTCCCAATCTTGAAAATTTTGGATGAATAAGAGCCTCCTTGGATGAATAAATCCTCTGTAACCCATTTGATCTCTTCTCTTTGGTAATTCAATCCTAAAGTCTTATTCAGCAGCACCTGAGAATTCTTAAATGAGCTAATTGTTATGGTGTTAATCACCATTCCTGATAACCCATTCCAGCTGTTGATCCCCTGTCAAATATTTCCTGGTCTCATTCTTCATAACGCTCAATCTATACCTTCTGGTCCTGTTGTCTTGGCATATCGTGAGTATTGTTCCAATTTATTTTCTCTATCCTTTTGAAATACATAAAATAGTGTATATGCACTCTCTATAATGTTCTTCCAGAAGACCCCTTTAGGCTAGTTCATCATGCGGTTGTTTATAACTTGTCCCTCCAACAACAAATATGAGCCACTTTGTTCTCTATGTTGCTATAATGCCCCGTTAAAGTCACTTTGTATTACATCAACCAAATTGATGATATAGAGCTACTTAAAGTTCACAATAGTTATAAAAGGTTGAAATAATAATAATCCTTGCATTTGATTTGGGCCTTATCACATCAGTGAAACATCTTGAAAGTTAACATAAACTCAAATTCTCCCATCTCATCAGAACTACTTTGTTTTTGGCTCAGTATCTTTTGGGCTGAGATCAGACATCCAGAACCACAGACTGAGTGAAGTCACAGCACCTGATCCTACAAGTAGAAACACTGAACACTCTTTCCTTTTCTTTAAATTAAGTGCAAGGAATTCAGATTATTACCTTTTAAACCACAGAGCTGTTTGTATGTTCCAGTTGTCAATGAACATTTTAAAACTTGTAGCAAACTGCAAAAATAAATAAAATAAATTTAAGCACTAAAATAGAAATTACATTGTATATCACAGGAGGTGGTGGAGGAGGAAACACAATCCAAATCCCTGTTTTCCTCAGTTAATATAAACCGAGTCAGGTTTCTGAAAGTTCTACTTTCAAACTCCCCCACTGTCAGTATTAGATACAGTATTAGTTGCAGATAAAACACGGGTTAGTTACAGCCTTTACAATAAAGTCCTTTACAACAAGAAGTGCAAGGATATGAGGCTACCATTATCTTCATTGTAATGCAAGAGTTCCCAAACTTGACTGCAGTGCCATAGAGAAAGGGAGCAAAAATCAGTGTTTGAGACAGCTGAGATTAAAAGTATGGTGGGAGAAGAGGGTAACAAACATTTTCAACTATGTATTTGGTGTTGATAGATGAAACAAGCAGAGTTTATTTTAAAAAAAGGATTTTCTTATACTTCGATATGCAAAATTAAATTTTCAGAATACAATAAAACCATCTTAACCCAATAATAAACAGTGGCTCTCTGTAGAACTAAAGTTTCAATCTAGCTTAAACAGCTTGCTGAATACATCATTGACAAATCAGTCTATAAAGTATTCTGTTTAAATGAACTGTATATTGTACATTGGAGCTGAACATTATGCAGTAAAATGTACTAAATCAATCAATAAATAGTAATCAACAATCGATAATAATCAATTATACGATTTACCTATTTTATATAACTTTTTCTATTTAAAATGTTAAATTCAGGAATCTAGTTGAAGAAATTTCCATAAGATTTAGGTATGAGAAATTCTGCTGGATAGTAAAAGTATCAACATTGGAGACATGCAAAGTAACTTTAGTGATCATCAGTTGAATTTCACTCAATAGGTGAAAAGAAACAAGTGGAGACCTTCCCAGGGGAAGTCTCATTACAGCCTCCTTCACGTTTGCCAGGAATACTAGACTTGGAAGACGAATTCTCAGGGTCTTGGCACAAGTGGTGTAGTAAATAGAAAGACATGGAGGAGAATGGCAAGGTGGGAAATGAGAAAACATATTACCCTCAAGCAAAATGCAGAAAACAAATTCTCACCTCAATGTTACAAATATTCAAGTTTGAAATCAAGTCCCAACGAGCATCACCTTTTTTGTTGAAACCATTAAAACCAAATCCTGCAGCATTGTTGATGGCATCAGCTGTTCAAAATAAATGCAAGTGCAAAAATTAATATGGATGTGGAAAGTATTATGCACAGTATTACTTGGATAGTTTTTCCTGCACTACACAAACCAAAAATGCTAGGAAATTCATATGTAGTATAATTTGTTTCATAAAATCCACCAATGGAATTTTTAGAAACATTATTGCTCTGTTTTAGCAAATACATAATAACTGGGTTCTTTGACCCACACAGAGATGGAGAATGCTGGACTTCCAGACTCCAAAGTAATGACCAAATTTGATTTCCAGCCTGGTCCGACACTGAAAACTTGATTGCTCAAAATGGGCAACTTCAACAGTCACCGCAGGAGACAAGTAAACATTCTGAACATGAAGGATCTTCATCATAAAACAGTTAGTCCAAAGCAGTGATGCTCTTACAACATTAATCAAAATAAAAAAAATTAAAAGCAGAAGTTCACAAAATGTCAGTCAACATCTGAAAATAGAGGTTTCAGTTGACATTTATGGTGAAGAAAGTATTGTTGGTTTATGCTTATTCTTTCATTGACTTTCAAACTCAGTAATTTCAGTCCCGGCTGAAATAAATGAAAATGTAAAATAAAATTCATAAACTAATTCTTCAAAAATCAGAAATATTTTACAAGGCAACTATGGCAAGGCAAGTCCATAAAATCCAAACCCACTTTATAATAGGGCACAATGGCTGATTAGCACTTCTAAATTCACTGCATATGTTGCCAATAGAAGTGCATCACACAAAAAATGAAGTTAACAGTAACCAAACGACCCGGAAATCAGCTTTTTTTTAAAAAAGGCACACAAGAAACCAGCTGGCGGTGTGAAGTGAGACATCACAATTCAAACCAAGCTGGCGTACTTTCTGAAAGTAATCTTGGCAAGTAAATATTGGGATCAACAACAACAAAAACAACAACAAGATTCCATTTATAGAGCGCCTTTCACGTCGGGAGGACGTCCCAAGGCGCTGTACAGTTGGGTCAGGACCCGAGCAGGGGGGAAATAGTCAGGGAGAGGGGAGGGAAGGGAGGAGCGAGGCGGGGTAGAGAGTCGAGAGGGGAGCTGAAGGCACGGTCAAAGAGAAAGGTCTTGAGACCGGCCTTGAAGGAGGAAAGGGAGGAAGCAAGGCGAAGGCACTGGGGATGGAGTTCCAGAGCCTCGGGGCTGAGAGGCTGAAGGCCCGGCCACCGATGGTAGGGCGGTTGGGGCGGGGGACGTGGAGCAGACCGGAGCCAGAGGAACGGAGGGTACGGGCAGGTAGGTAGCGGGATAGTAGGTCGGAGAGGTAGGAGGGAGTGAGGCCGTGAATGGCCTTGTAGGTGAGGATGAGGATCTTGAATTCGATCCTCTGGGGGATGGGGAGCCAGTGGAGGCGAGCGAGGGTGGGAGTGATGTGGTCCCGAAGCCTGGTGCGGGACAGTACACGAGCTGCAGAGTTCTGAATGACCTGCAGCTTGTGGAGGGAGGTGGCGGGAAGGCCGGCGAGGAGAGAGTTCCCATAGTCCAGCCTTGAAGTGATAAAGGCGTGGACCAGAGTTTCAGCAGCATGAGGGGTGAGGTAGTGCCGTAGTCTGGCGACGTTCCGGAGGTGATGGAAGGTGGTGCCAGTTGTGGCGCGGATATGGGGGAGAAAGGACAGCTCAGGGTCGAACAGAACCCCGAGGTTCCTGACTGTCTTCGAGAGGTGGAGAGTGCAGCCTTGGATGCTGATGCTGTCAGCGCCTGAGGTGCGGAGGCGCTGACGTGAGCCAATCAGGAGGGCCTCAGTTTTGCGCACGTTGAGCTGAAGAAAGTTGTCTCTCGTCCAGGACTCGATGTCGGACAGGCAGGCTGTCAGGACCTCGGCGGTCGTGGAGTTGAGGGTAGAGGTCCACACGTTAATCGTGCTTTAAGTGACTCCGCATTACAATGCTACGTGCTGTCTGAACTGAAGAAATTAGAATTGAAATTGCATTATTGAGATCAGCCTGAAGATGGCGCCAGGGAGCAGTCTGCATGGTTTAAAACCAAAGGCCTCAAAATGAGAAACGTGCAGTTGACGGTCATTGTCAAAGTAACAAGAACAAATTACATTTATAATGCCGTCCACAGCAGGGCGACTTCCCCAAGCACTGCCGCAATTCTGCAACACGATGGAATTTCAACACAGAGCCTATTATGTGTCATGTGCAATTGGGAAGAGGCCTGAAAGAGTTTCACAGAAACCAACCACAAAGGATTCAATAAATAACACAATTCAACTTCTTTTTAGAAACAAACTAAATTAAAGCGTTTTGTAGATAGGGGAGGATAAATATATAATTTATTAATGTACAATTAATTAATAAATATATTTAAATATATAACAACAACAACTTGGATTTTCACATCCTCCTGACGTGAAAGGCACTATATAAGTGTAACCTTGTTGTCATATAGCGCCGTCCACGCCGGACGGTGTCTCAGAGCGCTTCACAGTAACGGATCCCGGGGCCGAGCCAGGGGGAGGGGGAGGAAGGTGACCAAAGATGCGGTCGAAAAGAAAGGTCTTCAGCAGAGACCTGAAAATAGGAAGAGAGGGGGTGAGGCGAAGGGAGTGAGGAAGGGAATTCCAGAGGCTTGAGGCATCGTGGCTGAAGGCACGGCTGCCGAGGGTGGAGCGGAGGACTCGGGGGATGAGGAGGAGACCAAACCCGGAGGAACAAAGGCAACGGGTACTGTTGTGAGGAGAGAGGAGGTCAGAGAGGTAGGGGGGTGCAGAGGAGTGGAGGGATTTGAATACAAGGGTGAGGATATGAATATAGAATTGATATAAAACATAATTATAAGTATTGATTAACAATCACTTTGTCATGGGTTGTTAGGCACAATTCCCTATGTAAAATGTATTACTCATGCCGTTCAGTACACATGATGCATAATAGACCACACTGTGTCTAACATAATCATTGCAACTTTGTCCCATGATCGGGACAAGCACAGATGAAACAACTGGTACTTCCTCCACAGCGAGAGTGCTCCTAGACAAGCTAATATCCCTGCAGCAGTCATACATCACGCTCTTGGCCAAAGATAGTGTTTGACACATCATGTGACACATGAATATCAAGAACAGGTGACACGGAAAAAAATAGAATTTACTATCTTGCCCCTGTAGAAAAAGGCGAAGTACTGGCACCTGCTGTTTCGAGGCAGTGACGCTGCATATTGTGGTTGGGAAAATTCACCAACTTCACAATGGGAACCCCAAAATTATCCAACCTGCCAAGTTGGCTTCAAAACATGCGGTTTCTTTTAAAGTAAATACAGGAGTTCTTAATGAAAGATTCATGAGGACAGCAACATCTATTGGCCCATTGGCTAAAACAGCACTAACATTGGAAGAACTGATGTTTCTCAATCTCATTGCATAAAATCAAGAATGAAAATAAGAAATAAGACTCTCAATCCTTTCTGCAATACAGAGTTTTAAGCACAAAGGTCACTATTTTGTTCTCTAGTCCTGGAGAATTATTACTTACTGAAATGATACGACACAGCATTATAAAATAGAGCAGAAAAACAATCCAACATTTAAACCTCATATAAACACTTTTCACAACAGTTTGCAAAAACTCACCTAGAGTCCAAGCAAAGTAGTATTTTGGTCTAGCAGCCAATAAGGAAACATATAGATAAATTATACGACTAATTAAGGGTGCTGTATTCATGAATGTTGTGTCAATGTTGTATTCCACTGGTAACATCTTGGTGATTGTCAGATGAAATGACAAAGAGATTCCACAAACAAGGAGCTTAAACAGCACAGTGGTCTGCAATAATAAAAAAAATGAAATAAAAAAACACTGACATACAATCTTCATTCGTCCGCAAAATGCATTTCAAGCACAACTGGTGGATTTTCTCACACGGCAGCTGATAATCATTTTTCCGTCTAAGATTAGAAACCCAATTCTGAAAAAAATCTAGTTGTAGAAGTTAATGTTCTTCAGCCATCTCTGTCCTCAGAAACTCTGTCAACCCATGAAGCAATTTATGAAGCACTATTTGGCGTGCAAACAACATTTATATAGCGTCCTTCATGCCGGATGGACAATGTATCCAAGTGCTTTAGGAAACTCATTACCAGCATGGATATGATGATGGAATTAAATTGAGACCTGTGTGGGTTAAAATAATAGTGTGTATGTTGCCAAAATAATTGTCTTGCTACAAAAAATACATCCAAATCGGTATTTCTAGTTCTGCTAGTGCAGCATGTCGAGAATCAAACAGAGCTAAGTGCCTACATTTTAAAAAATATAGGCATTTTAGGCACACAGCGATCACACAGTCTAAAATGCCAACAAGATTTACCATGGCAACTCTGATTTCTGCTACCTTTGATCAGAAAATTCCATAGTGATGCAGGCACAGCATTTAAAAACCTACCGTGGGTGAAGGTTCTTTTTGTTCAAGGTGTCCTTTTCCTTCTCCATTTATTTCAGTGCATTTCATGTGCAATGTTCTGCCTTCAATGAAAGCAATATAGTCTTTGTATGTGTAAAATGGTCCTACGAGAATACCCATGAAATTACAGTTGTAGCTTAAATACTCCAAAAGACTTGGCATGGTTCTGAAATTCAAAAATCAAATGAAAGATATTTGTATATTAAATGTTTCATAATGACTTTGGAGTTTAGAGACATACATTTAAAAAAATCCAGCTCTGCAGGAAAATATTATCAATCAAAATAAAGTACTTTATCAATGCAAAAAACACACATCACTATTTAGTATTAGCAGCCAGTAGCAGATATAAGGTTAAGAATATTCTCAGTGAAAAATTGTACCCAAAAGGGAATACAATTTAATATGACCTAGACTCAGCCTCCATAAGTTTTTGACTAATGATACTACTCCGGTGATTAGTTATGTTTCTATACTTATGATAGCTACATTCATCCTGCAATATACTTAGTGTTATTAATAGGAGTGAACAAATAATCGGTCATAAGTTGAAGCCCAGAATTGGCAATTAAAAAACAGTCATGCTGAAACTATTTTAAACAACAATATTACATTTGTATAGCGCCATCACATTGGGAGGACATCCCAAGGCGCTGGACAGACAGAGTTACGGACCCGAGCTGGGGGTCGGGATGGGGGAGGGTGGAGGAGGAAGCAGGGAGATCGAAAGCACGGTCGAAGAGGAGGGTCTTGAGGTGGGTCTTGAAGGTAGCGAGGGAGGGGGCGAGACGGAGGGACTGTGGGATGGAGTTTCAGAGGGTGGGTGCAGAGTGGAGGAAGGCCTGCCTGCCGTTAGTGGGGCGAGCAAGGCGGGGGACGTGAAGCAGGCCGGACCCCACCGAGCGGAGGGAGCAAACAGGGTGGTAGGGGGTTGGAGGACGGAGAGGTAGGTGGGAGCAAGACCGTGAAGGGCTTTGAAGGTGAAGACCAAGATCTTGAACTGTATCCTCCGTGTGATGGGAAGCCAGTGGAGTTGGGCGAGGATAGGGATGATGGAGTCACGGAGCCTGGTGCGGGAGAGGACACAGGCTGCAGAGTTCTGGATGATCTGCAGCCTGTAGAGGGAGGAGTTGGGGAGGCCGACAAGCAGTTTGCATCCTCAATGTAGTGAAGGCTTGTATGAGGGTATGAGAGTAAACCCAATACTTAAGAGGTTGCTTTGCAAAGCTGAAACAAACAGAATGGGGGGAGGTGGGAAGAAGAGACTTCTAAAGTGGATTTCAAAAATTGGATACATTAAAGAAAACAGATAATTGATGGGAGTACAATTTAAATGGAAATGATAATAAAATAAAAATAATCTTGCATTTGGTATAACATCTACAATCCACAATCTCTGCCCCCAAGGAAGGCTAACAAGACTGAGCTAAGCTGACATCTGACAATACATAGGAACAACAACAAATTACATTTACAGAGCACCTTTCACATTGGACGGAAGTCGCAAGGTGCTGCACAATTGAGGGTTTACACCCGAGTGGGAGTTGGATTTGAGAGGGTTGGGGTGGGCAAGACGAATAAAGGTGAGCTCAAAGAGGAAGGTCTTGAGATGGTCCTCGAAGGAGGTGAGGGAAAGGGTAATGGGTAATTATTTTATATTGTCTGTCAAAATGCTCCAGGGTCTCATAAGGTCCCTTTTGTTTGCACTCTACATAAATTATTTGGAAATGGAAGGAGAAAAAAAGCTGGTCTGATGGTACGAAATTGAGTGTTACTAGTAAAATGGAACAAGCAGACAGAATGCAAAGGATAGATTGGGTAAGTTGAGATGTGGCACATGGTGTTTAATGTTGACAAATTAAGATGATAAGTCTGGGGTGAGATGAAACAGGATGGACACATGAACAAAACCTACTTCAAGTTCTTGGAAAGATGGAGCATAATTTTAAGAAACATTATTTCAAAGCTATCTTGCAACAGCTTACCGGACAGCTAAGGATTTTTGGAATGGAGAGAGATGCTTTTCTTTCCGTGACATACCTAAATGAAACAACATGTGCAGGTTTCAGTGACAGCCACACTTCACATTGCTACTAAGGCAAATGTATTGCATGCATTGAGTTGAACAAAGCCGGTATCTTTTAAAACATACAAAATTCACTCAAGATCATATTTGATGAAACAAAGAAATCCAATTCGAAAACAACCATCTTATTGTTGAGAGCAGCAGTAACCCTACCAACAAAAATGCTGGAAAAATAACCTGAATGGTTGAAGTGATAGTCATTGACTTATAGAAATCCAGATGAACCATATTCAATCTAGTCTGTGCTCTTAGCAGACTTCAGTCAAGGCTGCAGTAGGGATGCTACAATCAGCTTCAACATCCTTTGGCTTGGGAGGGATGGACAAATCAAGGTTTGCTATTCCTAATCACAATCCAGGGAACCCTTAGTGGAAAGTGCGCATAAATTAATTTTAGGGGTCAAAATCTAGGTAAGATGCAATATCCACAACAGTTAAAGATTCTGCCAGAAAATCAGCACCTTGGCTCATATGTGAAGAATAGCCAATCATTACAGCAAGATAGCAGAGGACACCAGCACAAGTCAGCACTTTCAAGAAACGTAACTAAACCAGGTATTATTCTAAAACATTGAACGTTTTATTCACAACCAAAGAAATATATCGTAATTGTAAAGAAACCCCAGTGTTAACTTGTTTATAGAAGTAGGTTCAGAAAAAGGGGAAATGAAATCTCGTGGGATCTAAAAAAACATTTTTTAATTAAAAAAAAGTAAAGCCCAGGCTCCTGCCCTGTTTGCTCCAGGAGCTGCTCTACCACTGGCTGGCTGGACGACATCTTTGCTGACAGGAGAAAGATCTTCATACTCCCCACCTGCAGCGTTGACTGACCCCATTCCAGTAACTGATGCTGGCAGCTCACTGTTGGGTATGTGGGCCCTGCTTGAAAACTAATCTCGAGACACTCGCACAGCAGGAGTCTTTCTGACAGGAGATCCCTCTGTATTACTGCTATTCCCAGAACTGAATGAAATTTGAGCTGTATTTGTTCCAGGCATATGCAGGACTTTTGCAAGTTTCCCCTCCCCCACCCATCATTCTTAAATAAATAACGTTAACAGAACCAGGGGGTTACCTGATATAACTTGGTGCTGCTCCTGGCCTCCACGATGGAATAATTTTCTCCAATATAATCTAGGCAATGGAGAAATTTAGCCCATCGTTTCCCCTTAGCCATGGAACAAGAACCTGAAAATCCTAATATTTTTAAATGTAAAGGATCTGGCTGCGCTAAGAGGGCCTCTTAGTATTAGAAGACTACCGGCTCACACAACCGCAGCACAAGCTTTCAGAATTTCTTTTTAAAAAAAATTACTTTGTGTGTTCCAGACAACAGTTAGCAAGTTAGAGAATAGCAAATTTGGCAAAATGAAAACACAGTTACAGATGCTTTAAATCTGCTTTTAAAGCAGATCTGCTTTTTCCTATGGACCCTCAGTTAACAACAGTGCTTCCAGTGCAGTATGTGATAACACACGGTCAAGTTGCCAGGTTACTCTGACATCACGTCTTCATGCTGCACTTTGTTAAGGAAGCAAGCAGCACATGGAGCACAGGAACTGAAGTGACATCAGCAGCAATCCAAACTCCCAGAAGCCAATATTTGTTTCATGTATTATTTATAGATATATGTCCTAAATGGTTCCCCTCCCCCCATCGGTCCCAAATCCAACTCCCAGCCTGAGTGCAAATCCTTGACTGTCCAATGCCTTAAGATGTCCTCCCGACATGAAAGGCTCTTATATAAATGCAAATTGTTGTTGGTGTACATGTCTGATATAATGGACCTAGATGTCTTTGCGATAACTGGGTTGCCCTGTGTACAGCTCAAAGTATTTTCATTACAGCTTGAATTTTAATGTGGACAGATTTACTACCAAATTCTGTACTGTTTTTAACCTGGCAGGCCCTGTTCCATGCTGGTACATTAATGATTGTGGCAGTGTGGCCAGAATAGGTCTATTCTTGATTCATGTTAGAATTTCCACAAAGCTTTGAAACAGTAAGAAAACAATCACAGGAATAATAAGCTTTACAAGTCCTTAGCAAAGCAGGATTCTAACTGTTCCCATGGCCTTCAGACATACTCTTTCATACACTCACTTAACCACTGAGTAGGTCATTCATCCCCACCCTCTGCGCATTCCAAAATAAGTCTTAAAAATATCACCCGAGAAATAATCCAAATATAAACTAGATACAACAACAACAACACATTTGTACAGCGCCTTTCACGTCGGGAGGACGTCCCATACTAACGGTAAACGCGACATAATGTGTGTTCGGGTATTGCTGGAATCTAACCAGCTAAAACCGCATAGCTTGCAAAGCACTCTTTTTCACTGACAAGCTTTCCTGCTGCTTGTCCAGCTCAGACCACCCTACCCATTAGGGCTTTGGCTTGCAGGGTTAACAGGAGCTGAGTGGGAAGAATCCCTGTCTCCAGTGACTTGTCTTCCCTTCCAAGTCCTGCTGATGAGCCATCAGTTGGGTCCTGGAATACTGCAGACCCGTCCAGATCAGGAACTATGGCAAGACTGCCTTATAAGGTTCTCTTGATTCTGCCATTCTGCTGCCAAACATGTAACCTTGGAGCCAGAGCAGCTGTAAGGATCCCCGAGTTCCCTCCTCCACACACCCCCACCCCACCCCCAGAGGATAATCATGTATGAATGTTGTTTATATTGACATTTAAATTTGGAAATTTAAATACCAATTTATAATTTGGAAAGAACCAAAGTCAGTGGGAAAATGTTCACTGCAGTATTTGGTGCCACTTCTATAAAATCTTTGAATTAAAACTAAGTTAAGTTAAAGATAGTTTGAAAAAGAAATCCTGTAAACAAGAACACAACTCCCTATACTTTTATCAAGACTGGGATTCAGAATTACAGCTCATCTTGACAGGAGAGATTGGAAAAATTGTGGCAATTTAGCAGGTTTGGATAAGCAATTCATTATATAATAACTGAAAAATATAGACCAGAATACTCACTATCCTCATAAAGAATGAGTAACTTGTTTTCTGTCTGGTGAATAACAGTCATTGCTGCTAATATTCTATAGGATTAGAATCAAACAGCAGCCAGGGAAAACAAGGTTAAGTCAAAGGTGGCAACAAATTGCAAGGGATTAAAAATGTATCTTTAAAAAATGAATAAACACAGAAATGCACATACAACAACAAAATTACATTTATAGAGCACCTTTCACATTGGGAGGATGTCCCAAAGTGCTGGGAGACCAAAATAATTTAACCATACATCAACTGACCTGAAATGTTTATGATGGAATACAAATAATCCGTTCATTTACAAGTTTAAAAAAATTCCCAGCATTGGTTATGGATTCAAGTTACACACCCAACCTTAAAATTATTTGGGATAATCTAAATGGCTGATATCTTATGTATTTAAATTCATACGATGAAATTAATAATGTAATATGGCCTTTCTTAAATTTGTGTTTACACAATGAGAACAATGGATAAATCTGAAAGATGCTTCATGGATCAAGGCTCCATAATAATAATGCCTTCAAAAAACAATAACAAATTGGTCATTTTCAATCCACGACTGTTTGTGAGACACTGCCGTGCGCAACTGTCTGCCGCGTTTCGCCCACAAATATACGGTCAAAACATTTTACAGCATATTCTGTGAAGCGCTTTGAGACGTCGAGAAGACATGAAAAGCACTATATCAAATGCAAGGATTATTATTATAATAAGGTTCCAAACATAAGATCATGGTGACCATGTTATAACAGGGCAGTTTGGGTCCAGAAATTCAGACCACATGTTAATATGGGAAAAAATGACAGTCAGCGCTTCAAGGTGGTTAGGCAACCTAACATCATTCACTATAGGTTGAGCAAATGCAGGCAGAGAGCACTGCTGAAAGAAGTGACTTGACCAATCCTTTCTGCATGGAATATGCACGGAGCAAGAGCAGGAAGCAGGAAGTGGTGCTTCCTCTGTATAGCTTTCAGGAAGATAGACAGTCAGTGTTAGTAGTGGCTTGCACTTCCAGTATAGTGCTGGTCCACACTGCACCCAAGCTAAAAACCTTAAGCAAGGCACGTAATAAGAGGGTAAGCAACCACCAAAACAATTATACCTACTTGTATCGTGCAAAGGACTAACAATTTGTTTTTTCATACAAAGTTGTATACATCAATAATAATGTCTTTTATACAGAAATAAAAAGACCTTTTCTTCAATTTCCAAATGGAAAAAAAGGCCGGATAATGGAGCCTGTTACAATATTCCAGAACTATAAGTTTGTTAAAACTAAAAAAAAAACTCACTTCATCTTCCACGTTTCGAGAAATGCAAAAAAAATCTGAATATTTAAATCAAGATTCACTATAATCTAATACATTTGAAAGTCAAAAATTCATTTTCTTTCTATCATAGCCTATACAACAACATCTTGCATTTATATAGCGCCCCTCACACAAGGTAGAGTCTCAGAGTGTAATGATTATGCTTTATTCTAATTCTGCATTACTTACCTTCAGCTATGAAATTTTTTGGCTGAATCTACATGCTAAAATGTTGCCAGAATCAATCAAGTGAATGTCAGTCATGCAAACTTCATTGTACAATGAACTCAAAGATATCTGGTGCACATGTTCCAGTGTTTCTATTGTAATTATAATTTAAATGAACTTAATTTGGTAATTATAGCTATTCATGTAGTTATCCATAAACTGAATTAGGAAGCAATCGTGCACCATTCAAGATTAACATGCAATACAACAACCAGCATATCATGCACACATATTGGCAGTTTGACACACCACATAAATGCAGCCAAAATTTTATCCAGGAACAAAGTTTGCATCTAACAGACCATAATAATAATTACCACATGCCGCTGAACTAATTCCAAATAGATCATGTTTGTAAAGAGTCAGTATCCCTCTTTTTCTAACTTCTCTGGGTCCATATTGAAAACTATAGAAAATAAAGGTACAATATCACTCAACAAAACCTAAGAATACTATCCATTCTTAATAAAAAAATCCATTCAGTAATCATATTTGCTGAAGAACATTATTATTCACTCCTTGTGTGAAATTCAATCTAAAAATGTGTTGCATTGTTCATTGGTAAAGAGACATTGCAACTTTAATCCATCTGTTTACAGATAGGTTAACCTTTTGGAGTCTCCTTCATTCTTTGAGCAGTTAATGTTCCACAAACTGTTGGAATGGTTTAAGAAATAAAAATGAGAATTCTTCCAAAGTAGTTCCTTCAAGAAGTTCAATATCATGCCACAATACAATTCAGAAGTGCATTGATTGTTCCCATTTTATACAAGTAGAATTCCCTACTTGTTCGTTTGCCAAGAAAAGGAAAATACCAAATTAATTCCAGCTGCAAAAAAGGTTCACGGAGTAGCCACAGCGAGTACAAGTTAAGCCATTTGAAGAATGAAGATCTTTAACTCCCTCTTTCTTCATTGGCTACACTTGCCAAATTGTTCAAAATGATTAACATAAGTGGAAAATTGTTCTAAGTTGTAGCTTTGCACATTGTATCCAGTTACTGTGGACACTGGACAAACAAGTAGCTGTTGTTCTGGTTCAATGACCCTTAACTCTACTAGAGAATTGTTTCCTTGCCAGCTGGCAGCTGTTTACTACCTCCTCACAATTCTTTCTTTGAAGGTGGGTTCACCCAAGGTACAAGGTACAACGCCACCAAGAGACAAATAATTGCATGGAATTTAATAAGGAATTGATTACAACTATATTAGATATAAAGCAGGTTTTGCACACACAATCTCATGATGCTCAAATTCTTTAAGTCTGAGCAACTGGATCATAAAAAGCTACATTATTTGGATTTTTTTTAACTCCACCAACAAGTATATTCCAAGATGAACTGAACCACCGCATCCAACGAACCTGCATGGATTCTGGTCATGCCTCCTGCTCTAGCCCTTCTGGATGAAAATCTGGAAACCATGAAAATCATCCTGAGCTTCAGATCCCCTATTCCCCCAACCCATGCCTGCTACCCACAAGAAAGCTTGTAAGAGGTTACATTTTGTAGCAATCATCAGTTGGATAGACACAACTCGAGAAGCTTCTCCCTTGCCCTGTCCCCAGCAAAGAGCGACAAGATAGTTGTGAGATACCCGCTTGTCCGAGAAAGTAACAAATGAATCTCTACAGTTAATTTTAGGCGGTGTGGGGAGTGAGGTGTTCATCCATCCACGATACCCACACTTCATCTCCCAATCCCATTTGCTAAATGTCATTGCTCTCCATCTAGATGAGAGCCACACAGCCACCAAGAGCCTATCCAATTATCTCTTCAACTGCCCATAGTAGCCAGACTGCAATACAACATTGGGGGAGCACTGTATTATTCGAGTTGCTACCCTTCAGATGAGACTTACACACAGAAAAGTGTCCAGTCACCAACAAAGTTTGTACACTTCCAGTAACCCTGGGTTCACAGGGGATTCACATTAAAAGCCTAATCACTTAATAATGCCCAATGCCAAAAAACTGATTTGACCCAGTAACCTCCGTTTCCGGCTAAATCTCTCGAATTGATAGTCATGATTTTAGACCCAGAATAATGCACAAACATCAAATGTTTTCATAGAGCTTTAACAGTGTCCTTAGTGAGAACGCACCCAGGGTAAATAAATCTAGCATACAATAATAAAGCACAAACTAAAGTAAGTATGCATAATAATCAATACCATGCAAGATTAATGTGGCTAAACATTATTGTTGCTTGATCCTGCATTCACATTCAAAGCAAAAAGGAGAATACTCTTTTCGTAATATAGAGTGAGGAAGGGAGGAGAGAGAAACATTGCAATGTGGACAACAACAATCCTATAATAAAACTGTAAGGCATCAACTCCATTCATTCTTATCTGACAATTCGAAGCAAACATAATCCCAATCAAGCAAAATATTTCCTGGAAAATTAGTTTCTGTCTCGTAATGATAAAAAATACTAATCACTGCCAGTTCTCTTCTCATGAGCAGACATATTGTTGCACAAGTCTATATATTTAATAAAACTACAAGGAAAGAGACTTTACATTTGGTCAAATCAATAATATTTACAAAGATGTACTGCAATAAGTCACATAAAAACGGTCAGAGTAGCACTTAATCTGCTCATGGCTGAATAAATTGCATGGCAGTAGGACGTCATATTGAAGCTTATTCAATGGGAAAGTACATGTTGAAAGAAATGCTCAACAACATTCTGCTGAAGGATGAATTTAAACTACATCAAAACTGAAGTTGGGCTTCTCTAGTATAGAATATGATTATTGGCCAAAATAAGACAAAAGATTTACTAATTATTTGATAATGTCAGTCATTTGGTAGTAGTGGGCTCAGAACTGCAGGATTCAGGTTTATGGGGGAAATTACTGGGACTAAATCCAAACTAAAAGTTGCCAAATTGACGAGAAATTTAGGGAATACAACAGAAAAGCTAAGCAAATATATTTTTGCAATTTTTTTCCCGAGCTCCATTTGGATGTATGGATTCAACTTTGACCAGCAAGTTCATCAATCCCAGGAGACTGAAATTCCACCTAACCTGAACCTGTGTCAGGACTACCTTTAAGAGTTAATTTTTCATTTATGTTAAAATTTAAGGTCAAAATTAATGAAACTTTAAATTTAGTCCTAATCTGGAAGTTTTTTTTTAAAAAAAAGGAACACTGGTTTCCCATTTTAAACACAATTTAAGAATTCTCCTCAATTCAATATAATCCTAAACATTTAAGACAAAATGGTCTTTATAGACAAAATCTAGGCGGCAATTCAAGCCTCAGAAATCCCTGCAATTAATTTCACTCAGTAGAATGCCAACTTTTTTGTTGGATTCCTGTTCAAAATTAATCCCTGGCCAAACTGGTTTCAGACAAATCGACTCCAGCTCCTAATAAAATTATGCCAATATAACGCCTACATTTTACGTCATACAAATGACTTGACCATATTTAGGCAAGCCACAAAGATCCAATGTAGCGAGATATGAACCTGTCAAAGTTCTGGTGAGAAACACAGTAACATAACTTGGGGAGCAATTCAATGCTAGGGCTAAATTATGTCAGCAGCAACAATTTAAAACATGAAACCCCAGTTGAACGTCACCTAATGAACACAATTTTTTTAAAAAAATCTGCTTACCATCGTGAATTTCAAAGGCCAGGCTGGTTATCTTCTGTGTCATGATCATCATTGGACTATAAGGCAGAAAATAAACAATTCATTTAAACATTTAAGAACAAAACAATCTAGTATCCTTAAGGGGAAGATCAGACTACTGATTAAGAGTTAATTTTCCATTTATATTATAGAGGAAACATTCACTTATTTAAAATGAAAAGGTGCAATTTGCAGATGTTCATTCTTCAGTTAACCATCATGAATACTGGAGCATTTTTGCTAGAGCAGGATGAGCGGTGGGGAACATCACAAGGCAGACATTCTCAATTTTGACATAATTTCCCAGGGAGCAAATAGAGTTGATTACCAAAGAATCATACAGCATAGAAGGAGGCCATTCGGCCCATTGTGTCTGTGCCGGCTCTTTGAAAAGAACTATCCAATTCAATCCCACTCCCCCGCTCTCTCCCCATAGCCCTGCAAACTTGTCCTCCCCAAATAATTATCTTCTTCTCTCTTAAAAGCTGTTATCGAATCGGCTTTCACCACCATTTCAGACAATGCATTCCAGATGAGAACAACTCGATGCGTAAAAAAAATTCTCCTCACCTCCCTTCTGTTTCTTTTAACAACTATTTTAAATCGGTGCCCTTGGGTTACCAACCCACCCACCAGTGGAAATAGTTTCTCCTTGGTCATCTTATCGAATCCCCTCAATTTTGAAAACTTCTATTAAGTCTCCTCTTAACCTTCTCTGCTCCAAGGAGAATAATCCTAGCTTCTCTAGCCTCTCCTCATAACTGAAGTCACTCATTCCTGGTACCATCCTGGTAAATCTCCTTTGCACTGTCTCCAATGCCTTGACATCCTTCCTAAAGTGTGGGACCCAGAACTGAACACAGTACTCTCTCTGAGGCCTAAGCAATGTTTTTTAAAGGTTTATCACAACTTCCTGACTTTTGTATTCTGTGCCCCTATATATAAAGCCATATGCTTTTTTTAAACAGCTTTATCTCCCTGTTCTGCCACCTTCAAAGATTTACTTATATGAACACCCAGATCTCTCTGTTCCTTCACCCACTTTAAGATTGTACCATCAGCTTATATTCCCTCTCCTCATTCTTCCTTTCAAAAAACATCACTTCGCATTTCTCCACGTTAAACTTCATCTGCCACGTTTCTGCCCATTTTACCAGTCTGTCTATGTCCATTTGCAGTGCTACTATCTTCCTCACTGTTTACTACTTTTCCGAACTTAGTATCATCTGCAAACTTGGAAATTGTAGTTCCTATACCCAAGTCCATGTCATTTATATAGATCACAAACAGTGGTCCCAATACTGATCCCTGGGGGTCACCACTGCACACCTCCCTCCAGTCAGAAAACAACTGTTCACCACCACTCTCTGTTTTCTGTCTCTCAGCCAGTTCTGTATCCAGGCTGCCACTGTCCCTTTAATACCATGGGCTTCTATTTTGCTAACAAGTCCCTTATGTGGCACTTTATCAAATGCCTTTTGAAAATCTATATAAACTACATCAACTGCACTACCTTCATCCACCCTCTCCGTTACTTCATCAAAAAATTCTTATCAGATTTGTTAGACCCGATTTTTAACAAATCTGTGTTGGCTGTCCTTTATTAACCCATATTTCCTAAGTGAAAATTTATTTTGACCCGGATTATAGTATCGAAGTTTCCCTACTACTGACGTTAAGCTGACTGGACTGTAGTTCCCAAGTTTATTCTGCTCCCCCTTTTTGTACAGAGGAGTAACATTTGCAACCCTCCAGTCCTCTGCCACCACCCCAGTGTCCAAGGAGGATTGAAAGATTGTGGCTGGAGCCTCCGTTATTTCCACCCTTACTTCTCTCAGTAACTTAGGGTGCATCCCGTCCAGACCAGGTGACTTATCTACCTTGAGCGCTGACAACCTTTTTAGTACCCCCTCTTGGTTTATTCTTATCTTATCCAATTTCTCTACCCTCTCCTCCGAGTGGATTTGGCTGCAACCTCTTCTTTTGTGAAGACAGATACAAAGTACTCATTCAGTACATGAGACATGCCCTCTACCTCCACAAGATTTCCTCTTTGGTCCCTAATTGGACCCACCCTACCTTTGACTAACCTTTTATTCTTTATATGCTTATAAAATACCTTAGGGTTCCCTTTTATGTTACCCGCTAATCTTTTCTTATACAATCTCTTTGCCCCTCTAATTTCCTTTTTCAGTTCTCCTCTGTACTTTCTATATTCTATTTAATTATCTTCTGTAGTTTGAACCTGACATTTATCTTAAACCTGCTTTTTCTGTTAATCCCAATTTCCTCATCCAGGGAGGTTTGGATTCCCTACCTTTCCCCTTTGTGGAAATGTATTTGTTCTGTCCCCGAACTATCTCCTACCTGAAAAGCTTCCCATTGCCTGTTAGCTGTTTTACCTGCCAATCTTTCTTTACAGTCCACCTTGGCTAGGGTCCCTTTTTAACTCACTGAAATTTGCCCTCTTCCAGTTGAGTAACTTCACCTTTGATTGCTCCTTGTCCCTTTACATCAGTACTCTAAACCTAATGATGTTGTGATTACTGTTGTCCAGAAGCTCTCCTACTGAAACCTACTCCACTTGCCCCACTTTATGCCCCAGAACTAGATCCAGCACTGCTTCCTTCCTCGTTGGGCTGGAAACATACTGATCCAGAAAGTTATCCCGCACACATTTCAGCAATCCTTCCCCCTCCTTACCCTTTACTGTTATTTTGCCAGTCTATGGAAGGATAATTGAAGTCCCCCATTATCACTACTCTATTGGTTTAGCATCTTTCTGAAATCTGCTTGCAGATTTGCTCATCTATTTCCTTCCCACTCTTTGATGGTCTATAGAATACAGAGTAACAGCTCCTTTTCTGCTCCTTAACTAACCAAATAGATTCTGTTTTTGGACCCTCTAGCACATCGGCCCTTTGCAGGGCCGTAAACATGTCTTTAGTCAATATTGCCACCCTCTCCTTTTTTTCTTTCCCTATCCCTCCTGAATACATTGTAGCTTGGAATATTCAGCTCCCATTCCTGCCCTTGTTTAAGTCAGGTCTCCGTCATTGCCATTACATCATAACCCCATGTAGCAACTTGAGCCTGCAGCTCACCAATCTTGTTTGTCACACTGCGTGCATTTACACACATGCACTCCAAGACCGATTTAGTCACCCATTTAATCCCTCCTTTTTCTGGATTACTCCTGATTACATTGCTATTAGTCTCTCCTAGCCCTCTGTGTAACTTGTTTGTCCTCTCTAATGCTACACCCTGATTTCCCTTCCCCCCTCAAAATTAGCTTACACCCTTCCCCACAGCACTAGTTAACCTCCCTGTGAAGACATTGGTCCCACCCCTGTTCAGGTGTAACCCATCCAACTTGTACAGGTCCCACCTGTCCCAGAACTGGGCACAATGATCCAGGAACCAGAAGCCTCCTTGCTGCTCCATTTCTCCAGCCATGCATTCATGTGTTTGATTCTGCTGTTTTGATGCTCACTTGTACAAAGCACTGGGAGTAATCCAGAGATCACCACCTTTGAGGTCCTACACTTCAGCTTTTTCCCTAGCTTCTGAAACTCTCTCTCCCTGTAGGATCTCAGCCCTTTTTTCCCCTATATCATGGATTCCAACATGGACCACGACTTCTGGATGTTCCCCTTCCCCCTGTAGAACATTTTATACCCGTTCCATGATGTCTTCAACCCTGGCATCAGGGAAGTAACATACCATGCAAGTCGTGTCTTTGGTTGCAGAAACGACGGTCTACTCCTTTCACCATTGTGTCCCCAGTGACAATTGCATTGACACTCTTCCCTGTATCACCCTCCCTAGAGGTGTCATCACTCTGACTGGTATTCAGTACAGAGAACCGGTTTGTGAGTGCCACACTCTCAGGGGATTTCTGCACTGCCCGTTCTCTCTTCCTACTATGCCGGAAGGTCACCCACTCACTCTCCTTCTGAACCCTCTGTGGCTGGTGGGGTGACCACCTCTTGAAACATTCGATCCATGAACTCTTCAGCCTCCCGTATGCTATGTAGTGACACCAGCCTCTCCTCGAGCTAAGAAACTCTGAGCTCAAGCTTGAGCAGCCGGAGGCACTTCCTACACACGTGTCTGTCCAGGGCACACAAAGCATCCTGGAGTTCCCACATGGCACACATTGTGCATGCAATCGATCTCAGCTGCCCTGCCAATATTCCCAGACATGTTTTATATTATTTTAATATAAACATGATATATTTTATGATTCTGCACGTCTGCACCAAATTCCTTAACAGAATTCTCAGTTTGTTCCACCTCATCAGTCCTCTCCTCAGTCTGCTGGGCTCTCTGCTCAAGTGAGGCGCTCACAAGTCTTCTCCTTTATATTGGACTTGAACAAAAGCACACAGTTTTGACTGGTCAACAGATTTTTTAATCCCAAACACCTCGCCTATGATTAACTGCTAATTGCTGCTTACATATAAGGTTGCCTCTACCTCAAGATAGATTTCCCACTCTTCTGCTGAATGATAAAGAGGTGTCTCTATTGCTGAAGAATTCTATCGCCCGTGGAAAAGGTGAGACCCTCACAAAGGCTCTCAAATCCTCAAATATCCTATCCCTCTGGCCTTCTGCCCGCAGAGATCCTGAAGCAGCCGTCCAGCTGCTCCATTATTGCTTTTCCTCCACCTTCAACTCTCTCGTCCCCCTGAAATTCAGGACCACCTCCAAACCCACCCGATCCCCCTGGTATAACAATCATCTCCGCTCCCTAAAAACCCAAACCCAGCTGCTCGAGCGCAGATGGCAGAAACCTGGCCTGACAGTTCACTATCAACTGTGGCTCGAGCAGCTCCACAGCTACCGCCGTTCTTTGACGCATGCGAAAATGGCCTTCTGCTCCAGCATCATCTTGGAGGCAAAAAACAATCCCAAAGTCCTTTTTTTCACCACCCACTACCTCCTCCGTGCCCTGCCTCAGGTCTCCTCAATCTTCACATCTAATGCCAAGTGCGAGGAGGTCATGGACTTCTTTTCAACCAAAATACATAACATCCACCAGGCAACCTCATCCTCCTGCCTCTTGTCACCCACCACCCCCCCCTCTCCGTCCCCCTCATCCTCCCCATCAGCAGCTCCTACCACGAACCCCATCCTACATTCCTTCCTCCCTCTCACCCACCATCACTTCAATGAAACCCACCACCTGCTGCTGCCTCGAGCCCCTCCCCACCAACTTGCTGGTCACCCGGCTCCCCCTCCTCTGCCCACTACTGGCTGATGTCATCAACCAGTCCCTTTCCTCTGGATCAGTCCCTGCCCCCCTCAAAACTGCTGTCATCACCCCTCCTCCTCCTCAAAAAACCTTCCTTAGGTCCCTCAAACCCCGGCCACTACTGCTCTAATTCAAACTTGTCCTTCCTCGCTAAAGTCCTAGAATGCGTTGTTGCCAATCAACTCCGCGCACACCTCTCCTCCCACTCCCTCTTCGAACCCCTCCAGTCCGGTTGCCGCCCTGACCACAGTACAGAGACGGCGCTTGTGAAAGTCTCATATGACATCCTCTCTTTCTGTGACCAGGGCTCCCTCTGCCTCCTTGTCCTCCTGTACCACTCCACCGCTTTCGACACAGTCAATCACGCCATCCTCCTCCACTGCCTTTTCTCCATCATCCACCTCAGTGGACCGCATTCGCCTGGTTCGAGTACTACCTCACAAACTGCCAGCAGTACATCTGCACAAACAGCTTTTCCTCCCGCTCTCACACGGTTACCTGTGGGGTACCCCAAAGATCCAACCTTGGCCCCCCCCTCTTCCTAATCTATGTGCTCCCTCTTGGGGATGTCATCCGGAGACATGGGGTACACTTCCACATGTATGCGGATGACACTCAACTCTATTTTTTCACCTCACTTTGTGACCCCCAGTCCCTGATGTTCTGTCAGCCTGCCTGTCAGACCTCAGGAACTGGATGAGCGCAAATTTCCTTCAGCTAAATGTTGACAAGACGGAAGCCCTACGCTTGGCTCTCATCAACGTCTAAAATCGCATGCTTCTCACCTCCTCCACCTACGTGACCTCCCCCTAAAACTCTCCGAACCCGTATGCAACCTAGGTGTCAGGTTCGACTCCCAATTATCCTTCCACCCCCACATCCGGTCCCTCACCAGCACCGCTTTCTTCCACCTCCGACGCATCATCTGTCTCCACCAATACTCAATCCAAAAGCCGCTGAAATCCTGGTTCATGCCTTTGTCACCTCTCGGCTGGACTATTCAAATGCCCTCATCACCAGTCTCCCATCCACTACCAATCATAAAATCCAGATCATCCAAAACTCTGCCGCTCGCATTCTTACCCACACCAAACTCCACTCCCCGATTACCCCAGTCCTTGCCAGACTGCACTGGCTGCCTGTCCCAGAGAAGATCGACTTCAAGATCCTCACCCTTGTCTTCAAATCCCTCCACTCCTCTGCAACCCCTACCTCTCTGACCTCCTCTCTCCTCACAACAGTGCCCGTTGCCTTCGCTCCACCGAGTCTGGCCTCCTCCTTGTCCCCCGAGTCCATCATCGGCGGCCGTGCCTTCAGCCACTACACCGCGAGGGTCTGGAACTCCCTTCCTCACTCCCTTCGCCTCTCCCCCTCTCTTCCTATTTTCAGGTCTCGGCTGAAGACCTTACTTTTCGACTGCGCCTTTGGTCATGGAGAATGCACTCAACCAAGTTTATATTTGGATTCAGCTTGGCTAAATACTTCACATTCACAGATAATGGACACTGGTAGAGCGATCTGTATTACACAAGTAAAAAAAACTCTTAAGGGTATTGATATCATAGACTAACTGATGGGGAGGTGGCTGAAAAGAAAGAACAAGAAAATATGGCTCTCTCCTAATTCCTCTAATACAAGTGCAAATACTATATACTACATTTGGTAGAAACCTAGAATGGGACCAAAAAAAATCAATCTATCGGTGAATCCCAGCAGGTATGTTTCACTGTCAGGACCTATGTGGCTAATCATCTGCAGACTGAAGCTAGTATTACAAAAAATAGCTTTCAAAGAGAAATTTGAGGTCACACGAGCTTGTGAAGCATCAGATTTTGATCCTAAAGAGAATAGGATTATGCTTATAGGTTTACAGCATGAAATGAGAAATTAAATAATCTCTTACAGAACCAAAAATTAAGACAGTAATAATAATAATCCTTACATTTGATATAGCGCCTTATCACGTCTTCACAGAATATACTGTAAAGTGAATTGACTGTATATTTTTGTAGGCCGATTGCACACAGCAATGTTCCACAAACAGTAAAACTCATTCAAAAGGCTTAGTTGATAGTTCATCTCAAAATTCCTACTTTATCTCGTCTGATTTGTATGTGGATACAATGAAGTGCACAGCTAAGCTCGAAGGTAAAACAGTTCACCATTCCTTCCCCAGTCTAGGTCTGCATCCAAAGTTGGTCCTAAACATGATTTACCTTAGCACTTATACTATAGTGACCTCAACTCTTTTCTTGGACATTACCGAGTCAAGTTGCATTAAATGCACTCAGTGCATCCAGACAGCTCGGAGCACCAGTGGTCCCAACAACCATAGGATTGGAATTGGCCAATGGTATAGACATCAGCGTCACATTCAATCACTGACAGCGCTCGGGATGGGCCCTAGATCTAAGGCACCTTTTGGAGCAATTAACATTGCAATTAATCTTATGCCCAGCACTAACATAGGAGGGTATCCTCAAGCAGAAAACAAAACACACAAGTATGAAAATGAAATGAATGTGGGGTGGAGCGAATACAATCAAATAATAGAATTCATTGATACAAGCAAACCAATGATCACAAAGTCATAATATCACAACAAAAAACAGTAAAGCCAACTATTGTGAATTATTTCCTATAGTCAAGCCATCAATATGAAAATAATAGTAGAATTATGTTTTGAAAAAGAAATAAGGACCCATTATTTCAAGTACTTAAAAATTAATCGAAAAATATTTTGTAATATTTTATATTTGTGGAGTCCTGTAGCTCAGTGGTTAGAGCACTCGCTTTGCAAGCGAGAGACCTGAGTTCAATTCCAGGCAGGGCGAAACCGTGGCGAAGTTTCCTTACTCCACACGCCTAATAATAATCCCTCCAAAACCAAAAACAATAATAAATTGATCATTTTCAATCTACGACTGTTTGTGGGACATTGCTGTGCGCAATTGGCTGCCGCGTTCGCCCACAAATATACAGTCAATTCACTTTACAGTGTGTTCTGTGAAGCGCTTTGGGACGTCCACCCGACGTGAAAAGCGCTATATCAAATGCAAGGATTATTATTATAATAACTGCACAGCAAACCCAAACAAATGATGATGAGGAGGAAAGATACTGATCAATGCAATCATTGTGCATCTAAATGAAGTGCTCTAAGGAATGGCAGAGGAGAAAACGTGGGACACTGAAGCGAGCTATACAACTATATACATTCTCATTCAATTTGCACATTAGTCTATTTGTTTCAAAACAAAGATACCATTGGATAGTAAATCACAGCATTATGTTCCACTCACAGACTCACAAGTGAGGTTCAGATAAACAAGGCCCTTCAGCCCATTTGATCTCATCCTTTCACATAATCACCCAATCCTCCTCCCATCACAGAATCATGCTTTTTTTTAAAATCAATCCAGCTTCCTGGTCTCAAACACCCTTCCTAGTAACCTGTTCCAGTCTGGATAAAGATGTTTCTGGTGTCTGTCCTAAAATTTCTCTTTGCACCCCGAAACCTGTGTCCTCTTATTCTCCTGTTTTGGTACAAACAAGAATTGTTCTAGAAATGTCTGAAAGACTTACTTTCTCAATAATTCATTTAAAGCTCTTAATATTCAATGTTGTACTAACTGTACTGAGCTCACATTTAGTTCAGGGAACATGGGAATGAATAGTTGGCATATTTTATACATAGGAATGAGGTTTGAGTGCAATATACTTCAAGAAGCAAATATCTATGATTTCTACAGTTTATTTAGTAGGTCAACTGCTAAAACAATACAGAATTTTTGATGCATTGATTTAAAGACAATGAGGGACTAATACACTTACCCAGAGAAATCAGTTGAATACAGTCCATAATCAAAAAGGTACACTCTACTAATTTGGCACATCGTGAGGTATCCCAAAGCAATGACGAAACAAAACCTGAGGAGGCAAAAGGTAAACTATAACCTACAGAAAGAACAACATGCTTATGGCCAAAAATGCTTATGGTTTCAGGATTGTTTTAAGTCTAAGAAATCCATCCATCCGTCCACCTATCTGCAGCCCAAGTCCTCTCCTGTACTAGGCTCTGTGCACATAATAGCCTCCATCCTTGCACAGCTCCACTGACTCCCCATCCCCCAGTGGATCAAGTTCAAGATTTAAGCGCTCTGAGGCACTACCCTGGGTGGAGGACGCTGTATAAGTGCAAATTGTTGTTGTAAGTTGTTGTTGATCCTGGTTCTCACGTTTAAATCCCTCCATGGTCTAGCCATAGCATGTAATGCATATAATTCAGTTATAATGGGGCAAGAAGTTGAAAATTAAATGACAATCAACTACCTTTCCACCAACTAGCTTCTATTCCAGGACTCCTCTCCAGTGACCGACTGCTTGTATCAAGTTCATAGCACAGCTGAATGACCTCAAGACCCAAGCTACAGTGATAATTCTTATCAGCTCGCCTAGACGTTTCAACTATCCTGAATCCTAGGCTGTCTACATCCACATCCCCCGCCCCAACCGCCCTACTATCGGTGGCCGGGCCTTCAGCCTCTCAGCCCCGAGGCTCTGGAACTCTATCCCCCAGTGCCTTCGCCGCCTCCTCCCTTTCCTCCTTCAAGGCCGGTCTCAAGACCTTTCTCTTTGACCGAGCCTTCAGCTCCCCTCTTGACTCTCTACTCCCTCCTCGCTCCCTCCCTTCCCTCCCCTCACCCTGACCATTTCCCCCCTGCTCGGGTCCTGACCCAACTGTACAGCGCCTTGGGACGTCCTACCGATGTGAAAGGCGCTCAATAAATGGAATCTTGTTGTTGTTGTTGTTGTTGTTGTCTCTCCCATTCAAGACTCTATACAATTATTATAACCAACCTTGCAAAGCTCTATTGGTTCCTATTACTTCAGCTCTATTGGTTCCCTGTACCAAAACCATTTTGCTTTGCTGCCTCTCTCGTAAAATCTCTCACTGTACCTTTGGTCAAAATCTTTAAATGTATTTCCCTGCTCACTGCATTTGTCAAGCACATCAAAACATGTGTTTAAATGAAGGGTGCTATATAAATGCAAGTTGTTTTTTCCTTTTAAAATAAAGAGAGAAGCTCAACCAGAGTAAAAGATCACTGGTTCTAGGCAAGCAATTCCCTATGTCTGATTCAATATCATCATTTACGTCAAGCAGAGATAGGTTTCCCTCAGAGAACAGTGAAATGTATATTTACATGATTNAAAAAAACCTCCAACCAATACCCACTGACAGCGAGCAAGTCACTGCACATCGATTTTATAAAATCTACATCATTGCTCTGAGAGCAAAGGTGTGTTTGCCTTTGGTAAATTGGCCTGCCTGTTCTCCTGGGTCAACAAGCAGTCTCCACCTCTTGTAATCAAACAAGTCATTCGACAGGTTTGAATGTAGCCAAGAAGAATTATCTTCAAAACTCATTCCAGGCACTTAGGTACAAATTAATTTTAAGCCATGTACTTCTAAAGCACTCTCTGCATAAAAGTCTAGACTGTACAGGATATGCTAAACTGAAACCGGACAATTTCTTGAAAATGCCAACTTGTAAAGCATTGATTTTTATAAAAATATTGCATTTCATAATAGCGCCTTATAGCACAAAGTACAAAAATACCCTCAACTTTTAAAAGAGATTAATGCAATGAATATGCTTTAAATCAGCTATTCTGTCAGCATTGCACTTTCTCATCACTTTGTGCTGTTTTTCAAAACAAGCTCTGCATGGAGGATGTAGACTGACCTGTGCCTGGAAGCAGTGGGTGTCATGCCATGGTATGAAAGTTAACGCCCTTTGTGTGAAATTTCTATAATTTAACCATTTGTAATATGGCAACAGGCATCACAAAGAGGAGACCACAGCTCGCCCTTTATACAGATTTACAGCAAGGGTGTGCTGGATAGTAAGGAGTGGGAATCAATTCTATTTAACACAGATTACTGAGGCAAAACCTAGGACACCATCCCCTAACCCCGGCTGAGACCAACCAACCAAGCACAGATTTGGGAGATAAAATCTGATCCCCTCCAGTAGGTACATTACACTTTGTACTGCGACCTCCTAACCCCCTACCAACCTGCCCGTTCCCTCCGCTCAGCCGGCTCTGGCCTGCTCCACGTTCCGACCCACCCGTCCCACCATTGGCAGGAGAGCCTTTAGCCACTCTGCCCCAACCTCTGGAACTCCATCCCCCAGTCACTTTGCTTCTCCCCCTCCTTAGCCTCCTTCAAGTCCCACCTCAGGATCCTCCTCTTTGACCATGCCATCGGCCACCCCCCTTCCCCTTCCCTCTCCCCCCTAACCCCAGCTCGGGTTTGAAATGTTGTACTCCCAACTTGAAAGACGCTAAACAGATGTAATCTTGTTGTTGATGTTGTTGTATGGCTCACCTGTTTTCCAGCTATCAAAGGGACCAATTTAAAACAAAAAAGGATAAACAATATATTTACTTACTTGTGCATGTGCTCCGCACCTCCTATGATCATGATGGAATAAGAGATTCCACTTTGTAAAACAAAATGGAAAGCATACCTGGAAAAGAAAAAGGATTATTCTATAATTCTTGAATTCTAAATCATGTTGAGATTTAAAAATCTTATAGATTGGCAGCACAATTGCAGTACCATTTGGAAAATATACAATTTATGTATTAAACTGGCTGTGTTAAAAAAATGGACACTTTCACTGTAAAACTAGGCTGAGAAAGTGGTGGGGGGGGGGCAGGAAGGAACGGATACAGTTACTCTGCCAACCCTCCCTGAAAATAATTTCCACAATATCAGTTGTCGTCATTGGACATGAACTTTTAAAGAAGATTTTGAAAATAAAAATGGTATTTTCTGAACTGTGAACTATAAACTGCAATTGAACAATGATTAAGACAAAATGTTGTCCATGAAATGATTCCAAATAAATTTAGTCTTAAAATTTGAAAAACACTGTACCCCAATCTACGTTCCCTTGCATCATGGACAGTTCTTCAACCAAGGGCACAGGTTGAATCTTGAATACTTGAATTTACACACTATCACAAGTAACCAACTTGATGCACCTCCAGGGCAGAAACAGCCCTGGTCAAAGTGACAAATGACATTCTGTCCTTCAGCAACTACAACAACAACAACAACAAGATTCCATTTATAAAGCGCCTTTCACGTCAGGAGGACGTCCCAAGGCGCTGCACAGTTGGGTCATGACCCGAGCAGGGGGGAAATGGTCAGGGTGAGGGGAGGGAAGGGAGGGAGCGAGGAGGGGGAAATGGTCAGGGTGAGGGGAGGGAAGGGAGGGAGCGAGGAGGGGGAAGAGAGTCGAGAGGGGAGCTGAAGGCTCGGTCAAAGAGAAAGGTTTTGAGACCGGCCTTGAAGGAGGAAAGGGAGGAAGCAAGGCGAAGGCACTGGGGGATGGAGTTCCAGAGCCTGGGGGCTGAGAGGCTGAAGGCCCGACCACCGATGGTAGGGCGGTTGGGGCGGGGGACGTGGAGCAGACCGGAGCCAGAGGAACGGAGGGTACGGGCAGGTAGGTAGGGGGATAGTAGGTTGGAGAGGTAGGAGGGAGCAAGGCCGTGAATGGCCTTGTAGGTGAGGATGAGGATCTTGAAATCAATCCTCTGGGGGATGGGGAGCCAGTGGAGGCGAGCGAGGGTGGGAGTGATGTGGTCCCGAAGCCTGGTGCGGGACAGTACACGAGCTGCAGAGTTCTGAATGACCTGCAGCTTGTGGAGGGAGGTGGCGGGAAGGCCGGCGAGGAGAGAGTTCCCATAGTCCAGCCTTGAGGTGACAAAGGCGTGAACCAGGGTTTCAGCAGCGTGAGGGGTGAGGTAATGCCGTAGTCTGGCGATGTTCCGGAGGTGATGGAAGGCGGTGCCAGTTGTGGTGCGGATGTGAGGGAGAAAGGACAGCTCAGGGTCGAACAAAACGCCGAGGTTCCTGACTGGCTTTGAGAGGTGGAGAGTGCAGCCTTGGATGCTGATGGTGTCAGCGCCTGAGGTGCGGAGGCGCTGACGTGAGCCAATCAGGAGGGCCTCGGTTTTTCGCACGTTGAGCTGAAGAAAGTTGTCTCTCGTCCAGGACTCGATGTCGGACAGGCAGGCTGTCAGGACATCGGTGGTCGTGGAGTTGAGAGTAGAGGAGGAAAGGTAGAGTTGGGTGTCATCCGCATACATGTGGAAGTTAACTCCATGTCTGCGGATGATGTCACCAAGGGGGAGCATATAGAGGGTGAAGAGGAGGGGACCGAGGACAGAGCCCTGAGGGACACCACATGAGACAGTGCGGGGGGTGGAGGAGAAGCCATTCGTCGAGACAAAGTGAAGACGGTGAGAAAGGTACGACCTAAACCATTCAAGGACAGTGCCTTGAAGGTTGAGGTGGGAGGACAAGCGGTGGAGTAGGATAGCGTGGTCGACCGTATCGAATGCTGCCGATAGGTCGAGGAGGACGAGGAGACAGAGGGAGCCCTGGTCACAGATGGTCAGGATATCATTGGTGACCTTGACCAGGGCAGTTTCTGTGCTATGGGCAGCACGGAAACCTGACTGAAGGGGTTCGAAAAGAGAATGGGTGGAAAGGAAAGAGCGCAGTTGGGAGGCGACAACTCTTTCCAAGACCTTGGAGAGAAAGGGGAGGTTGGAGATGGGCCGGTAACTTGATAGCTGCGACGCATCAAGGGAGGGTTTTTTCAGGGTGGGCGTGATGATGGCAGTTTTTAATGGAATGGGGACAGAGCCAGAGGAGAGGGACAGGTTGATGATGTCAGTGATATGTGGGGCAAGAAAGTGGAGCTGGGAGATAAGGAGTGGAGTGGGGATGGGGTCAAGGGAGCAGGTGGTTGGTTTTAGGGATAGGATGAGTTCAGTGACAGAGGGTGGGGAAACGGGTACGAAGGTGTGTAGGGGAGGATGGGTAGGAGTCGGAGTGTGGGAGGGAAGGGGTGGGTGGTGGGTGGAAGTTGGAGGGGAAGTGACCGCGGAGCGGATTCCCTTGATCTTGGATTCAAGGAAATCCAGCATCTCCTCGCAGTGAAGGTTGGAGGAGATGACCTGCGCGGGGTGGCGGGGGGGACGGAGGAGTCGGGTTGTGGTGGAAAACAGTAGCCTGGGGTTGTTCTTCGCCTCCAGGATTATCCTGGAGTAGAAGGACGACTTGGCCGAGGCTAGAGTGGAGCGGTAAATTTTGAGGAGGTCCAGCCAGATTTGTCGGTGGACCGTTAGGCCAGATTTGACACAGGTGCGTTCAGCAGCCCGCACCTGGCTTTTCAGTGAGCGGAGGTGGGTGGTGTACCAGGGGGAGGAGCGGGAGTAGGAGACAGTGCGGGAAGTGATGGGGGCAAGAGTATCGAGTGTGGAGGAGAGGGTATTGTGGAGGAGGGAGAGAGGAGAAGAGGGGTCGGTGAGGGTTGAAGGCCAGAGGGAGAGGAGTTCAGAGGACTCCAAGGCATCGGTTAGGGATTGTGGGGGTAACTTCTTCCAAGGGCACCCTCTGCCTCCTCGTCCTCCTTGACCTCTCTGCCGCCTTTGACACCGTCGACCACTCTATCCTCATCCACCGCCTCTCCTCTCACCTCAACTTTCATGGCTCTGTCCTTAACTGGTTCAGATCGTACCTCTCACACCACCTCCACTTCATCTCCACAAACAGTTTCTCTTCTTGCGCGGCGTTCCTCAGGGCTCTGTCCTTGGTCCCCTCCTCTTCAATATCTATATGCTCCCTCTTGGTGACATCATCCTCAGATATGGGGTCAACTTCCACATGTATGCGGATGACATCCAACTCTACCTCTCTGCCTCCACCCTTGACTCATGGACCACTGCTGTCCTGACAGAATTTCTGTCAGACATCGTCCTGGTTTAGAGCTAATTTTCTTCAGTTGAATATCAACAAGACTGAGGCTCTCCTGATTGGCTCCCGTCCCCGCCTCCACACCTCAGGCGCTGACAGATTCACTATCCATGGATGCACACTCCACCTTACTAAGCCAGTCCGGAACCTGGATAGCTTGTTTGACCCTAAACTATCCTTTATACCTCCCATCTGTGCTATGACCCGTTCTGCCTTCCCCCACCTCCGCAACTTGACCATCTGAGTCACCCTACCAGCTAAAGGATGGAAAGCTTCTCCCCCATTAACCCTGATGAGAAGACCTGAAGGACAGAGGCAATGTCAAGATGGCGGTGCTGCGGGCTGACCGGTTGATTGGGCAAATGGATAAATATACTCTCCAAGTGACACAGAAGTAGAGTACCCAAAAGGGACTGTGCCATGAGAGAGAAACAGTGGAGAAAGACATTGAAAGATCCCCTCCCTGCACATGCTGAAGAAAAGTGCAATCAGGGAGCCTCAAGGCTATGCAAAGCCATAAAATATAAAGCCAGCAATGGAAATGTTTGAGTGAAATGGTCAGTCATGCTTCAAGAACATAGTGGACCCGTGGCAAGGATCAAGGGAAAGTTAGTTAGACATGCCAAAAGTTCAGGCAAAAGTGGTGGGCCACCCCTTTCAAGAAGCACATAATAGACAGGAGGTGGAACATCACAAGAACAACAAATGACAATCTATATTTATATAGCTCATTTCACATCAGGAGGAAATCCCAAGGTGCTGCAGAAGCACCTTGGAGGGCAGAACATACCAGAGTTCCTTCTTAGTGAAAAGCCATTGTGTGATAGGAGCTTCTGATCATTTGATTAAATATTCTAAAAAGGTAACAACAAGATTACATTTGTATAGCGCCTTTCACGTTGGGAGGACGTTCCAAGGCACTGGACAGTGTACAGCATTTCAGACCCGAGCTGGGGTCAGGGGGAGAGAAGGGAGGGAGGGGAAGGGGGGTGGCCGATGGCATGGTCGAAGAGGAGGGTCTTGAGGCGGGACTTGAAGGAGGCTAAGGAGGGGGCGAGGCGGAGTGATTGGGGGAAGGAATTCCAGTGGTTGGGGGCAGAGTGGCTGAAGGCTCTCCTGCCAATGGTGGGGTGGGTGGGTCGGGGGACATGGAGCAGGGCGGAGCCGGCTGAGTGGAGCGAGCGGGCGGGTTGGTAGGGGTTTAAGAGGTCGAAGAGGTTATGGAGGGCTTTGTAGGTGAGGACCAGATCTTGAACTGGATCCTCTGAAGGATAGGGAGCCAATGGAGTCAGGAGAGAATGGGGGAGATGGGGTCACGGAGTTCGGTGCGGGAGAGGACACGGGCTGCAGAGTTCTGGATTATCTGCAGCCTGTGGAGGAAGGAGTTGGGAAGGCCGACAAGCAGGGCATTTGCATAGTCGAGCCTGGAAGTGATGAAAGCATGAACAAGAGTTTCAGCGCAGGCAAGTAACAGATATGAGAGGATCTCACAGCAGTGCTGGTCAAAGTTGTTGGCAGCCAATCAAGGCACAAGGAATACATGATTGGTACACCATTTGTGGCAGAGAGGACGCTCCCACGGCCAAGGTTTAGAGATCATATTAGCTTCCTGCTTGGGTGGAAACCCTTCATTGTGCAGGCCTTGTGACATCCTTCGGTTGTGAAAGGAGCTACATAAATGTACTTTATTGTTGT